ACTAAGAATTGTTTTTATATTGTGATTTGGTTTTGTTGTGTGTTTAGTCTCTGTTTTTTGTATAAGTCTACGTGACTCGTTTTGGCCCAAAACTCGTTTATATGTTAATCCTGTTATTTAGTTTCTTAGTTTAGGTTGTTTTATGTACATATTTTAGCATGTTTTACTTAATTTATACCATTTTCCACCCTGTTTTATTTTTTTTTACTTCTCAGATCCAAGTGAGCTGAGTCGTAACAATTTCGTAGACTAATACAGGAAGTGCTCCACTGTGTTTTTAAACTCCATACACCTTCCCTAGAATCATTTGGATAATTTCAGCCCTGGAATTGCCCATCTCTCGAGCATTTTGAGCTTTGGAGATGTAGACAGACTAAAAATTAAGGGTTACACAAACATGAATGACACATAACACAACTCCAGGTCTGTTTTTGAGGAGGTAATAACATTATAACACGTCTTAAATCTCACAAGAGTCAGTTTTGCGCAATATAGGACCTTTAAACTAAACAAAAAAACACAATATTTTCCTCCAATGACACAAACTGCTCATTGTCAGCTGGCGTAAAGAAGTACAGTGACGCTGCTGTCCAGTGCGCAGTGCTCGCAACTCTTCACAGGTGCGTAACCAGAACCAAAGCGACGTTTTAAAGTAGGGTGACCACACGTCCCTATTTACCCGGGACAGTCCCAGTTTTGAGCCCTGTGTCCCCTGTCCCAGTAGATTTATCCAAAAGCAGTGATTTGTCCCAGTAGTCCCCATTTCTGACCAATTTGAACCTCACCAACATAGAAAACACGCTTGAAAATGACCAAAATGACCAAAAAAACGCAATAACAGTCCCTCATATTATGCCTAAACCCACAAGTGAGTAGAGAAGGGACACTGTTGCGTGCTCTTTTCACAATTTTATTTACACCAACCCATCCATTCCGAACCCAGCTGTGTCCCAGTGTTGAATTCTGCAAATCTGGTCAGCCAAATTTTAAAGTAGCGCGTAAAAATCCACGAAATACCAACTCACCCACTCCAATCTTCTCATCCTCGGTCGGCGTCCACATTCTGTCCCGTTCTCAAAATCCCCCAAATCGCTCCAGAAAGTAGACTGCCCGCTCCGGAACACCTCGCTTCATCCACGGCGCACCGAGAAGCGTAAAGTTCACATAAATTGTCGCTATCACCAGTTCGCTCGTCGAAGTTATCCAACCCAAATACCGTGCGTCGACTTACAACACTCGCGGAGAAATTGTTGCGTATCCTGACATCACTGCGCGTCGAGAATCGCTACGAAAAACGCCGGTGGCATCCTCAGAGGTAAAATTCATTCACTCAGTTCATTCATTTAAACGCAAACCTGCCAAGAGCGCACGCACGGTCCATTTTACCCCGCGATTTTCACTGTCCACGTTCATCCCCTTGACGCAAGCGCTTTGGGCACGTCTCCTCTCTCGCTCAAATGCGTCTTTTCGGGCTCCCTCCGTCCTCGCTGTCGCCTATCGCGAGCTGTCAAACTTGGAAGGAGTGAAAAGAAAGCAGGAACGCGTCGGCTACATGTCTCTTTCTCTCTCCCGGCGTGTCTTCTTCTAGGTTCGAGTCGTGCGCAGCGGCGGGGAAGGCTGCAGGCAGGCCACAGCAGATTAACGTGGATCAAATGAGAGAAGGGGGGAAAAAAAAAAAAAAAAAAAAAAAAAAAAAGCCCACAGATGGAGAGGGATGCGCGGCCAAGAGAGAGGGAGGGAGTCGGTGTTTGTGTGAGAGGAGCGGCGGAGCGGTGGAGCCCTCGTTGGTGCGTCGTTATCACTTGGGAACATGGGCACAGCGTGAGAGACAGAGAGGCGGCCAAAAAATACGCGGAGGATAGAGAGAATTATGAAAAACCGAGCAAAAATGTGTGGAGTGTGGCTGTAAAAGGGGAGTATTATAGACCAGTTTGTTTTAAATGGAGTGACACTGGATGGAGTTACGGCTCCTGGCGCAAAATTCAGAATGTTTCCTCATCAAAAACAGATCTGGAGTGGTGTTTTGTTTCATTCACACATGTTTAACACACAAACCCTGCATGTTTAGGCTGAGTTCTCCTCTCAAACAGAAAAAAAAAACACTATTCCAACTTGTGATGTCATGTGGTAATACAGGAAGAGCTCCACTGTGTTTTTAAACTCCATGCACCTTCACTAGAATCATCTGGATAATTTCGGCTTCACTCTTTTCTGAACTAAAGGTGTGGGAGCCTAAATCCAGTTTCGTAATTTTTTCATTACTGAGATAATAATTCCTTTTTTGTTGGATTTAATATTTACTTAAAATGCAAGATTATTTGTTGATTATTTGCTTAAAAATAGTTTGATCTATTTACATTTTTCTTTCAGTTATTTACTGCTCATGTTAATCATAAGTTTATTTAAGTGATGTTTATTTTTTGTATTATTTTGTTTAAGTTGTTGTTAAGAGTGCAGGTGCCAAATAGTTTTTTGAGCTCCTGTCACCTACATGTTAAAGTTCCCGTTTTTGTATGTTTTTATGTCCCAATACTTAATAAAGAGTTTTTTTTAACTGCATTTGGATTGCTCTCCGTGGATTCTTTCACTTTTGAGGCATTTTTAAAGGTGGAACAAGGTGCTCAAAGTGTCAACTATGGCATCACAAGTGTTTGGATTTTACAAAAGGTAAAAGGTAGCTGTTGAAATTACTGCCTCATGACATCACAAGGTGGAACACAGCATTTTGAGCTTTGGAGATGTGGACAAACTAATAATAAAGAGTTACTCAAACGTGTGAATGAAACAAAACACAACTCCAGTTATGTTTTTGGTGAGATAACAACATTCTAACATATGTTAAAGTTCTCAAGAGTTAATTTTGCGTAATATAGGACCTAATATAGGACAGTCGTGACTTGGCCTCGAGTCAGATTTGAGTCACTATTTTTAGGACCTGAGACTTGATAAAATGGACAAAGATTTGGGACTCGACTTGAACTTGAAGGTCAGTTTGGGAATTGACTCAGACTTGAGCCCTGTGACGTGAGAAGACTTGAGACTTCTCCTAAAAATATATGTTTTTAGAAAATACTTTTCTTTTTTCAGTTGATAAATATGGTGCTAAATTTTACAAGACCAAACTGGAACATGTCCGTCCCACTTTTCTATTTGTTATTTCTGATGGAACTGAAGTACTGTGATGTGGTATCATCAAATGTACTACAGTAATACACAGTACAAGACAGTAAAACAGGGGGAACTACAGAGAACATGATTTTTCCATTTCAGTGCAAACGACATGACAAAATAACTCTTAGTAAGCTCTTTTAAATCTGAATTCTTTCTGACCGCAATGATTCTCACTAAGATCTTGTCAAGACATTTAAAAAGGAAAAAGTTGCATTTCTACAACTCTTATATAAATACTCATATCAATATACCATGATTTAAGTACAATTTGACTTAAAAGTCATGTAAATTGCAAAAATCTAAAGACTTGAAATGACTTGAAGCTCAAAGCAGACGACTTGGACTTGACTTGGACTTCAGGACCAGTGACTCGAGACTCGACTTGGACTCGCACGTATTTGACTTGGGACTTGACTCGGACTTGAGGACAAAGATTTGCGAAAGACTTACTTGAGACTTGCAAAACAACGCCTTAATCCGACCTCTGGGATATAGTATAAGGCTGTGACAGATATGGGAGAAAGTGATGAGAAATATGTTTTAGGAAGATATCGGCCAATATGGATGTTGCAGTTTCTGTTTTATGACTCATGGCATTTCAGAATCAGAATTAGAATACCTTTTTATTTGTCAAATTCTTCACATTACTAACTAGACATACAAAGGAATCGAAATGGGACCTGTCAATCCATCCAAACATTACCAACACACAATTCAGTATGACATTTTTTGAGTCATTAGGGCTATAGGCATTTAAAGGTGCACTCTGGAACTTTTCTGTTGGAGGTTATTTCCATTTTTGGCCTCCATAGAGATATTATTGCATTTTAATTGTGTTTCAAAACAGGCCTATGCCATCAGAGTGTATATTTTAGCTTGGTTATATGTCCCTTTCATTGTTATTAGAGATGTACAGTGATTAAATATAGCTAGTTTAATGCCATAATGTGGATAATTCTAAGTAGGTACGGCAATAGCATCACCATGGAAACAAGCAGATGGTCTCCTCCTCCAGAAAGTGACACAATGCACCTTTAATTTGTCAGGTCTTCAGGCACATACTATGTTTTGTCTTACTGTGGAGGATGTTGATGAAATGTATTTACTTTTTTGTTTGCTGTTGTCGTTTAGGGATTCGGCTCGAAATATCTTGAAACTGTCACAAAAACTCTAAACTTAACATTCCGGTGGAGTCGAGGCCCATTCACAGTAAAAGAAGGAGGAAGTCACAAGACGGGACAAACAAATGACTCTGAGAGGAGAAAGAAGCGAGTTGTTGTGCAAGAGATGTTTACAGGCAGAAAAACAACATTAAAGTTTAAATTTTTAGATCCAAATTAGTGTAAACTCAAAAGAAAACATGCCTGTCACTTCAGTTGAATTGTTGTCAATTTATTTTTTCAATCTACAGATTTGAGAAACCTCAAGTTCAAAACCTCATTTCTCATGAGTAGATTCAGATTTCATTACTGTTGGACTAGAACGACTTAGCACTGCCCTCTAGTGGACACTTTCAACATTACTAGTTTAAAACCACTGCCTTTTCCCTTGTAAAACTTTGAATTAAAAATAATTTTACATCTATAGATACAATATTTTTTTACATTGAAAATGACTTATGTCAATTGTTTCCTAAAGCTGGCAACTGTCAAGATGTCAAATTGATTCTTTATTTCCTAGAAAATATGAACCTGGGTCAAATATAAACTCACTTTTTAAATTCATATTCTTAGATTGTAGTTTTAATGTTTCTCCACTTTCATTCATTCATTCTGGATAAAAAAAAAAAAAAATAAGTATGTTAACTTACACTATAAAGAGCCAAAAAGTGTAAGGTCAGTCTTTTATTGGCATAATGTTGGTACAAAAACTACAAACGCCACTTTTGAAATTGACATTTCCCTGAAGTTATTTTTACAGTTTACGAAGAAAAGGAAGTTAATGTCACTTACGTCAAAACTAAAGTTCTGAACAAATTACAAACAAAATCCTACGGAGACGAGGGCGTAGAAGAGCGGTCCTCCTGAGACACCAGAGGACACGTTCACATGTGGATTTAATGTGCTGGAATTTAAACATCTGGAAACAGGGACCACGGTCAAGTACACAATAAAATAAAATAAAACCAAAAGGCTTTTTATAAGTGGAAAATGACTGACAAGGTGGAACTGCACTTCAGGTTTAATTGGCCAGAATTTTTGGGACCTACATTTTTGCATGCATAACTCAGCACACTGTTCTTCTGTACCATGTCCTAAACACAAGCCAAAGACAAAGCCCCGACAAGGGCGTCTCAAACTGATCCCCAATGATCAACTCTAATGATCAAACAGGCATTTTATGTCACCGTGGCAACCACAGACCGTAAAGCAAAGAGGACAGAAGAGAGCATCATAAATATTATGATCATCTTATTCAAACTCTAATGTTCAGGCAACATTAAACAATGCATTATGTACAGTATGGCTGTAGTCCAGATCTGACCTAAGGGACGATGAGGCCCATTGACAAAAACTATGACACTTACAAAAGTGGTGATCTTGAACAGGAAAGTAAAACATTTGAAATCAATATTTACACAATTCCCGTGACTAATTTAAATACAAGTTCAGATTTTATTCATATCTCTAATCCCTTCATATGAACATACAAAGAGATTCATGTATTCACAACTCGCCTGATTATCGCAGTACAAACAAAAACGCTTCACTGTTGCACAAGATATTTTTTCTCAGTTTGTTTGTGTCCCTGTCACATCATAACTGTGGACTGCGATGGCATGATCTGCAGTATATATATATTTATTAAACATCTTCTTTTCTCTCACACCTGTATTATTGACCCTTTTTAGAAAACAAGCCGAGTGCCGTCTGTGGAGATTTATGCACATGAATATGAAACTCAAAGAACTTTGTTTGGTTCAGCTGTTACAGTTGTGAGTCCGTGTTAAGTTCTGAGGAGACTGTTATTCATACTTCCTTTGGCGTACACTATAGCCCTGGAACACAGAACAAAATATGTGTATCATTTCTGAAAGACATTGTGAAGAGAAAGAGAAAGCGAAATACAAGGTTCATTTGAAGAAAAATGAATAAAAACAAGACAGTATATGCCAGTCTAGTTCTATGAGACTAAACATGATTATAATCCTACATACAGATCCCATAAAAATGCTACTAAAATACAGCTAATACAACTGAATTACTACTACTACTACTACAACTAATACTACTATTGCTGCCACTACTTCTATACTTTTTTTAAGCTGATGTTAAGAATAGTCCCTGGGCGTGGGAAGCTAACTGTAGGCACTGCTCTGTCTGAGGCTCTGGTAAACTTTAATCTGACCATAAAGAACAGACTGACTGACTGACTGAGTGACTGAACTAAGTTTGCCAATTTGGGCATTGTATCTCCATGGTAACTGCTGAACATTCTACCATAGAGATGCATGTAGAACACCCCCGGCATTATGTCACTGCAAAGTATCAATTGTTACTACCACTACTCCTACTACTACGACTACTACTGCTGCCGCTCCTATTACTACTATACTATTACTGCTGCTACTGTTACTATTACTATTACTATTACTGCTACTGCTACTACTACTGCTACTGCTACTGTTAGCACTACTAGTACGACTAGTACTACTGCTACTGCTACTGCTACTGTTACTACTAGTACTATTACTGCTACTACTGCTGCTACTTCTACTACTACCACTATTACTACCACTAGTACTACTAGTACTATTACTGCTTCTATTACTGCTACTACTACTTCTTTAGAGTGGACTCACAGTCATAAATGTCGTCCTCCTCAGATGACAGGTTGAGGTCGGAGTTGACGTTGGAGTCGTCGCTGTCGTCGTCCTCGTTATCTTCGTTATCGTCTTCGTTGTCATCGTTATCCCTGTCGCCGCCCTCACCGTCCTCCTCGTCTTCGTCGTAACCCAGGAGACGAGCAATCTGCAAAACGGTCGCGTTACAAATCAAAACAGAGAAATTATGAAACTAACATAGACGTAAATATCAAAATCAACATAACCACCAATACAGTCCGAATTTATGCAGCAGTAGCGTTTAATTTTGTTATGTTATGTTTATTTGTTTGTTCGTTTATTTAGTATAAAGTCTGCCAGTCCTCGCTAGTACAAAACACAGCTGCTCGTCTTTTAACTGGTGCACGAAAATACGATCACGTGTCCCAAATCCTGTCTGCCCTTCACTGGCTCCCTATTCATTTCAGAGTGGATTTTAAAATACTTTTATCGGTTTTTAAATGCCTAAATGGCCTTGCCTCACAATACGTCGCTGACCTGCTGGTGCCACACTCTCCAGTGCGCTGCCTGAAATCTGCTGACCAGGCTCTGCTCGCGGTTCCTCAGGCTAAGAGGAAGCTTAGATGAGACAGAGCATTTTTTTGTTGTTGTTGGGCCTAAATTATGGAATGAGTTGCCTATTCACTTAAGACAAGATGACTCTCTCTTTACTTTTAAATCACTTCTTAAAACACACTTGTTTTCTTTGGCTTTTAACTAGTTTTGAGGTCATTTACTGTTCAATAATTGTTGTATATATTTCTTCATTGTATTATCCATGCTTTTGGGTCAATTCCATTTCTAATTTCTACCAATATCCCTTGCCCCTTGCCCCACTTATTGAAACATATAAATATGCAAAAACTTACAAACAAGTCGTTATTCAGTATGTCTAACTACTGTATTGCCCATTACAAACATGCACGTTCATGTGGACTTCAGCCTGTTCAGATGGGGAACGCTCCCAGAGGTGATACTTCTTGGGCCCTGGTGTGGGTCAGTTGTTTGTTCGTTCATCTTGTGTCCAAATGAAAACCCCTGTAATTTAACTGACAGTTGGCACCCACCTCCTGCTCGGTGGGGGTCCCCGGCTGCTCGTCGTTCTCGGGGTTGTCGTCTCCGGCCAGTTCTTCGATCAGAGGGTCGGTGTCTATGTCGTCGTCGTCATCGTCGTCAGAAGAGTCTGAGTCTGAGTCTGCATCATGCTCCTCCTCCTCCTAAACAAAACAGGAGTTCACAAATATTATAAATCCAAATCTACTGGCATATTTTATTAACTAAATAGTTTTCAAAGTGCTGCACATATAAAGATAACATTAAAAACAACAAAAGGTATAAATGAGAGTATAAATGCTCAATTTAACTGTAGAAAGTATATTTAAAAAAACACATTCTGCATTCTTGTGGCTTTAATTCCCACGTTAAGGCTTTTGATCAGCTTGGGATGAGTATTTGTAACTTAAAATGTTTTTAAGAGTAGGCTCAAGACCCACCTTTTTAGCTTAGCTTTTGAATGAAATATCATATTTTTTATTTTTACTTGTTTCTACTATACACATTTTAATTTATATTTATTTATTTTAGACTTATTTTTAGGATAAGTAGTGTTTCCTCTGTAGGAGCCCTCTGCATCAGGAGCAGAGGTCGGCTGTAGCTGTCGGGTCTGTCCTGTGGGCTCCTGGTGGAGAGTTGGTGCTTGGGCTTCATCTCTCCCCTGGCTCCTGTGGTGGTTCCTGGTGGTGGACGTCTCTCTGCTCCTGATGTAGACGGCTCCTCTGATGGTGCTTTCTCAACTGGTTCGCCTGTATTCAGCCTCACATTTTACTATGTGTCGTTTTATGTATTTTAGCAGGTTAATGTGTTGTGTGTGTGTGTGGTGTGTGTGGGGGGGGGGGTTGGCTGTTTGGGTGTCTGTGATGTTTGGTTGTGTCGAGTCGGGCAGCTGTGGGGGTTGGGTTGGTGGGTGGGTGGGTGGAAATGTGGGATTGTTTTTAATCTGTGTAAAGCACTTTGTGTTACATTTTTGTATGAAAAGTGCTTTATAAATAAAGTTTGATTGATTGATTGATAAAATAATGTCTCGATTTATAAAACACACTTTAGAAACTCCAGCTTTGTTTCCAATGAGGTATTAAGGCGTTGGAGCTACCTCTGCTGTCAGCACTTTACTGTAAAAACTGTGTAGATGTTCCTGTGATACAACAATGTGAGCAAAATGAAAACCCAAGCATTTTTGAATGCTTACAGGAGATGATTTAGGATTAATACATCAATGAAACAAATGCGACTGAAACAAAATACAACTCCAGATTTGTTTTTCATGAGGGGACAACAATATAACATGATTAAAAGCTCAAAATATATACACCCTTTAAATTTAAGATTAACTGCTTCTGAGAAAAAAATGATAAAATAATCCATTTGGGACTGTTACGTACCTCATCATCACCCTCCTCGGCCAGCTTCTGTCGCCCAACTTCATACAATCGACAAACTGTGTCCAGACTCATGCCATCCAGATTCTGCAGATTAGATTATAAAGATCAGAAATTAAAAAGGGGTCAAAGATAAGAATAAAGAGAAAATGGAAAAGGGGAGAGATAGTGATGGAAAGGTTCTAGGGAGGGAGGAAGAGAGAGAGGGAGAGAAAGAGGTAATGTCCACATACCTCAATAATAGCTAAATAGCAATCTTTACTGTCAGTGCACAGGTCAAAAATGTTCCTCTTCACATCCACAGTGGCTGCATGAAGATTATTTAAATCATTTAGATACAAATAATCAATTATAAAACAGTTCTTATAAGTGAAAACGTTCTTAGTGGATCTTACTGATAGGCTTGTAGTCTGTGGCATCAAATGTCCTGAAGGAGGAACCAAAGGGACTTTTCATCTGCTGGTCTACGGAGTCGTCGTCATCATCGGCCTGGAGCATGGCTACAGACAGAACAGAGAAAAATAAGAAATGTATAGGTTTAGTATGGCTGGAGTTACCAGTAAATGATTATTCTCATAAATAACTCACCTCCGTAGATTATTGTGCCGTTGCTGTTGAACACAAGACGACACTGGTCTAAGGCTGGGACAGTATGCAACAAGTGGAAAGTCCTGAGGTCCCACTACAGCTCAGGTTAAGGCTCATACTCGGTCATTGGAAGGCAAAAGGAGAAATTTAATTTGTCAACTGGACAAAAGTTTATTTGGTCGAATACATTTCGCAGCTCATCCAAGCTGCTTCTTCAGTTCTTCAGTTCAGAACTGAAGAAGGAGCTTAATTTAATTTCTCTCCAGCAACTAGGTCAGGAATCGGAATACACTAGATGATTCGCAAAAACCCCAGAAGGGTGAGTTCGGGCATCAGCCAATCAGCGAAGAGCCATACATTCTGCGTTGGCAACGATTCCCAAGATTGAGGATTTAAAGCCGGAATAAAGAGAATGTTCAGTGAATTGTATCAAAGGGAAAGACGTTATTGCCCTTCTTCATGCGGGATTTGGGGAAAGTTTAATATACCAATTAGACCCGCATCACAAACGTCACGACCAAATAGCAGTGATTGCTTAAAAAAAAAAAAAAAAATCCTACTGTCGAGCAAACGAATTCTAATGCTGCGAGGTCAGACGGTTTCTATGAAGTGAAACCGTCTGACTAGATTCTACCTGGACGACTGATTTTTCACACATTTTATCTTTGGAAACCAAAGTTTTCAGAACAAACTGAACAAAAGGATCTACAGTATACAGCAAATCCATGACTGTTTACTATTTCCTGTAATGTTTAAAATGTTTTCACATATATATATATATATATATATATATATATATATATATATATATATATATATATATATATATATATATATATATATATATATATATATATACATATTATTTTCATCTGCAAATGAATAAATGCAAGATAAACAAGCTTAATGCCATACTGTGGAATATTCTAGGCAATGCGAAAAGCAGGTGCCAGACCCCCACCAGAAAAGGCATATAGTGCATCTTTAAATATGAGATTCTTAAAAGGCCCTGTACTTGATTTTTACCGTTTTAAAAGCATGAAAAACATAACTAGTTCATTTTAAAAGGTTTACAGTGGCACAAATGTATTCCTCGTTTACTTCTAATTAAATGCAGACAGTACACAGCTTATTTTGACCTTGAGAAATGCTTATTGAATCTATCTGTAATGAGGCAAGACAGATTTAGCTCAAATACACGGTAAAAATCGGAATTTAAGTGTCATTATACTCCAGTTTAAAAGGATACGATCTCTGTATTGATGATGACTTCGAGGGCGCTGGGATGAAACACGCCGCTGATGTTGGTGTTGAACTTGTCAAACTTGTGAATGGCTCTGGCGGCGCGCACGTCCCACAGCACGCCGTCGTTCAGCGCCAGGTCGTCCGAAGGGTTAAACGTGGCACAGTTCCTCTTGTAGTTATTGGAGAGCGCCGCGTCGTACAGGGTCGTGATCTTCTGCCCAGTCTGGATGTCGTAGATCTGTGCAGCAAAATGGATTATTAAAAAAAAAGGGGGAAAATGAGAACAGAATGCTTTCCACTTTTAGTAACTATGTAGAGTCAGTTTAAGTTTATTGATATTTTTCTTCTTACTCCAAACTCCATCTTGGTTTAAGAGATTTGACTAGACTCCTGCTTTCAGAGGAAGTCACTTATTTCATATTTCAAATTTCAATTGCAACAAGATATAGTATCCGTTATACTAAATACTCCAGCAATTTTAACTTGTTTTTTTGTCTATTAATAGTAAAAGAAAAAAAGTTGAGTGAGAATAATTAATTGATGGAATTACAAGTTGATTAATATCTAGTAATAAAACAGCTTGATCACTTGTTTTAAAATGTCACAATAAACTGACATGACAAAATAAACTAAATGACAACAGCAAAAAAAAAAAAAAAACAATAACATATAATTTCACTTACATTGGCAACATGATCGTGAGTGCCGATGACCCGGTCCTGAGAGAGCTTACTGAACTCTACGTAGTGGTCGTCCACAAACGAGCTTCTAAAAATGAGAAAATAGCACCGTTTTCATCAACTGCAACTTCTGATTAACTACAAATCTATGTATATGTGAGTATGGTAGTCGTACTTGAGAGTGAAGACTCCATCAAGACTCCAGAGGGCAGACAAAGGAACACTCCAGGACGCAGAGGTCAGCAGCAACTTCCCATCCTAAAAAATACATAAGATATCGATAGGTTTCAGAAGAGTGAAAAGTTAGGATGCCAAAGCAATTAACTATTCAACACAAATTATCTTTTGAATGGCCAACATGCTCAAAATTCATGTTAAAATAATTAATTATTTATTATACATTTTTGATTACAATACATGAACCATAAAGAATGTTGAACACTTTTTTATTGATCCATTTTTAAAAATCCAATCTACAGAAACCTAACTGAGCTATAGAAATCATGATAATGCATTAAGTTACACATGGAAGGTTAAACTAAATGAACAAGAGAGGACCAAGCACTGAACCTTGGGGGACTCCAGGTGACAATGAAGCAGTGGAAAAGGGGCAGTTATCGATGCGTTTAAATTATTAACAATTTACTAATTACTAAACTAAAAGGCTACTGTCTACTTTAGTTGTGAATGAGCTGTATATATATTAAAAAAAACATGTGGTGTGATAAACGGCTTTGAAATTAATTAAACCCAAATCACTTGAATACGTAAACATCTTTAAACATCAATGTAGACACCTTTTTTCCTAATTCTAGACAAAACTGTATTGTACAAACCCTGGATGGTTCGAGGTGGGTGATGGCGGAGGTGTGGCAGGTATAGTTGGCCGCCTCTTCTCCTGTGAACACGTTAAAGAATTTCAGATGCCCCGAACACGTCCCCAACATGAGGAAACGCTCGCGGGCCGAAAACGCACAACACGTGAAGTCGCTCTCATCTCCAGGACCCTCGTGGAAAACTGACATGGGACGAAATCTGTACAGAAAAAAATGAAAAACAAGAGCTTTCTGTGAGCGAGTGTGTACTCCAGTGGTTTTTCTCAACCTAGAATTTTAGATGATATGGGGAAAAATGTAAATGTACGCAATATTCTCAAACTAGACTTAAACCTCTTCAAATTCAGTGGTAATGTAGATCCCCATTGGCTGGCTGACCAAATTTATCAAAGCCTATGTTTTGAAAATAAAATCAAACTAAGACATAACACTGCCTTATAATTTTGTGGGTAGCTTTTTTTTTGTTTTTTGTTTAACACAAATGCCAGCAGTTGTCGACGCTGCTACTGAAAAAGATTGTCTATTGTCTACCATCATTACACCATATTCATACATTGGCAAGAGTCTTTCCCAAAGACAAAATTACAGTATGCAGTATGCACTCAGACGGAAGTGGGAGATTCTTCAAACAACTGAGCCACTGTTGTCCCTTCTCACTCAGATCACATGCCTTAAGTATATGGAGAAAATGTTCTTTTTAGGATAGAAATTAGTTGATAATGAAGCAATTGGAACCATTTCTGTAAATATATGAGCAAATTAAAATGTACATTTGCTATTGTAGCCTTTAGCGTATGAGTTGTTAAAGGTGCATTATGTAATTTTTTTGGTTGGGGCTCCGTTACCTGCGTGTTTCTATGAATATATCATTGCTCTGCCTGGAATGTTCCACAGTACACCTTATATTTATTAAATTCTAACTCAAAAATACCTAGAAAAACAGGCATTCTGACTGAGTGGGGTTGCCTTTTCACAGACCTGACCTGTAACTTGGTCTGGTTTGGTCTCCATGAAGATACAAAGGTTTAATGTCATACTGTGAAACATTACAAACAACACAATAACATCTCCCTGGAGAAAAGCATGTGACAGACCCTACACCCACTTTCGGTCTTCCGTTTACCTCCATGTAACTGAAGTGTTTGAAGTTACCTGCTAAATATGAGTTGCCTATCGAGAGAGCCTCTGTCCACTCCTCCGTATTTGGGATATAGCACCCTGCTCCCCAAGCGGGCGGTGAAGTTGGGTGAAGCCTGTCTGCGCTGCTTAGACTCGGGGCAGCGGTGAGGGGCAAAGAGGGAGAAGGGGGGGCAGGTGGTGACCGGGTTAGGACAGCGAGCGTGTTGTTCTCTCAGATACTCAGTTATGATATTGTCCAGGGAGGGAGGGGAGGGCAGGTGCCGCTCAAACTGTTTCTTCATGGCTGGGGTCTGAGAAAGAGAAACAATTATTATTACTGTAATATTTGGGTATTGATGTGACACCCATTTTTGTTGTGATCACTTTAAATTACTTCCCAAATAATATTTTTCTTCCTCCAAAATTCAACCTAACTATGCATAAATATGTATTCTATAGAGTACATATAGATTTAGAATGAAGGCATGTTTCATTTCTTCATATTTTAACACTAAATACTAAAATGTCCAATGGCGTAACTTGTGAAACTTTTCTTTAAAAACTTTGGGCCAAGGGATGCAAAATGCCCAAGTCTTGTGTACAGGGATTAACCTCAAGCAAAAGTCCAGCTCTGGTAGCGTAAAATCCTCACTTGTATAAAAGCTCCATGATCTGACTTCTGCTTCAGAGGTTTGAGTTTCTTCCCTGACATGCACGGAGGCAGGGGGCGCTCTCGAGTAAACAGAATCCGTCCGACCCTGGATGACCCCTGAGCGTGCGGCGTAGTGTTTGGAGCGTGCTGGTGATGAGATGATGATGCATGGGACCCCTGTGCGGAGCGCGAGGAGCAGGGGGTGGAGGGGGCTGGGAGAGTCTGGGTCACTGTAGGAGAAGATCCAAGATGCCCGTCGGGGAATCTGGAAGTACGGATGATTGAGCTATTTGAAGATCATAATTATTTAGGTCACAATATAGTGTCTACAGAGATACATCTACAGATCTATAGAGTTATAATAGTAATTTCCATCCAAACTCTATTTCAAAATAGTACAATTCATGTTCTTTTTATCTAGCTGTTTTGATCAGCTTTACTTTATCATTCAGAAAGTTTGATTGCATAAAGCTGGTCACATGTTTAATTTTAGATTTAGATTTTATTTGCACATACAGTAAAAACAACATTTCAAACAGGTAGAAATAAAAGAAAATGACTTTTTTGGTCCCCTATAACCATGATTTTTCACAACAGTCCTGAGCAGGCCAGTTGACTTTCAGAAGTATAAATATAAAAAACCATTACAAATCAGTGTTTGTTTTAATTGTCTTTTAAAGTAGTCCAGTGAGGAAATCGATTTGAGAGTCTGGGGTAAATTATTCCAGTGGGTCGGCCTCTGAACTTGAGTTTTCTTTGATTTGTGGAAATTCTGATTTTAAACTTGATGTTGATACTAAGAAATAGACTCGATACTCAATACTGATTCCAATACCAGGATGATCATAAAAAACATTCTTTAGACAATAGAATGTGATTTTCAATAGGAAATCATTGTACTTTTTTTTACATTACCACGCTGTCTTACATCTGAGTAATCTTCCAGTGGTCCATATATTAGTCTATGTGCTCTTGTACTTGTTCTGCTACAGCTCTTGATCATTGTAAAGCTATTCAGGAACAGTTCATTTCCTTCCCGCGAATGTGTGTTTTAAATTTTTTTTGTACGGATATTTCTTCAAATGACTATCTAGTTCTAAAGCTAGTTTTAGTATTGATTAGTATCTGATTTTCGATACATTTGACAAGCTTACATACTGTAACATACAGATAACAGAAATTGAAATTGAATTGAAATTGAAATGAAAATTAAGGATTTCACAGATGGTGTCAATAATCAGGAAAAATAGTTAAACTGTGGCATTTTTTTCTCTTAGACTTAGACTTAGACAAACTTTATTTGGACACAGTAGCTCACACATCACAATATATTAATAATAAAGCGCAAAAATATGAATAAATCCTAAATAAGTAGCAAAAATAGTAAGAGACTGCTGGCAAATAAGGCATAATTATATAAATGTATGTACATGTATAATAATGTAAGTTAATAAATTAATAATGTAAGTTAAAAAAACTCTTATGTATCTCAAACAAGTAAAAATCAGTAATCACACACACACACACAAAAAAATGACATCCTTACCTGTGGGTCCTTGGCATCACGGGGCATACAGACGTAGGGGTGACTGTGGAGGCGTTTGGGCAGAGGAGTCCCATGTTCAGATTGGCTTCTTTCACCAGCAGGTTGGCGGTGTCGTGGAGACCTTTGCTCATGAGGTGGTTCCTGATGAGCACGAGCAGTTCCTTCTCCGAAAAGGCGATGCGCGTCTGTGCCACCACGTTGGCCCTCTGCAGGCGCGACAGGGACACGTCGGTGCCCATGAGAAGGGGTTTTCCTGAGACCCTCTCCGTCAGCTCCATGGCGTAACGGCAGAAACGCACGTGCTCACTGCGCTTGTCCTGCAGCACTGGCTCTTTCATCAGCTGGAAGGTAAATTAATAAGTGCTATGTAAAACTATTCTCTGTAGAACTGTTCAACCCGGGCCTAAAACTTAACTCTAGTGCTCCCCTTGTGTTGTATTTTTAGTTGTTGGGTTCAATCTATACATTAAAACATAGATCAGAAAATAGTGTGATAGAGACCCTGTAAGAAATTTTTTATTGGCTTTATTGTTTTAGAATTAGTAAGATCAAATTTAAGCAATTATACCTCTTGAAAAATATTTTATCCAATAATATTTTTTTATTTTTAAAAATAAATTTAAAAAATTTTAAATAAAGTGTGACTATCACGTAAAACTCTGCCCACAGCCACAATCAAAATTAATTCATTAAAAAAAATACAAGAAAAATTGCAGTAGAGCTGGTTTACCTCACAGACCTCTTGAAATGTTTTGGCCAGATTGTAGACAGATTTAGACCACTGAGTTACAAATTACATAGTTTGTACTAAAATGGCAACTTTGGAACAGCAGTGCTATTAAAACACTGTGTACACTGTTAAAAACACATCCTCACTCACCTGCTGTATCTGTCCGCTGGAGAAGAGGGGCAGTTTTCCGATGATCTGCCGGACCGCAGAGCTCCGGGACAGTCCTACCAAAGCTTTACAGGCCAGAGTTCGGATCAAGTCTGCATCAGTTATGGGCACTTTTACAGAGAGCAGAGAGAGCAGCACCTGACGAAGACACGGATCAACATTTCATATTGAGTTCTACCACAAAAAAAATTTGTATTGAATCAATCAAACCAAACCTAATCCAGTTTTAAAGGTTCTATATTATGCAAAAATTACTCTTGTGAGCTTTAAGCCTTGTTAGATTGTTGTTGCCTCCACAAAATCTTGAGTTGTGTTTTGTTTCATTCACACTTGTTTGAGTAATCCTTTATTATAAGTCTGTCTTCATCTCTAAAGCTCAAATTGCTCTGTTCCACCTTGTCAGTTTTCTTGTTAAGTTAACAGCTAGTTTAGTAGAGATTGGCAATTCCAGGGCTGAAATTATCCAAATGATTCTAAAAATGTATGGAGTTTAACAAAACAGTGGAAAACAACTCTGGGTATGTTTTTGATGAGGAAACAACATTATAACAAATCAAAAATAGTGTAATATAGGCCTTTTAAAATGAAATACTTACAGAATAGTGTTTAAGTACTAAACTTGCTTAAATTTCTAACCTCATGAAAGCAAAAGAGACCAAGAAGAGCCGAGTCTGTATGAGCAACAAAACCCAACCAAAAATAACTGATTCATTAGTAACTATTTTTATAATTTAGTAATAATTACAAATACAGACTAAATCTAAAACATACCAAGTGCTTTGAAGTTTAATCATGCAGCATACATTTGAACTACTTTTAGCTCAAAGTAGTAAAAAATAAAACAGGCTTTTCGCAATCTACTGACAAATACACATAATAAAAATAAAGAATCAAAGCAAAAATAATTACTTGCAGCCCTATATGAAATCTAAATCAGGTTATCTACGCAATATTTATGGTGAGAATTGCGTACCTTTATGCCATTGTTGTTTTGCACCACCTGCCACATATGGGCCAGGACCCTGTTGTGGGGGGAGGTGGGGTGCTGGGAGACGGAGGTTCTGAGGGGGCTGATGGGAAATGCCGCAACAGCATGACTCTGGTCCGGAGCACACACACAGTTTATGATCACCTGTGGACCACAACATCAAGGATATATTATACACAGAAGTAGTGCAAATAGTAATTTTCCTAAATTTTTAACTACTTTGAACTCCTTTGCCATCGTTGTTATACAAATGACCTAATAACAACAAGGCTATCAGCACTAAAGCTGTGTAGAGAAGGTAATTTGAGCACTAGAGGGACGTTAAATGACTGGAACAAAACAACTCCAGGTATACTGAAGAATCTTTTAAAAGGTATAGCATCTTAAATTATAAGTTAATTGGAGCCCTGAAAACACATATGGCAGGTCCTACAGAAATCCAGATCAGACTCTCATATGTGAACTATTTAAAGCTCTGATTGCTTATCCATAACTAACCAGACTGGCGCCACCTAGTGCCTCCGCTCAATTTCATTTCTTTCCAGCGACTAGGTCAGGAATCAGAATACAGTAGATGTTTGCAAGAACCCTGAACACCATGAGGTTGTAGACCGCGCACCAGCCAATCAGTGAAGAGCTGTGAAGCCATGAAGTCAAACTCCAGCGCCTGTCTGGGTCCCTTTTGTGGTACAGCACAACAGTAAACAAAGCGGCCAAGATGGATGTAGACAAAGCCATACATTCTGTGTTGGCAACGATTCCCGAGATGGAGGATTTAAAGTCAGAACAAAGAGAATGTTTGGTGAATTTATCAAGGGGAAAGACGTTATTGCCCTTCTTCTTACGGGATCAAATAGCAGCGATTGGTTAAATTAAAAAGTACCAGCCTTCCGTAGAGCAAACAAATCCTAGACAGTTAAATCAGACGGTTTCTATGAGGTGAAATGGATCAGGCTAATAACTACATAACCATAAATACATTAAAGGAATATACTGGCAGATGGATCACATATGAATTAAATACAGATTCACTAGGAAAGGACCACGCCACAACAATGGTATAAGATTAAGACATGTTTTGACAATGGATAGATGCGCTGGCTGGGAGACTCTGAATAGGTTGAAGGATGAACAACAGACACTGGGTGGGAGGGAAGGGGTTGAGAAAGAGGAGACGGACTGTGTTGTCGTAGGCCTGTAATAAGCTTCTGGATAATTGAAGGTGTGGTTGAGCTGAGGTTTGGTTTGCTGGAAAGGAGCAGGATGCGGTGGAGAAGTGGTCCTGCTTCTGAATCTCAGTCATATTAACTCCACTTACAGACTGAAAAGTATTGAAAGGTAAATTGAAAGTAGAAGTACCTGTAACGCAGACTTCTGTATCTCTGCATCGTTCACAAACACCTCGCCTTCTGCAACTCTCAAAATGATGCTCATGCCTAAAAAAAAAAAAAAAAAAAAACCCATAAAAATTGATGTCTTCCAAAGAGTCACTGAATCACATGTACGGTAACAGAAACATAATACTGACCCACAGTGGTGACAGTGGACCTGCTCTCATCCTCCACCTCCACAGTCTCAGCGAGCACCAGCTGCACTTTGGGGACCACAGTCAGAATGGCCAGGACGTCCAGCACATAACGTACCACATCACCCCTGGAAACAAACGCAACAAAAACACATGTGGAAATCAAGCTGGTGAAACTGTTTAAGACCACATTTTAAACATTAAAAGCAACACACTGAAAATGTTCGCAGTGTGTTGCTTGATAGCCTGCCCAGACTTAGATCAAGCACCCGTAAACTTCATTGTTTCCTCACGCAATTGTAACTCTATGAAGTTTCTGCCAAGTCGCACTGAAAAGATTACAGTGTATACTCAAAAAATACCACAATGGATAGTGAGTTGCAGGTGGATGTCACTGACAACTCACTGACAAGATACAGGGTTCCCACTCTTTTTCACTGACAAAATTTCAACACTTTTTCATGACTTTTTTTTTTTTTTTAAAGTGAATTTTCCATGACTTTACAGCACCTACTTGTGTAAAACAGATTATTATCTATTATTTTATATTTTACGCTTTGAATACAAATTTGCATTAACTTTGAGACACAGTGTGCTGATGTGCAAAGAGCCTATTCCAACAATTCGCTGAATGTCTCTCTCACTCTTAAAGCCATTTCACAATAAAACAGGTTGATGCCTGTCCAATAATCCAATAATGCCTGTGATTTAAAAAAACTAAGTGGAGGATAGGACACAGGGTTACCGGGCTCATCGCATAAATAAAACCTCACGGAAATTCTGAAGCCAATATATTAATCATTTACTATATACTGAAATTACATCTACAGATCTTTTGTGATGCGTTCAAGTTTTACTACTTAATTTGTTTGTGAGTTGAGAAACATTATATTTCATTTTTGCTATATAAATTATTTGCTGTACTTAAATAAATAGGTAAATATATTTTTTTCTGACAAACTGAAAAACATGATGAACTTTGTTTTCAAAATCAAGTCACACTTCGGATGCCAGCAGGGAGACAAATGTTTCTAGGCTGCAAATATAAAAATAAAATAAACTGTTGAAAAATAAATTCTAAATAAATCAACCTAAACGTACCTGCCACTGTAGTTTCTCCAGTCACACGCAGCGGAAATCAGCTGTAACATCAGAGGAACACAGGAGAGTTTGTAGAAGACCTCCACGGGCTCCCAGTGAAGATGAGGAGGTCCACTCTCTATCAGGAACTCCATCAACTCCACCACCTGCTCCCTGGTGTATGTGTACGCCTAACAAGGGGACAGCACAGAAGATGTTGAAATTGCAAATAAACAATATAAATAATTTCAAACACGTTATTGAGGGGAAAACTGGGTAAAAATTAGGGATGTAAAGGCACATGTATTCGTGCCGAATCGTGTTAGTAAGGGACGTTAGGTTCGGAGTGAGTTCGCACAGTTTGTGTGTGTTTACATGTCGTCACTACATGTGCAGCTACATGGAAGGCTCGGCTCTTTAGTATTCAGCTGTGATAAGTAGTTTGGATGGCCTCTTTGACAACAATTGCCCCCTGCTTTGTCTACGTCCCTACGAACCACGTGAATCCTGGCAATACTACGGTCATTGGACCTCAGTCCTCACTTTCGCCAGCACGGAATCTCTATCCCCGGAATATTTTTTATAATATTTATTTATTTACATTTGTTGCTTATTTGAGGATATTTTATTTAACTTAATAGTATTACCAAGAAACATTGGATTTATTTAATTTTGCCATTTGTATAATGTTAAAACAAATTGTTGGTTTAATAAACACACAAATGGTTTCACATTTTGTTCTAATACTGTACCGAAAATGAACCAAACTGTGACCTCAAAACCGGGGTACGTACCAAACCATGATTTTTGTGTACTGTTACACCCCTAGTAAAAAAAATATATATATATATATATATATATATATATATATATATATATATATATATATATATATATATATATATATATATATATATATATATATATATATATATATATATATATGTATATATATTAAATGAGACACAAAAGGACTCACTTTATAAAACGGCTGCTGAGGAACAATGTCTGAGGTCTGCTGTTTCACTTGTTCAGCCTTCACTGCCAGATGAGCCTCAAAGTACCTAAACACAACAAGAACAGCTGCAGGGTCTCATGCACATCTTTCATAACAAGAGGACAAGTATTTGACAGACCCTCCACCAGAAACGTTACACATTTAAATGATAAAACTGTCCATAATATGAGTTATACCTGCGCAGAGCCATAGAGGTGTGTTTGGCCGTTTGGCGACCTGAAAACACTTCGTCATCTATCATTACTGACAGACTGTTATCAGAGTTGAGGATCTCCAGCGTGCTGATCTGCAAGAGGGAGAAATATCATCAAAACTGTCATTATTTGGTTACTAGTTTTGTTAAAAGGTCCTATATTACACAAAATTGACTCTTGTGAGATTTTAGTCATGTTATGATATTGTCACTTCATCGAAAATACACCTGAATTTGTGTTTTGTTGTTGAGGGAAGAACAAGAACCTGCCTAAACATGCAGGGCTTGTGCATTAAACATGTGTACATGAAACAAAACACAACTCCAAGTGTGTTTTTGATGAAGTAATGTGGGCCCTTTAAGTTGTGAATCTCTGGCACTGTGTACAGACCAGGTTAACAAGGCGCCGTAGTCCATCCTTCTGGTCAAAGAGGTGGAGCACGGCCCTGAAGGAGAAGGAGATGGAGAAGAACATGGTGGCGTGGCAAACTCCAGACGAATGGGAGGACTCCAGTAACCACAAAGCATACGACACCACCTCAGAAAGTACACCGCCGGGAAGCATGCACACCTGGAGTCAGATATAAGACAAAAAAAAAAATAAAATCAGATAATGTCCTTTAAATCATCATATCATCTTTGCACTGTTTATTCTTTACGAGCTCTTGCATATAACTGTGATATATTGTATTTACATTATTGTATTTTGGCACCAGTCTCTTCCTATTTCTGCCACTTATTTAGAATTCATTATTACCATTTATATTTTTTTTGTCTTTGTTATTATGATATATTATGATGTGTGAGCTACTGTGTCCAGATAATTTCCCTTGTGAATCAATAAAGTTTGTCTAAACCTAATATTAACACAAACATTTACTGCAGACATTTTAGCACATGTCTAGACAAACTGCTGCTGTGTCCTTGGGCAAGGCACTAACCACCGTGCCAATATGGATGTGCTCACTGTGTGTGAGCATATGTGACTGATTAGTTGTGAATTAATTGTAGGGCTGAGTAATCACAAAATAAATTAATATCTATTATATTTTTTGGTATTGTCCCAAAAACAATATTGGTCAGACAATCAAATTTTTACACAGCATTTTTCCACTTTCAAAGTGCTTTACATCAAGGAAACACTCGCCCATTCATACACACATGAGGTAAGTGTCTTGCCTCAGGGCACAATGAAACCTGTGGGTCAGTGGATCTGATTGCTCAACCAATGATGTTTTTTTCGAGAACCATCAACCTTCGGATCAGTGGATAAATGCTCTACTGAACCTACTGTTGCCCATATTCAGACAATATTTAAATGTGCCAAAATGAGCCAGTAAATGCCTTTGTTGAAGTTCAAGCACCTCCTTTTTTAGGAAATAAAAATAAAAGTATCAAATGCAACTGAATAACATGTATTCCCCTACCCTCTCCATAGAATCCTGGTTGTAGGCCAGATAGTAGAGACACAGGGAGACTCCGGTCGCTGCCATAGAGGGCCGTGGGATCTCCAGCAGTTTTTGGACGCCTCCGTGAAGAATGAACTCGCCAGCAAACTTCTTATGAAGCAAAAGAGAGGCAAGGAACTGGAGAGAAAAAGGAGTGACGAAGGTTAAAATACATTAGTGCAAGTTTCTATTAGAGCTGACCATTTTAGCAACTAAGAGCTTGAGAAAGTCATTTAGCTTTATTTAGTTGTCTACTGGAGACAAATGTAAAGCAGGTCTAATATAAAATAAATATTAAATCAAAATGTTCTGTATATCTCTGCTTGTGTAAACAGTGTTAACCTAAAAAAAGCCGCACCCCCAACTTTATCCTTCCCTCACAGACAGGCAGTGTGTGGGGAGTGGCCAAATGAAACCCCTGATAAAGTGACTAAACCTGTCCAAAAAGTATACAGGACAAAAATAAACAAGCTCAATGCTGCATGATTATTTATAGCAAACTTTGGAATCTCTACGATGCGAAAGAGCAGTAGATTCAGTACTTTCATGAAACAGATCATATGTGTGATATCCTCACCAGCAGAGCATCGAAGGTGAGCTGAACGTTCTTGGTCTGCCTGAGGTCGATGTAGTTCATGAGTAAAGTTCGGGTTTCCATCTGCATGAAGATGGCCAGTAACTATGGAGAAATAATAAAAAAGTTGCCATTGAATTCAGAAACAGGCAGGTAATAGCTGTAATGTGATCACACTAGTTGAAAAACACAATAACATTCCAAATTAATGTTGCCATAAGCTGTTATATACAGAGAATGGATAATATCACAGAGACCTTTTAGGTTTAAAGTTGTGTTTTGTCATAGATCTCACCCAAAGTTATCCAGTTTTCTTTTTCTTATGTAGTTTACAATAAGTTAATACTTGTAAATTACATAAGAAAAAGAACATTTAATTCTGAAATAAAATTGGTTAAAATGACAATTCAGTGATATAAACATTTAATTTGACCATGTTTATGTGAAATAATGATGAAATGAAATGCACGCTACATTTAATATAACACTGCCTTTGAGACTTATAGACTAGTTTGTGTAGAAATTTTGCTAAAACCCACTTAAATGACTGATAAATAATTGAAACAGATGCAGCCTCATTCTTTTATACCTCTTGGTAGTCCCCCAGTGGCGTCAGATACTGCAGGATCAGTCTCTGCTCCATCGCAGGGGTCAAAGGTGAGAGGCTGTACTCTGAGCCAATCACCATGGAGCTCATTTCAGACCAGGAAGCGCCGTTTGTGGCCGGCCCTGCTTCCTCTCTCGTCTCTGTCTCCTCTTCTGGCTCGGATGACTTATCATTTGATTTCCGTATAAGCTTTCCTTTTTCGTTTCCGTTTTCGTATTTCCGTTTTCTCCCTGTTGACGGCACGTCTAAATTGTCTGGACTCGTTTCATTCGCAGAGTTTGGGAATAGTTGTTTTGACATTGCACAGTTATTCACTCCACTGCTACTGCTGCTGCTACTGCCGCCACCGTTGGTGTTTTTCTGTGGGGAACTGAAGGTAGTTTTGGATTTTCCGTTGCTTTCCTCTTTCAAAGATGGCGTCTGGCCTGATGTCTGTGGGTCTTCAGTCGGAGAGTCTTGAGGTAGATCACTGGATTGGGCGGGTTGGCTGTTGGCCTCTTCTTTCTGTAGTTCACGCAGACGGCTGAGCACGAGCGGAACCTGTAAAATGGACAAAACTTTTTAAAATTAATTAATTAATTAAAATTCAATATAAATTACAATGGTTGTATAATTCTCCTTTGAACAGTGGATGTTCAGTACCTGGCAGTTGGAGAAACTGTGTTACGGTGATACATTTAGTCACTATTGATTATTGCAGAGCCAATAATGTGACTGATATTTTTTTAATAGCCCCTACAATAACTGCTGAAAATTCATTACTTCCCTGGGTTTATTGGCTGACCAGCCAGTTCCTTCTACATTTTGTAGAATCCAGAAGGATCTGGAATCAGACCACAGAGCGTGAAAATCCTTCATCCAAACTTGAAGCAGTCCAATCACTAATTTGTAGCACATGGCTCTCAAATATGGAACACACCTCCTCTTGAAAATTCCCATTCAGAACAAATAATTTAATTTCTTTGATCTGAGATAAGAAATAGCACTTCGATCGATCACTCGTCTTTGTAAAGTTTTGTCACATTTCTAACTGGTCAGGTAACCTAAATTATACTGTACTCTGATTGTACATAAACTGCGGCTTTAAATTTTAAGTAATGTCAGGACACCTCAATTGCATTGACTTTCCTGACTTTGATTCTTCCACATTTCCTTTTACTCCCTTGGTTTGATGTTCTTACCAGCTGAGAGTTCTCATCTTTGTAGCTGGGTGCCACATCCTGGCTGCTCATAGCTCGCCCCAGCAGTCCTGTGGCATAGACACCAAGGGGCCTCTCTGCTTCACGTGCCCATGTGAACAGCTTCTCTATCAAACCCTCCTGTTAAACAAATGATATATTAGAATTAACTACTTCAGGGGTCTCCACCCTGTAACTCGGAAGCTACAGGGTGACTTATGATTTATAATCATTTATGTTTGATAGGCATCTAACTGTACCTCATCCAAGGCTGTGTCTCTTATATTTACTCAGTTTCTTGTGACTGTTATAACTAGTAGCTCTCGTTTTGTAAAGGTAGCTCACTGGAGTAAAAAGGTTGGAGACCCCCACTTTAAACACACAGGCCTATTTAAACACCTGTGTAAATCCCCACATGCTTAACTACTGATTATTACAATATACTCAATATAAAATATGTTTATTACACTTCATTTTTATTATTTAAATTATTAAACCAAAACCTGCTCCTCTGTTCTGTGGTGCTTCAACTGGTCTACATATGCACAATGCAGAGGGTCACAGAAGAGGGGAGCTTCTCCTTCTTTTCTTACTTTAAACTAAGTTATATAGTTAGGCCTAAATGTCCCTTAATGGCTCTTTTCCAAACAATGCTGAAGCGGCTGAATTAGACACGTGTAAATTTGATTACATTATTTCTCAATCTTTTTCTATCAACTTTAGCACTGATTATGTGGTTCATTATTGGTCCTATCATTAGAAAATAAAAACTGGGACAGAGTTTAAAGTGTTCTTTGTTTGAAAGTGTGACCTAAAAGTCTCTGTGTGGAGGGGTCTTTTACAAATTTCCAGAGCTTGAGTGAGGAGCAAAACTCTTTCATACCGGAACCAAATGTAAACACGGAGGATACAATCTTGCAAGATCATTTTACCCATGTGGACCCTGGCTCGAGATTTCATCTCATCCCTATAATTTACTGTACCTTCTCTTGAAAGACAGCACTTGTTTCTAACCCCGGGACAATGTTTTGAAGAAGACGACACGCTGCTGTGTTGAGGCTGATCTCTGTGCTGTTTAAGATGTACGTGTCCAGCAGCTGAAGGAGACAGAAGTGCACTTAAGAGATTTGTCAACATTGAAAATTACAATGATAGAAATTAATAAATAAACTTTAAATTTTAGTAAGAGAATAGATATTAAAAGTTGCTCACTGCATTAGTCAGATCTTCATTTGCAAATATTGTTTTTAGCAGTTGTCCTAAAGTGCACACTGGATCTGCCCGTCCTGTGAAGAAAAACACAGTAAAATCATAGTTAACTTTCTTTTTTTCATCAGGTAAATCCATAAAAACAAATTCAGTCAAACCTGGATGTCTGTCATCAAATGGGTCGGGGTCTCCTTTGTGATATTCTCTTGTCTCTCGTTCAATCACCTCAGACATTCTGTGGCAAATAAAGTTAATTAATAAAGTGATAATACCAAATAGTCAAATGTAAACACATGGGGATAAAAACAGATACAGGACTACATTCATACTGTACTCCATATGACCGTGCAACTCATCCTTATGCAATAGATAAACCTATGTCCAGTCAATAACCATTTCATCTTTACTTGTACATAAACATTTATATAATTATGCCTTATTTGACACCAGTCTCTTGCTATTTTGCTACTTATTTTGAATTTATTATTACCATATATATTTTTGCTCATTGTTATTATAATATACTGTGATGTGTGAGCTACTGTGTCCAAATAATTTCCTTCTGGATCAATAAACTTTGTCTAAGTCTAAGTTTAAGATAATTTTCCTCATATGTCAGAATCTTGGGTCAGGTTTGTCTCTGAAGATCTTGTCCCATCCCTCATGTACTGACTTGGTGAGCGTGGAGACCAGCTCCTCTGTAGATCCACTCTGGATGTCCTCCCAGTGGTCAATGAGGTCAGCGAGCTCTCTCCTGGCGTCTTCGGCCAGAGCCACGGTCATTGCGGCGGACACAGCGCTGGCCAAAGCCGAGGAGAGCGCTGCACTAACGGCGTCTGCAGCCTCCTCGTCTGAGGCCTCCATGGCTGCCTGAGGAGGAGGAGAGGGAGAGAGCGGGAGTAAGGATTAATATCGATACTTTGCAGCAACATCATTCTGGGGATATTCTACATGTATCTTTAATGCCGGAATGTTTAGGAGTTATCATGGTGATACAATACACACACTAGCAAACACTGTCCCAAAAAAGGAGCCTGCGATCAAGATGCGTGTTTATGGTCCCGTTTAGGTGTATGATTTTCAACAAAAAAGTTGAAATGAGAAAACTGTTGGCTTGTGACAGTAGTTTTATCAGGGTATCCCCAAGTTTGGCTACCCCAAATTTAAGACTTTTTAAAGACCTTTTTTAAGACCATTTAAATGAAAATTAAGACCAACATCGCACCCATTATGCAGGCAAAAAACACCAGACCCAATTCTAATAATGACCAACCAACTATGGTTCTATATCTACTCACTGCTGCTGGCGCCAGAAATCACAGTATTGTTCAGGCATACTCCAAATTAGACGTTCATTCAGATTACCGTATTTCACGTTGATGTTTTTTTCTCCTCCCTTGATTTAACTTTGCACTGCAGACCGGTTGAGTTTACAAAAAAAACAGGCTAATGAAATTTAAGACCTTTGTGAAAAAAATAAGACTTGGACAACATAATTTAACACTTTTTAAGGCCTTAATTCAGGAGAATGAAATTTAAGACCTTTTTAAGACATTTAAGACCCCACAGCTACCCTGTTTATATGTCAAAGACTTATTAACAGTACAAATGCACCCTACGTTTTGGGGAGAACAATGACAATAAGGTCGCTATCGTGACCACCAGGCCATGTTACCGGGCACCCGTCGATGACATGAGTGTTAATATGTTTGGAAATGGGCGAGCGCAGAGCTGAACTATCACAATAGGCTCTACAACACCCTGGATACTTGGTATATTGTAGTAGTAATAAAATAGCCAAATCACAAAAATAATCCAGGTCTAGTCATGATCAAGCCCTTCCTACTTTAGCTGTTAAAACTCAATAAAACCATTTAGTGAAATTAAACTTAAAGATCCTATATTACACTAAAATGATTCTGGATTATGAATGTTTCCTCATCAAAAACATACCTGACCAAACATCCAAAAATGCTCTTTTCCACACTGTGATATCATGTAGCTACATTTTACCCTTAGTTCAGTAGAGATTGGCAACAGTGTTTTCAATTTGAGAGAAGAGCTCAGCCAAAGTCTGCAGGGTTTGTGTGTTATGTAATATGTGTGGATGAAACAAAACACAACTCCAGGTGTGTATTTGGTAAGAAAAACACACAACAACATTATAACATAGATCAGAAAAGAGCATAATATGGGCCCTTTAAAGGACACGATGATCAAATAGGGTAAGTTACAGCAATGGAGACTTTATTGCATCATAAATTTAAGTTACAGCTAAAATCTTATTGTGCCAAGTGATGTTCAAAGTGTCGAGACCCGAGTTCAGACTCACTCACCGCCAGTCGTTCACTGACTCTGCGCCAAGATCTCATGCTCGCTGTGGGTTTATAAAAGAAAAGACTTTTGTGTTGAGACAGACATGTGTCCTCTGTGACAGCTGCACGGCACACAGCAGCTCTGTCTCTGACTCTGTCTGACCCGGGCTAGCGCGGGTAAACGCCGAGACCACACTACGTACAGCTAAGTGGACTTACCCAAACTAGTTCTGTGGGGGGTTTATCAGCTCAGTTCGTGATAAAAAAAAAAAAAAAAAACAGCCGTAACCCGGGAGCGTGTAGGTGCTGTGTCACAGATAGCGGTCGTGAAGCATGTTGACAGCTCTGCCTCATGTCACCGAGCACAAAGTTGAGCTAACTGTGTCTAAAAGTGCCCTTTACTCACCCGATTACGACTTTTCTTTCTCTTCAACGGATGTCTGTTATTGTCGTATGTGAAAAATAAACTTATGGAGCAAAAATATGCCCAAAAACATAAAAGATGACGGGAAACGTTTCAGGTGGAAAAGTTTCACGTTTATTTTCAAACTTCTCCCGACGGTTGAGTTCTACGTCACTGTTTGAGAGTCGCACGTCGATGACGGAGCACAACAAAGCTCATGGGAGTTGTAGTTCTTTGTAAGAACAGATTATTATTATTATTATTATAATAGTTCAAAGTAAATAGTTTGTAATTGGTGTTCAATAGAAAAATAGATTGCAAATATAATTGTGTAAACAGATTGTAATCTCACATATCCAAATTGGATATGTGTGCTGTGGCTAACATTTGATTTACTGGTAATCACTCTTTCCTTGAAGAAACTTGTATGTTTTAGACTACTAGACTTTATAAGAATCCCATCAGCTGTCCAAAGGCAAGCTAATATTCCCAGGACTATTCAAAAATACTTCAGTATCAATTCAAATGGACATACTGATGTGAAGCCTACAGGTCTCTTCTAACTCTGCTTTAAGTGACAGTGAATTAAAATCAATATTGGGTCATGAATGACAAAAGTTATAAACCAGTGCAAATTGTTTATTTGGCTTTTTGAACAAAATGCACTTTTTCAAGTTTGGTCTGCATGAAAAATCTGTTATTTTATAAGACCAAGAGATATGGACAAAGAAACAAATGCAAAAGCTGCCAGCAGGATCCTACATGTTTGATTTTACAATACTATGTCAATCGACATATGTCTGTGTATCGATACTGAAGCCTCCCTTTACAAACATAGTATGTTCAAAGCTTTGTCAGAATCAAATGTTCAGCACACTAAAATATCTGTATAAAGCAAAAATATAAACATAGAACTAGTAAATATTCTCATAGGGTGCTAATTTTTTCCTTTCTACAGTATAAAAAAATTTCCATTTGTCATCAGCAATCAACACTTGCGCAATAAACCAGTTTGAATAAAAATGTCCAAATAACACTATGAGCCATGTTTAACAGGGAAATAGAGACTTAGCAAAATACTTCTAAATTTTTATATTGTGCAGTCCTTATTTATGTTAGTGAGTTTTTAATTTGTCCCCAAACAACGTCATGAAGAGTCCGTAGAGAAAAGCCCCGCTGATAATGAGCAGCGTGCTAGACACTGGTCCGAATGAAAGCAGCGCCCCGAACATGTAGAGTAGCATTAGCATTAGCAGTGTCCTGTAGCTGGCCAGCGGTCGTAGGCTGAGTCTGGGATGTCGCGGCCGCTCCAGAGTCCGCTGGGTGACTGGACTGTGCCTTATTCTTGTGAAGGTTTGGGGGTCGGTCAGATAGTGGCGTCCTAAGCGTCCGAGGAAGTCCGACCGCGAGCAGAGGGCGTTCATGTGGCCTCCAAACTGTAGAAAAATATAGAGAAAAAAATTAATTAGATAATTTTTAGTTTGGCGAATCGCATTACACACCATTACGTATTTGAATAACATTTATCAGAGTTAGACTTTTGTATTTTTGTATGTGAAAAGCCAGGCTGTTCACATCAAAATTGTAGGGAAAATCCTTCAGAAATAGAACCATGTGTTTATTTGATAATGTTAATATAGCAATTACTGAAATAAAAAACCCACCCTTTCATTGATGGCGCTGGAGAGCCGGTAGAAAAGCCGGACCAGAGCTGCGTTCTCATAACTCCTGATGGGCTGCAGTTCTGGATCTCCCTGATACTGGATGTCGAATCTCCGAAGGCCATTTATAATCTACAATCCAGACAGAAACGTAAACTTCACACATAAAACAATAATATCCAAGTAACACACATATTTTAAAAAGTAACAAAAGAGTAAAAGGCTAACCTGCATTCGTCCTGTATCAGTCAGGATGAGTCCGTTCTCTCCCTGTATGCAGTCTGGGAGCTGTTTGGCGTTGGCATCCTCCTCAAAAGAACCTAGGTTTGACATCAACTGGGTCAGCTGCCCTTGATTCAACTGCACAGAATAATGACAAGAATACATGAACAAACTCATGGCAATTTGTGTAGAAAAAGAATAAGGCTGTGCAAACGACTGAAAGGTCTTTATTCCACACTCTTCTCTCTTAATGTTAGTTTTATAATGATTATTTATGTTTTGATCTGTTTGTATTGTGATTTTAATTTGGTTAATTTGGTTATTTATAAGGCAAGTTTATTTGTAGAGCTCGGTAGTAATTCAAAGTTTTTGTACAGAAAAAACTAAAATGTGGCTGTTTGCTGTAGGTGTCCAATCAGTTGGCGCAGGTAGTGGGTGCTCTTGGAAAAAGCATACAAACAAGGAAAAATATAGTTAAAAGGCCTTTATTTAGATGGCCAATGCCAACATGTTTCGACCAAACTTGTCTTCATCAGGGCCATGTTGGCTTTGGCCATCTAAATAAAGGCCATTTAACTATTTTTCCTCATGCAATTTTTACTTCTTTGGAGTGCCTGGAGTCTGTTTGTGCTTAAAGTTTTGATACTTTTTCCAAGAGCACCCACTACCTGCTCCAACTGATTGGACACCTGCAGCAAACAGCCACATTTTAGTTTTTTCTGTACAAAATCTATTTACTACTGAACTCTACAAATAAACTTGCCTTGCCTTATAAATAACCAAATCTGAAAAAAAAAACAGACTAGATTACATTGCTACAAAATTTTGGAAAATGTTTTAATTGCCATGGATTTTTAATATATGTCTAAAAGGTAGAACTCTGTTCCCTATGTCATGTTTACATTAAACGTTTCCAACAAATCTGTAGCAGACCTTTGCTTGGGCTTTGGACCAGGGTGGGAGGATGTTTTTCTTTTTGTTTTTCTTTTTGTATACAAAAGAAACTTAAGGCTTACAGTAATTGTGAATATGTATATATGTACATGTAAGCGTACACATGTGATTATATCAAGCATTTCAAAATTCATAAAAGTACAGTCACTGTGATTATTGCTGTATATCAGTAACAAAAAAAGTAGGATTTTGTTGCAACTTGTGCATTGTACACAACCCCAGGAGCATTTGAGAGAAAACTGAAATATGAACGAATACAAGAATCTTACACATTTCACAACATGTTTGTACAGGTAGAAAAGACAGAATATTTTGTTCTTTGCAGAGAGCATCTACTATCTAAAAAAAACATCTTTGCAATTTAAAGGTACACTGTGTAACTTTTGTAGAAGTTTGTCTGTTTGTCTTCATGGAGATGTTATTGCTTTGTCTAGAATGTTCCACGGTAAAGATTAAACCGATCTATCTCAAGGGAGACAACTATAGGTTACATTTCAGGTCAGATCTGTGGAGAGGCAACCCTATTCACAGAGCGAGTTATTATATTTTTGAGCAATAGAAACACCCAAAATGAAAAAATGCTAGATGATGCATTCAAACTCGTACCACAGACCATTTCAAGCAAACCATAGAGACACACAGACAGATAATAAACTGCGACATATTGTGCATTGTCCTCTTATCTTACCTTAAAGATCTGACAGAGGAACTCCAGAGCCTTGTCCAGGAGGTCGTGAGTTTTCTTCAAACACTCTCCGCTCTCCTCCGGCTCTGTCCCATTAAATGCTGTGTTCTGATCGGGAGCTCCCAGACCAAACCAGGACAGGAAAGAGTTGTTGGCGGCCATCTCACTGGAGTGGTCTGATATTCTCTTGGCCGTCTGTCTGGCTTGGGCTATCTGCTGGATTAGCTTCATTATCTGGAACATTATATTATATTTGTAAAGGATCAAGCAATTTTAGGCACAATGTCAAAACCACAGACATGTTAAAAGGTACACTATGCAATGTTTCTGGCACCTTCTTCTTTCCACAGAGATGTTATGATTTTATATTTTATTATTGTGATTTTATATTTCATTATGTGATTTTTATATTTTATTACTCATCTTTCTATTCTTTTTTTAAATATAATTATGCCTTATTTTTTGCTACTTATTTAGAATTTATTACAATTTATATTTTTGCTCTTTGTTATTATAATATATTATGATGTGTGAGTTACTGTGCCCAAATAATTTCCCTTGTGGATCAATAAAATTTGTCTGTCTAATGTCATTGCTTTGTTTGGCATGTTTAACTGCATAAAATCAACTGAATATATCTTGCATTTATTTCAATTACAGGTGCTTTTTCTTTTGCTAAATATCTTTTTTATCATACAGTCTTAATTAGAGTGAAATCGTCGTTTACCTCTCCACAGATCTGACCTGTAACACTGTGTCATCACCTAGCTGTCTCCATAGAGATAGATAAAGTTATTAATCTCTCGGTACGATATTATCAAGATATGCATCTCACGGTACGATATATATTTCTATATTTTGGACAGATTGATTAATTGTAGATAGGTTGCTGTTTTGCTTTTAAAATACCCTGACAAGATTTTGATGTGAATTATTACTATCACAAAAATTCAAGTAAAAACATATTTCTTCATGTTGTCTGCGCTGAAATGAATCATGGGATATGTAGTCCCCGATGTTCATTAGCTGTTGCTACTATAAAAAAATGCATTTAAGCTGTGGATTTTGTAATTCGATATATATTGTGACAGCCCATGATATTATTGTGAGATTTTTGGCGATACGATATCACAATATTTTGGTTATTGTTACATCCCTAATTATTACCATACGTAGTGGACCGACCTTTAACTTATAAGAGACATCTCGTACTGTACTGGAAAAACTGAAGTGCTAATGGATTTGATGGCAGACAGAATGGTACTTTTTACTTGAAATTAGGAGAGAAAAATTTGTATAATTTGGTTACTGCAGTAGATAGAAATTCTTAGACCAGCATTAAGGAGCACGGAGTTGACTGCTTACAGGAGATTTGTTATTTACTCTTACAGTGTTGTAGTGGTTATCATCTATAAAACCTGGTGCCCAGAAGGAGCATTGGAGGAAAAAAGGCAAGTCAGATGATACATGTAATCACATTTAATAGATAAGATAGTGGTTACTGTAAATTACTGATGGATTATCTGGAAATATGCCAGAGTAAACACCAGCACCACAGTCATTACAGCAAGAGTCAGGCGGCCATTTTGTTGAACCAATTATGTATTTTTTGCACATTTTAGTTTACACGATAGAGACATGACTTACCGCTCCTCTGAGTTCAGTCCCAAACATCTGCTTGTACTGACAGTCCTGGCCCTCGATGGAGTAGACGTGGCTCTTCACCTTGAACACGGTGTCAGTTACCACTCTTTGCCGTGATGACAAGAAGCTCCCTCCCTGACCTGGAGTGAGGTATCCACCGCGATGCTGCCGGTGGTGGAGGACGTGCTCGGGCTCCAGGAATAACTGCTCTCCTAAAAACAAATCAAGTTTTAAATAAAACATGATTTAAAGCATGTAATCTCACTCAGAAGTACATCAAGGATCATTCATTTCATAATTCAAATGAAAAGTGAGGACATTTTGATAGAGGTGTGCCAAACTTGGTGATACAATGACAGAATTGTGAGCTGCTGAGTATTTTGGTATATTTTACAAATTTTGTGACATGGCAACAATTTTGTATCTTGATTTTCATATCAAATTGAACAACGGTGAGCATGATTTAAAAGAAACTGCTGGCCCACACTTAAATTGTAGGTGAGACCAATATCTCTTGTTATTTTTGCTGCTTATTTTTTAATTATTATTGCCATATATTCATTTTGCTCTTTGTTATTATATTACATTGTGATGTGTGAGCTACTGTGTCCAAATAATCTCCAATGTAGATCAATAAAGTTTTAAAATGTTATGATTTAATGCATGTAATCTCACCTTGCAAGTACATCAAGGATCATTCATACATACTGAAGAGTGAGGAAAAGAGTATGCCAAATTTTTTTGGTACATATTAGAACGTTTTGTGACAGCGCAACAATTTTGTAGTTTATTTATGATATCATATCGAGACTTCCAGCCCAAATTATTTTTAGATCATGCTCAATACAAGTTTTTTATATTTTTAATACAAAATTCATTCATACGACTAAGACAATTTAATGACATTTAAGACAGTTCATGAAAATTTATAAAGTAATTATGGCAACAGGTCCATCATCTGTTGCTAGATGTTAGGATTTCTCATGGTTGGTTTGATCTTAATTTCTCAAGAATAACAGATGCTTGTGAACCATTTTCTATCCTCCACCTCCATCTTGTTGCTGCACATGTTTTGGTATTTTTTCAAAGCTCAGTGAAATTATCCTTATGTGTTTAGCAGTAGCTTCTGGAAATGTAGCATTACCTTTCTGGATCATCTCTGGAAGATTGGTTTGAGAGAAGACTTTGGCCACTCGAAACACCATCAGAGCGTTTTTGGCATTGACCAGATCAGTCCTCAAGGCCCGGTTGAGAAACACCTGGAAAAGTTTAGTGTACACCAGCAGATTCTCCTGGACAAAAGGCTCCCTGAAAGAAAAACAGTTGATAGCATCAGTCAAAAATTATCTTTTTTAAGTTACTGACCCAGTAGAGGTCTTGGTTTATTTTGAATATATTTAAATCGTTTCTTCAAATTTTGCCTAAAATGACATACACAAAAATGCACCAAGGAAGTCTCACCATTTCTCTGGCACTGTCCTGTTCTGGTCTGGAGGAGAGGTAGTCTTCTCCCCTGTGTATCTCCAGGGCTGGATATAACTCAGCCACGTCTCCAAAATCTATGAGAAATGCAAAGGTCCACTTTTTTACACAAATAAAAACAGAAAAATTTGAACAATTATTTTATAATTATCTATCTTTTACATTCTCTGATATATTAAAAAAGAGCTACTTTTCATTAAATAGCCATTCAATTATTGTATTTAATATTTAAAACTGGACAAGGTTTAATACAATTTACATTCATGTCAAACTATTTAATACAGCAATGATTACTTGACCTAAGAGATAACAAGAAGCTAGTCTTAAAATCATCTTAAGTCTATATCCCATTGTGCCCCCTTGTGGTCATCACTGTGGAGACCAGATTTATTAATTAAAAAAATTCAGGATGATAAAGTTAATGTGACAAAGAGATAACAAGCACGTTTTGGAGAACAGATTTGAAATTTAGCTTCTACAAGAATACATTATTTTCAGTTTACGATTATATTGAGACCTGAATATTTACAATTATCAATTTAACTGAATAACCTTGAGAGTCCCACTTACTGCTCTGAAGGAAGCGTCCAGAGGCCAGTGCCCAAAGCAGTGCTGGAGAAACAGATAGAGCTTCTGCTGAACAAATCGCTGCATCACCACCCTGTAATAATAATCCACAACATGTAAAAACATACGTAAAACAAAACAATACAAAACAATTAATTATAGTGAAAAATGATGTAGATTCTGACCTTTTGAACTCCTCCAGAGGGCTGGCGTGGGTGTGGGAGTGGGTGGGAGGAGAGGAGGACAGCTGCTCTGGCTTGAGGCTGTTGGAGAAGGCGTGGAGATGTTTGACCAGGAGTCGGACCACCAGCACGTGTTCTTCTGTGGGACTGAAGGGCTCCTGTGGAAGACACCAGCCACAAAGCGCCCCCCGGGGTACAGTTCAGACAGTGCAGCTAAGAATTAATTTGTAAAGCAGCCAGTGATAATGCGCTTCCCATTCCAACAAGCAGCCAGATAACCACCAGAAGCTTGGAAAACTTAACAGAGCAACAATGTCCATGATTATGAGAGCTACAGATGATAAGAAGAACAAAAGCAAAAGCCTACATCATTAACATTAAAATTTTGTAAAAAAAATAAATAAAAAAAAATACTGAAACATTGTTGCTCTATTATATCTATAACAGTAACAATAATTACAGCCTGGAAATGCCAGCCTCTTCTGTTTATTTGTGCTTATTGCCTATTTTAATGCTCAAAGTGAGCAGTTTCAAGTGAAGCAGTACGTTTTAGTTTAGCTTCATGCAATGATCAATAGAAATGTAATCACACAATTTGTTACAGCATCAAAGCAGATTAAACCCAGTTAAAATCATGCATTAAAAATCCATATTGAAATAACCACAGCAAAACAGTGAACCTTAAAAGCTTCATTCCTGCATTCACTATTCACACAAGAATACTTCTCATTCAATATGGCTAAGAACAAACTTAGTACAACTTCAGGTTTAGATTTTCTGAAAGAAGATGTTTCAATGTTGTGTTTAATGCAATAGTCCTGATGTAGAAATAATGTAAGACAAATCATCAGATAGTTGTACATCTTGAGAAGCCTGTAGGTCATTTACAGTCAAGCCATGTAACCTTTCATTACACTAAATGTGATGTGTTGTCTGCCGTCAAAGACAAAACCCTGTTTTGTTTTGAGGCGGTGACTTGGACTTGACACAGAGAAGTATCCTTGAGTGTGAACTCAGAGACTTCGTTTACCTCCAGGAGGCCCCAGAGGGCCGGGGGTGAATGAAAAGGTAAAAGTACTTGGTAGGTGTGGAGGGTCCCAGAGCCTGGTGGGGCGTGGGTTTGGTACGGCATGCTGGACATACTGAGGCGGTACTGCAGCAGGGCCAGCTGTTCACGCAAAACCACCAGGAGGGAAAGAGGGACAGGGAGGGACCAGTGAGGAAGAAGGGGAGGAAAAGTGGAGAAAGAAGAGTGACGAGGAGGATCAGTGAAGAAACAGGGGCACAGAGGAGTGCACAGGCGAGAAGTAACCACATGTTCAAGAGGACAAACACAGGGAGGAGACAAAAGAACACATGACTGTGGGAACCAGACACTTTCACTGACAGAGACAGACCTGCCCCTGCTGTAGGGATGGGAATCATCTCAAATGATCTAAAGCTAATGTTACACAAAAGAGAAGACTACGAACACTGAATATACAGTAACTGGACTGATTCACCTTTTTCTTGAGGAAGAATCCAATTTAGAATGGTGGTCAGGAAATGTAAAACAGAAAGATTTACAATAACTAAACCCTATAAACTAGATATAAATGTATAATTCCCATCTCTATTTCTCCTTATATTACATTTATATTTTCTAGTGAACTTAAAGTTGCCATTTTCTGGAGCACAGGTGTGATTTACAATATTACTTTAGCAAAGCTGTATACATCCAGTGCCACTGTGCTCGTTTAAAAATGGTTCGACATCAACTTTTAGAATCACTAAAAAGTAATTTAAGTTCACATTAAACACAAAAACAGTCAGTAACATAAAACATTTTGACAAAATCACTTGCAGGACATGCAGGACAAAGAATGGGGCAGTTCAATTTAAAGAACATGCAATAAATTAGGCAAAGGAAAGTTCTACCATTATACAACATACAGTCAAACAAAATGTGTGTTTAACTTTATGTTGTAGTTTTACATGCAACCAAAACATGATCACACTTCAACATGCAGGAAACCAGAGGAAATGAAGCAAAAGCACAAGTTATACAAAAAATGCAAAATTAAAATAATATCTTTAGAACAGATGCAAATAAACAGAATACTTTACACTTCACACTGTACCAGCAATAGTAGTACAGGCTGTAGAGTACGCAGCAATAGTAGTACAGGCTGTAGTGTACGCAGCAATAGTACTACAGGCTGTAGAGTACGCAGCAATAGTAGTACAGGCTGTAGTGTACGCAGCACTAGTACTACAGGCTGTAGTGTACGCAGCAATAGTACTACAGGCTGTAGTGTACGCAGCAATAGTACTACAGGCTGTAGTGTACGCAGCAATAGTACTACAGGCTGTAGTGTACGCAGCAATAGTACTACAGGCTGTAGTGTACGCAGCAATAGTACTACAGGCTGTAGTGTACGCAGCAATAGTACTACAGGCTGTAGTGTACGCAGCAATGGTACTACAGGCTGTAGTGTACGCAGCAATGGTACTACAGGCTGTAGTGTACGCAGCAATGGTACTACAGGCTGTAGTGTACGCAGCAATGGTACTACAGGCTGTAGTGTACGCAGCAATAGTACTACAGGCTGTAGTGTACGCAGCAATGGTACTACAGGCTGTAGTGTACGCAGCAATGGTACTACAGGCTGTAGTGTACGCTGTACTGTACACCGCCTTATTTCACTTGATGGAAACATTTTACTATTTAAAACTACTGACAGCCACAGCAGTGCCTCGTGTGGGTCACAAAATTTGTAGTTCAGTCCTGTTTGTTTTGTTTGTGATGTGACTGAAGTGAAAACTCAGTAGAATAATATTTTAATCTTTGTTTTAGGATCCAACAAGAACTTGCTTACAGTGTGAAGTTAGTAATAGAAAACAGGAATTATGTTCATTCTACATATATATATAAAAGTAATAAAAAGGTGTCACTATTGGAATTTTAGAACAACCACAGTGAACATCCAAACTGAATAAAGAAGCTACAGTTCAGGCATGCCCAAAGCAAGCAGGGCCTGCGGGCCAAATACGGCCTTACAAGAGGTTCATTTTCATTTCGCTTTGTCCCCAAGGGGGGGTGCTGTGATATGAATCCAAAGCTTTGTTTTTACAATAAAAATGAAAAAATCCTAAATCCTTCACTTGCCTTGGTCTGCTTATGTGCATTTATTTGGACACACCCCCGAGAGGGGAAAGCATCTCTGCTATAGTTACTTATAGTTACTTGGAACATAAAATATATAAATGAACTGAAAATAACAGTATGTAAAACTACAAAAGGTGAAGAACACAGATTTCTGGAGAACCAATAGAAGATGCTGCTCATTGCAGGATTGAAGGCGTGTAGGGGTGTGGGCAGGTGTCCAGCCACTGCCAGCTGTGTGCGGCTATGATAGTGCAGGTGAAGGGGGAGGGGGGTGCTATGTGGCAATATATCGAAGTTACCTTAACCTGAGGAGACTGGAGCTTCTGGTACATTTCCAAAGAGTAGTGATGCAGCCAAACCTCCACGAACATCTGGGAGAAAAACAAACTCTTAACAATGTAACTACAGGTTTGGAGGACCACTGGCTACACACTAACACATAAGAAAGTCTAACTCACAAATGTTATTACAATAGATACAAATGAAAGTGAGAATGACGTATTTCCAAAAGCATCTTATGTTAACATTACAATTACACCTTAAAAATATGCATCACAAATAATTGAGTTTTAAACCACGGATATCATTTACAAAGCTTGTGCTTTTGGCGGTGATCTGACCTGTAGCAGAGCCTCAGTCCTCCAGATTTCCTGAGCGGCTGGATCTGCGTTCACTGTGGGCTGATGAAAAATGTGGTGCTTGAGGAGACTCGGACTGTGGACGCCATAACCAGACAGAGACACAGCAGAGGAGCGGCTGGAATCAAGAAATAAGAATTAAGCATGTATGTTGTTGACCATACCATACCCGTATAAAAAAGTCGACTAAAGGAGTGTGATGTGACCAATAGAGTTTGGCTCGAGTAAAATGACGCTCACAAAGCCTACCAGTTATAGAAGCAAATTTGGAGCCAAGTTCGACATTAGGGATAGGAACTGATTTATACAACAAGATAATGTAGAGCAAGTTAATACGAACATTTTAAGACCAAAATGAGGAACCTGAGAGCAACACTTACGGAGAGAGGGGCAACATTTATTTTAATACAAAGCCAATATGGAGCTGGAGTTGACAGAGTCGGAAATGTGCCCATGGCCACTTCCCACTGTATATGGAAAATGGCGGCTAGCAGGTAAGCAATTTATATATAATGTACGATTACTAGACAACATAAAAAAAGATGTAGTTACTAATTACAATTTGTGATTTATGTTTTCATAGTCACAGAAGATTAGAAGAGCACCATTACCACAAATTTAGCAACATGCAATAATGTGAAAAATGTAAGTCTCCTGCAAATAATTACTATATTGTTTTTTCACACCTACTTACAGTTTTAATACATAAATACCTCGGAGATGCGGCAGTGACAGAGCCCCTGGAGTCCGAAAAGGGAGAAGGAGGCACATTTCCTTCACTGGGCAGAAAATATTTGAGGTAAATGTCAACCAGCACAAAGTAGGCCGTGTCTGCAGTGTTGGTATGGAGGCCTGGAGGAAATATCTAAGAAAAGAGAACAGTATCGCTTAATTTTTAACAATGATAAGGCATCACATTAAGGTTTAAAATACTGCATGATCTTACTCACCTTCGGCATAAGGAGGCAGTATGCAAAATTGAACATGTAGTATTCAAATGGATCTGATAAACATTAAGGATAATCACATCACAGTAAAACTTATTAATTGCAACCTTGGCACCGCATAAGTTTTTCTTATTACTTTAGAAGTTCTTTTGAATAGTTCTTTTGAAGGATACTGAAGTTGAGAGTGAGGAGGCCGGACAGAGGAAACTGCAGCTTGTTGTGAAAAAGGGGGCAGTCTGGGAGCACTCCTTGCTGGATGGAGGCTTTGACGGGACCCTAAAGCGGAAAACAAATCAAATCATCTTGGATAAAATAAAAACAATAAATATATGTCTGTGTTGCATTAAGTAGGTGCGCTGTGTGCCTTCTGGTCGTCTCCATTATTACATTGCTTGGAATTATGGCATTAAACATATCCACCTTGTTTTTACTCAATTACAGGTGCTTTATTGCTCAAAAATACCTCAGAAAACATTTTTTTCCTGTGAGAAGGGTCTCCTCTACACAGATCAACTTATTTCCATGGGCATAAATACGTTTAATGCCATATTGTGGAGCATTTGAGGCAAAGAACTAACACTCTGGTGCTGGACCTCAAAAACATCCATAGTGGACCTTTAAATTTAATTATAGGGAAATATACTTGTGATAAACAGGGTTAAAATAACTTACCGGGAGATAGTTGACTGGCATTTCATATTTGTACTCCTCTGCTTGAAGTTTATAAACCAGCTTCATCATTGGGCCACTAAATATGAAGAATAAACATCTTATTAGAGTCTCATTAAAGACAGACTCTAGACAACATAAATGATGAATAATAAAGAGACCTGGGGTTTAAAAACTCCATGACTATGTTGTATTCAGGGCTCCTGGAGTGAAGCAGTCTCAGGTTCCAGCCTGTGATGATGCCGTCCAGGCTCCCAAACACCGTCTCCACCAGCCATGGGAAGATCAAATGTAACTCCTAAAAGTAAATGTAAAGAGAAAATTATTTAAAAAGATAAAATGTACAAATTATAGTTTAGAAATGAGTGCAATTGTGTTGAGGTTATAAAAATAGACATTATTTTTTTATCAGGTATAGAGAATGACACCAGAGGATTAGGGCTGTAGCTGACTGAAGCAATTCTTGATCAAATAAAACACACCCCGTTGATCAATTTTTCAACTAAAAAGGGGGTGTGGCAAAAATTCTAAAAAACATTGCGCATCTCTATGTATTCGACTGAAATTGCACTTACAAGACTACACTTAAGAGAGAATTTAGATTAAAAAGTTGGTTATACTCAGGGACTTCATTCATATATTTCCTATCTGCTGTTATCCCATTTAAATTTAAATGGAAAAATTCATTTTTATAAAAATTTTTGTTGACCAATTTACATTTTGTTGGGAAAACCAGAAATTTTCAGAGTAATGGTGCCTTGACTGCTGGAGAATAAAGATTACGTACATGCATAAATCACTCCAAATACAACTAAGTGGGAAAATGAGAAGGACAATAAATAAACCCTGGTTAAAAGCTCCCAAAAGTAGATTTTTGCATAACAGGCCTTGTGTAAAAATAACAGAGAGTAGAGATCATATTTATGCAAATATTTACGCATTACTGAACTGTGTGCCTTTTCATTTTACTTACTAATTTACTACACACTATTTGAAGTTACAATACAGGAAATATCAAGGATTACACTATTTAAAAAGCTGTAGTAAAAATCTGTAGTATTTTTTTTAAATGATACATAATAGAGCATGACCAGACTTCTGAATTTTGTTTTGAAAATGAGTCTCTTGTTTATGGTTTGAAAACAACAGCTACATTTACGGGGCATTCACATTTGCATAGGCACCACAGCAAGGTTGGGACTAGCCGGGAAACAAACCAGGACTAGACCAGGACTAAACCAGTGTGGGTACAAACCAATTTCAATTTTGCACTTTCAACCTTTGCGTCACTAGAGATCACACCACAACAGCTGTAACTTAACTTAATCTAATTTAGTCAGTTAAATGCACTTCCAATGTCACATACAAATCTCATGTCTCTATGTGTTTAGTCCCCAGACAGTTTAAGTCCAATTACCTCAATTTAACACATGTTACAAGCTCAAAATACCCAAGGGAAATATGCCATCTCAACACAAACAAAGCAAACAGCTGTAGTCCAGTTTACAGGCTACACAATGAACAATGAATGCCAGAACCTCAATGGACAATAGAGTAGTCCAAAAAAAGATCTCTTGTTCATGCTACAATTTTATAAAGAAATGTTTAAAAGACCAGTGAAGACATGACGCCAGTTCAGTTCACAGTGACAAGTTTACAATATTGTGCAAATTAAACATTGCTTATACAGACTAAAGCATTTTATCTTAATGATAGTTTCGTTTTCATCGTATTTAAGATGCAATGAGTGACAATATGTAACACAAGTCAAACCGCACTAACTAAAGATTGACTGATACAGGTTTTTTTTATGGTAAATGTCAATACTAATATTTTAGAATATGGAAAAACTGAAGGCTGATAAAGTTTGCTGGTATTTTTTGGATGATATTTTTTGCAGATTTTGATATTTATTGCCCAAATATACAATTTTAATGCACCATCTACCACCCTGTTTTACTATAAATTGTATATGAGACCGGTGTGGTCACCTTTTTTACAGAATCCTCTTAGAAATAAAATATTCAAATTAAGCTTTATGCAATTGTTTTAAGCAGCTGGTTGACCCAAATTAAATATCGGCATCGGCTAGAGATTTAAGGCCAACAGCTGATACCCCAAAAAGTGTAAATATCGACCTTATAATCGGCCAACTGATATATTGGCCTATCTCTAACATCAGCTCTGTATCGCATAGCTCTACTGTGTCGACTATAAAGAGAGTGTTACCTTCGCAGGATACTCATCGATTATTTTCACCAGATCTTGGCAGCGATGCAGGAGAGGTTTAGTTGTAGCGTCTGCCTTTAGATTGGCCTAAAAGACACAAGTTACATGTTAGTCAGTTTGTTCCATTATACCTATCAGTAAATAGGCAAATGACAAAATTATGAAATCCAACAACACTTAAAAAGGTGCACTGTGTAACTTTCCTAGTGGAGTGTCAAATGCTTTTCTCCATGGAGATGTTATTGCTTTGCCTCGAGTGTCTCACAGTACGGCATTAAACCTATCTATCTTCATGGAGACCAAGACCAGATTAGACCAAGTTACAGGTCAGTTCTGTGGAGAGGCAATAAAACCACCTGTAATGTAATGCATGTAAGGTAGAGCTTTTTAATGTCATACTGTGGAACATTCCAGGCAAAGCAATGACATATCCATAGAAACAAGCAGGTGACAGACCCCTCCAACCAAAAAGTAACACAATACATGGTTAAAGCTAGATAAAGTGACATTAAACTCTTCAGAAAGAAATGAATGGGACACTTGCCAGTAAAAAGCTGGGCTGTTGTAGCGCAGGAGCAGCCATGGAGCAGTCTGTGTCGTCCTCCTCTCACGTGTAAAGGACAGTTTACCTGGGTTAGATAAAAAATAAGTTTATTTTCCAGTCAGCCAACCTCTATTCTGTCTGAACCCGCTGTAATGTGGCTCACTGCCCACTGCCCACACTGAACTCTATGTAAAGTAACGTTAGCTCACAATGCTAATGCTAACTTACTGTGCAACAAATCAAGAAGTCTGTGAAAAAGCAGAACGGGCTGTGGTTGGAAAATGGAGGGGATGGGGTATGTAACATGTGAAATAGGCGCTTACCTTGAGTGATAAGTCAGATGTGAGGCCGGAGCGCCATGGATCGTCTTTGCATGCGGATCAGTGAGAGATGTGGGATCAGTGTGAGCGGTTCAAAAGTGCAGAGCCAGGCGCATGCGCAGACTGTACAGTGAGCGCTAACTCTGCGGCTCACGACCGCCATCTAGTGGAGCTTTGGAAAACTGTTGCACGGTGGCTTCATGGATCATGTCATGGATCTACTGGAGGCCTGGATGTACCTAGATCTGGGTCTCTAGGGAACAGGTGGGACCAAGTCGTTGTTTTGCAAGTCTCAAGTAAGTCTCAAGTCTTTGACCTCAAGTCCGAGTCATTCCCAAGTCAAAGACAAAAAGGAAAGGAAAGTCCAAGTCGAGTCTCAAGTCACTGGCTTATGAGTCCAAGTCAAGTCCAAGTTGTCTGCTTTGAGCTTCAAGTAATTTCAAGTCTTTAAACAAAAGTATCAAATATAGCTTAGATTTTAGCAATTTATATGAATTTTACACTAAACTGTACTTAAAAAAAGTCATTGTATATTTATTTAAGTATTTATATAAGAGTATGTAAGAGCAGAAATGCTGCTTTTTCCTTTTGAAATGTCTTGACAAAATCTTAATGTGAATCATTACGGTCAGAGTAGAAAGAATTCAGATTGAAGTTAAATAACAATTATTTAGTTTTGAAGTTTGCACTGAAATGGAAGAATCGTGTTCTGTGTAGTTCCCTCTGTTTTATTGCATTGTACTGTATATTACCGTAGTACATTTGATGACACCATATCACAGTACTTCAGTTACATCCAAAGTAACAAACAGAGACGTGGGAGGGACATGTTAAAGTTCACCTCATTTATCAACTGTAAAGAGATAAGTATTTTCTAAAAACATATTTTTTTAGAAGCATCAAGTCGTCTCAAGTCACAGGCCTCAAGTCTGGGTCAAGGCTTAAGTCAATGACCTTGACTTGGGACTCAAGTCTGACTCAAGTCCAAGTCATGACTTGCAAGTCCCCACGTTTACTCTAGAGGACCTGGAATCTCCCGAGCTACAGGTCCTCCACCTCATTCCAAGTAACTCATCAAGGGATTTTGAACTTGAACCATATTTTTGTTATTCAGGACAATGGTACAATTACATGCCTATTGCTATTATAAATGTATATTTTTCAAAGCCCAACTTCAGCTGGGGTCTCCAACCTGTAGCTCCACTGTCTTCCAAGTAGCTCACCAAAGGATTTCTGAATTACATGTATTGTTCTGAATAAGTAAAACTTGATGAATTAAATGCCTATTCTTATTGTAACTCTATCATTTTGATGCCTGACTTTGTGCACTCATAAAGAAAAAATGGTTTATGTTGTTTTAGCTAACTGTACCCCATCTAAGTTTTGCTATGTATACTTTATTTCTTGCAATCACTAAAATGAGTAGCTCTGTGGAATTTTTGTTTTGTAAAGATATCTCATCCAAGGAAAAAGGTTGAAGACCCCTATCCTAGATCCTGATAGTCACTTAGCCAATAATACTTGCACTATTAGTTGGACTACTACTATTCCACGCTGTAATATTTGCCATATATTCTGAGTGACACTGAATTGCGTGCAGGACAAACTTGGCTCTCCAGGGCAAATGCCAAATTTTCAATAAAAAGATCAAACCAATCTATTCCCCTAAACAACACAATACCAATGTAATTTAGGCATTTATTCAATTTAAAAACTGATTCTTTGGATGAAAAACATTGTTACATTCGGTCAGCAGCCTGCTAAAACTAAAAAAAACAACTAAAATTAAACAATGCAGGCATCACAAAAACTTCACTTACCCCTTGAATAGCCCACATTAAATTCAAAAGTGAGTTAGAGTTTTAGATGAAACTAGTTCTTTGAGCGACAGTAAGTTCTGTTTTGAACTATTTGCATTATTCAAACAATCAATTATTCTTTCCAACAGCCTGAATAATATTTAAGTTAATGTCGGAGATAAGTAGGCTCTTGTTTTTGATTTGTGAACTGTAAAACATTTTGAATCTCTCAACCTGCCAAATAGGTTTCAAGTGATCTGTGATGAACCCCAGAAATGTTTACCCCAAAAAAGTCAGGGCCCATAATGCTGTTTGTGTCTGAAAACTGTAGCCTGCATCACAATATACTGCAAACAAGAAGATTAGGTCCGAACCTATAAGTTATGCCCTCAAATGTATGTCGTATTCCCAAAGACAAGCACATAATAAGTTAAAAGACTATTTATTTGTAGTTTTTTTCATATAAAAATATTACAGACTCTTATTTCAAAGTTTATCAAAGGGTAAATGCAACATAAAAACATAAAACATACACGGCTAGCTTGGAAATTTAAGAAAAAAAAAATACGTAAGACTTTAATGACCAATAACAGTAAATACAATGAAGAAACAGTATTAGCCTAATTTAAACATACATTAAACAAGGTCCATTTGAATATGTGTGCGTTTCTATGAGCTTATCTGAAGCTGTTTAAAGGTGCATTATGTAACATTTCTGGTAAGGAGGTGTATCCCATCTGCTTGTCTCTATGGAAACTGCATTGCTTTGTCTGGAATGTTCCAAAGTCTGGCATTAAACTTGTATATGTTGCATTTTTTTCAATTGCAGGTGTTTTTTCATTTCAACTCTAGTTTATGTTTTAGTTTTATTCCTAAACATTCAAATCATCCTCCACAGATCTGACAGATGTTGACTGGTCTGGTAGCGGCACTTGCTTGTCTCCATGATGACCAGTGCCACACTGTGGAACATTCCAGGCAAAGCAATAACAGACCCTTACAGAGACTCCCCCAGAAAAAATGACATAGTGCAACTTTAAGCTTAAACCAAATTTTTTTTTATCGTCACAAATCACAACATAAATACACAATAATATTACAGTATTTTAAATAGAGTTAAACAGGTCAGTAAATAGGCAACACTGTCTTTGTAAGTATTTTGTCTTCCATACGGTTAGTGAGCTAGACTCCTACACTTCTTTGGTTGTATTCAGTATTTCAAATGAACAAATACATGTCCATTTTGTATCAATATTTACATCATAATGTTATAGATTGTTTCATAATGTATTCAGTTAGTAAATGCTGCTAATATAATAAAATAATAGAAACTAGTAGCTAAACTGCAATTTGGTGTCACTAGCCTTCAATGTTGAAAAAAAAATCAATAAGATAATATTCAAGCCTAACAAAAACATAACTAAAAATCATATACTTTTTTGTTCAAATGTTTCAGTTAAAGGTACACTGTGTAACCTTTCTGGTGGAGAGGTTATTGCTTTTCCTGTAATGTTTGTAAGTAGACTTGTATTTATTACAATTTGGAAAACATGTGTTCTTTTGTGAGCGTGGTCATCTAATCTCCACAGATCTAACCTGTAACTTAGTCTGATGAGTTTAATGCCCTATTGTGACACATTCTAGGCAAATAGCAATAACACCTCTGTGGAGACAACCAGGTGGCAGACCCTCACCTAAGTCTGTGCAATTAATCGAATTTTGATCAAGAGTTCGATTTGTGCTTCAAACGATCTCCAAATTCATAAAAACGAGTTGAAACGATAAAACTTAACGTTTATTTTGGGATATTTTTTATATAAATAAGTATATTAATTTAATTTTTTAATATATAGATTGTAGAACAGCTGGATATTTAGTTTATTCTGGATACATTTATGTTTTTCTATGTCTTATTTCATGTTCAAAGTATATTTTATTCATCGCAAAACTGCTCTAAGGTTAATATTTGTAGCCTATATTTATTTTCAATTTGATAATTTTGAGTAAATTATCAATAACATAGTGTTTTTTTTATTTTGAGAGAGACAGAAATGCCTTGCGTAACTAAAAATAATCGTTTGAATAATCGTGGTTTCAATATTGACCAAAATAATCGTGATAATGATTTTTTCCATAATCGAGCAGCCATACCCTCACCAGAAAAGTTACTCAGTATACCTTTAAGTCTGATTGTGAAATGACTTTTTACAATTGTGTTTTGCTTCCTCATTGTGAACATGTAAGACATTTGCTATTTTACAAACATTTTTATTGCTTTTAAAACAAAATGGTCGATTCAGAACTATTATAAAATATAGTAGCTATGGTTTCAGTCTCTTTTAGGGGGCGCCATTTTAAGGACTTCAGACCGCTTCTAAACATACAATACAACATTTCATCACTCTAAACACATGGATAGGGAAAATATTAACAAAGCTCATCTACATACTCTTCCATAAACTACATATCAACACTACCAACTCACTCTACTCACTTCACTGTATTAAATTATCTCTCTTTCTCACTATATAGTCCTTGTATAGTCCATCTTTAGGACATAGGTGGGACTCCGGGTGGATTGTGCCTCCTCACCCTCGCTTTCCTACTCTCTTGCTTCAGTTTCAGCGTGCGTAGTTTCTGCTGACGTCTCTTCTCCCTGTACCAAAGCTGTTCACAGTCCTCCATGCTCAAGGCGTTAGTGCCAAACATGTTGACATGATTGTAGTTTCTCATGGGCTGTTGAGGTTGAAGCCAGGAGTTCCTCGGACTGGCCTGACCCAGAAAACCTTGTACTGCAGGTGGGATGACTTTTCCTTGGATCGCAGGGCCTTGGAGGTGGTGGTGGGTGGTCTGGTGGTTAAGGTGGAGGTGCTGGTTGGGGATGACGTTAAGGCGGTATTTGGCGATGACCTGTTTGTAGGAGCGGTCCAGACTGCTGCAGATGTACAAGGCAGCGTCGGAAGGTTCCAGGTGTTGAAGTAGCAGGCCGCGCTTCATACGGAGGGAGCGTTCACTGTCAGTCTGGAAAAAAGAGGCAAATATATAAGGTCTATCTAAGGCCTAACTATCTCAAAGGTTGTTGGTTCAATTCCTGTTATAATATATTTGCATATATTGACATTACAATGGCTGTGATTACATGCAAACTCAGAATCAGATTATAATTAGATTTTTAAAGAATTCAAAATGACATGTAAAAGCAAAATCATCAAATTTCTTTCTGATCATGGTTTCTCTGATTACTCACATCAGACTGTGTGGTTTGTATGTTATTTAATTTTTTTATGGTCCAGAAATCAGATAATAATCAGATTTTGTGGAGCATGTAACTGCAGTCATTTTAAAAAATATATTTTTGTCATTTTGAGGGAATGAATACAAAATATAAGACTAACACACATGCAAAAAAAAGAACAAACAAACAAAAACACACACAACAACAAACAACAGTAAATAAATAAAAGGAAGGGATGGGAAGGCTGTAAAATCAAATTTTCATTTACAGATTTTCTGTTCCCTTATATCTTTTGTTTTCTGTTTAATCTTTTTCTTTCTTCATATTTCCATTTAAGTCAGAATGCTATTAATTTCCATTGAGAACTAGAGAAAGGTCAGGTTGGTAAAATATTATCATTGTATAAAGTAAGTTTATATAGCTTAATATATTTAATATAACATAACATAACATGATATAACATAATATAACATAATATAATATAATATAATGGTGGCTTGAAAACAGCTTTATATCCAATGTACAACTTATTTACCATGGCAGTCCTATGCAAATCATACAAAGGGAATGCAAATTTGTGAAATAAGGTCGGTCAATAGTAATAATTGTAATAGAAAAAAAAATCTTCTATAGTTAAAGACAAAACCTGATAATGTGAGAGTAGTGAGCAAACGAACCTGAGCCAGTGGTGGTTGTCCCTCTGTGACCTGCACGGTCCATTTGATCTCAGCATGGAGAGAGCGAGGAGCACACTCCAGGAAGGTGGAGTTTCCCTCTACAGCGTACACCTGCTTCACCTCCACAGAGTCGACCTCTGCACAAAACCACAAGGGATATTAGAACCAACTACAGACTAACTAACTACTAAGAGTAGTAACTATTTAGGATAGTAGTGCAAAGGTTAGTATTCTGTTCTAACCAGTATTAAATCATGTGTAATATCAATTCATGGTTTTCAGATCACTGAGTTAAGCATTTTGGCCTGGCTCTCCACAATATTTTCTGTTTCTAATGTGGCCCCATGGAAAATAATAATTGCCCATCCCTGTTCTAAACCCATGTCAAGCTTTAATGTAGCTTAGCCAATGTTTATTAAAAACATAATAGATAATTTGGTAATATGCATGTGCTAAGACTACATACATATACACAAAAGACACAAACACAAATACCTGTAAGAATAACTGCAGTTACACAAAGTGACCACTAGAGGTCTCTGTCCATTCACCTAAACATTCTTTTCCTCCTTAGACTTATACAAACTTTATTGACTGATATATATTGATTTTATAATTAGGGAAATCATTTTTAGCTTAGTTAAGAGGTAGAAAAATAGGGCTGTGCAATTAATAAAAAACTGATTGAGATTCAAACATTTCTAATCTTCAATAATCAGTTTGTGACTTTTTACTGGAGAGGTCAACAGCCAATGGCGAGGCTGGAGCCGCCTAGTGCCTTTTGCTCAATTTAATTTCTTTCTAGCAACTAGGTCAGGAATCAAAATACAACAGACGGTTTGCAAAAACCCCAGAAGTGCAAGTTTGGGCACCAGCCAATCAGAGAAGAGCCAGACATTCAGTGTTGTCAATGATTCCCGAAATCGAGGATTTAAAGTCAGAACAAAGAGAATGTTTTGGTGAATTTTATCAAGGGGAAAGACGTTATTGCCCTTGTTCCTACAGGATTTGGGAAAAGCTTAATTTACCAGTTAGCCCCGTTAGTGGTGCATTACATACATCACGACCAAATAGTAGCGATTGGTTAAATGATAAAAAGTACCCGTCTACTGTTGAGCAAACAAAATCTAATGCCGCGAGATCAGACGCTTTGTACGAAGTAAAACGAAGTAAAACCGGGTGATGAATCAGGCTTAACAGTCAATCATCTGTCAGTAAAAGCGTGTGTTTTGGAGCAGAGTTCATACTTTGAAGGATACTTTCTATTTGTGTGGAATAGAAATACTTTAAACACTTATACTGCTTATGTTTAGGATTTTTCAGTAAGTAAAACAAAATTAAGATTGAACGTAAAGTTGAAGAGAAAAAAATATGATTCATATTTTGTTAGTTTTCCTTGTCATATTTCCCAGACTCCGTTGTAAACATGTTGACATATTTAGATTTTTTTGTATACCTTTAAAAGACCACTACATAAACACATTGTAAACCCGTCTTAACTTGTCTCAACTTGATTTATGCCACTAATTCAAACAACAGTGAGCAAAGTTTACACAGCAGACATTATAATAGGTTATCCATCACTAGTGCATATATGTAAGAAGACATATGTTGTATTGTTTACCGGTGTGATTGCTTGTTACGTAAGACACATGAAAAGAGTTCAGCTTTAAAATAGTGAGAGGGGAAATCCGTACCTTCATCTATGCTGGGGCACTGACTCCAGGGGTCTCCATACTTCACATCCTGTCTGCGAGCTCTCCTGGAATACACAGAACATTACTTAAAGTTGTATGGGCACATAATGGCACTATAATTCATGGATACTGATCACTGGGCACAGGCGGTCAGTCACTTAAAAAGAAAAGTTGATGGATTGATTCCCAGATATGGCAAAGCGTACCGTGGCTGTCATTGAGCAAGACACAGAAGAGCTTGGTACTGGAGTATGGCCAGTTTGAGAATGAGGAGTAACCGGACATTTATTAAAGATGCACTGGTTAACATTTCTAGTAGAGAGTCTGCCACCTGCTTATGTCCACTGAAATAATATTGGTTTGTCTAGAATGTTCCATAGTCTATCATGAGGGAGACAAGCAGGTTACAGCACTATGCTACATTACAATTCAGATCTGTGGAGAGTTGCCCCGATATTGATCTCAAACGCAGAAAAACAAAGCAATAATTTATCCTTGGAGATTTTATTTTTGTGAATGTAAAATATAATTGTAATTATTGAAATGGTTTTGTAATGTATGTATGTATGTATATATAGTATTGTTATGGCCAGGCCTCCAGTTCTAACCTGTTTTGTGTGTTTTAGGGCCTGTTTACATGAGAATGCTTCTGGGTAAAAACGACAAAACATTTTATCGGCAGTGTCTTTTGTTTAGACGGTGACAGCATTTTTGGGGCTTAAACTCAAAAGTCTGAAACTACCCTCCAGAGTGAAAAAGTTGAATACGCTCTGCCGTAGTGTTTCTGTCTACACTGCCCAAGACACAAAACTCTGCTCAGATCTGCTCACGTCGCGTACATGTTTACGTCATACCCAATCAAATTCCACACACTTTTGCGTCACTGTATGCATGCAGATTTCCTCCCGAAAATGCTTGTCTCAACGTGGAATAAAAAGTGAAAACGCAACACCACTTTTGCGTCTTCTGTTCAGACCGTCGTCATATAAACGTAGCTGTTGGCTGTCCCGATTCCTGCTGTGGGAGCCCTGGTCTGTGATTGGTGGGGCTTGTCTACGCCCACCTCACCTGCAGCCTCCTCCCCCTATTTAAGAAGATTGTCAGCACCTGTTCGGGCCTGGTGGTCTTTGTGGGCAGTCTGACATTTTTGTGTGTCTGTGTCTCTTTCGATTCAGTCACAGTCACTGTTTGTACTAGCACGTGTCTGACTTTGTTTGTGTTGAGACACTCGTTTAGTTTAGTTTAGTTCTATTTTGCGCCTTTTGTTTTGTCACTCCATTCTGTTTGTGTGTTGATGTGGTTTTACTTTGCGACACTTGTGATTTAGTTTTGTTATGTGTCCCTTAGTTTAGTCACTTGTTTTTGTATATGTGACCCATTTTGGCCCGTTAAATGTTAATCCTGTTATTTTCTTTCTTAGTTTAGGTTAATTTATGTATATAGTTTAGGATGTTTTGTTAATTTACCCTTTTACATTCCTGTTAATTAAACATTACTTAATTTACATCATGTTCCACCTTATTTTTTTGTTACTTCCCTGGTCCAAGTGAGCTGGATAGTAAAAAGTACTAACAAAGTTTATTTAAAAAAGCAAAGGATGCTGATGTTGCGTTCTTGGGCAAGACACAGAATAGCTTGGTCTGGTTGGATGGTCAGTTTGAGAATGAGGAGTAAACAAATACTTCAGTTCAGTTTTTCTTGTATTGCTGTATATTTGAAACAACTGGAGCCTGGACATCAAACGATTCAAAAAAGAAACAAACTTGTATAAATTTCCCTGGGCATCCCCTACTCCTCCTTCCTCGGCAAGTCCCTAAGCTGGGCTTTGATAACACATTTCTAAACCTGTGAAAAGAGGTAGTAGATATTTCATTTTAACTCATAGAAGATATGCTGAGAAATCATGTGCTCTTTGTAGGAGTCAAACAGGTAGACACAATCCAGGCATTTTTTATAAATTTCTGCATACTAATCGGAGTGCCTTGGATCAGTCTTTCCTTATGTTTAAAGGTCCTATATTATGCAAAACTGACTCTTGTGAGCTCGAATCCATGTTACAATGTTTTTACCTCCCCAAAAAGATACCTAAAATTGTGTTAAATTTCATTTCAACATGTTTAAGTAACACTTTATTATTAGTCTGTCTGCATCTCCAAAGGTCAAAAAGCTCTGTTCCACCTTGTGATGCCATGAAGTGTTATTTCAGTGGCGATTGGCAATTTCAGGGCTAAAGTTCTCCAAATTATTCTAGTGAAGGTGTATGACATTTAAAAACACAGTGGAGCACTTCCTGGGTTACTCCATGATATCACAAGGTGGAACAGTGTGTTTTCTGTTTGAGAGAACTCTGAAAGTGCAGGATTTCTGTATTAAACACGTGTGAATGAAACAAAACTCAATTCTGGGAATGTTTTGATGAGGAAACAACATTACAACATAATATTAATAATGAAAGAGGAATAAATAGATAGAGGATGTTTCAATTTAACTTGTACAAGACGTGCTGAGCGCTCGCTGGATACCAAATGTGTTGAAATCAGCTGCTCTTTTAGGAGTCACATCCAGGCAGACACAATCCAATCATTTTAATAAATTTCTGCATAATAACTAGGGTGCCTCGGATCAGTTTTTATGTTTATCTTAGTTCTTTCCCTTTGCCATATCAAAAGTATTCATGCATTCATACATTTTTGGGCACATGCACAGCTTTAAAATATACCACAGGATGAATGAGCAAATGTAAATGATGGGCGCCATGTACCCAACACAAATTTCTCCAATGTGGGACAATAGTACACCTTATGCTATTAGATTCTTTATTCAGACGAAGAGTTTATTTTTATACAGTTTCGACTTCTCACTAGCGGTCTTTCTCAGAGTGGTCACATGATGTTGCTGTTATGTGTCTGGTCAGCTGATTTAAACAGGTTTTGGCGTTGTGTTCCATTCGGTGGAGGTAGAGCAACAGCGCCATCAGCAGTCCGACTTCCTCAAGACAGTATCCCAGGCGTGTGAGAGTAAAAAAGCCCCCTCGTCCTGGTTTATAGTCCCGTAGACACGTTTCCGTACTTCGATTGCCCCCACCGGTAAGAAAACAGCGCCAAAACCTGTACAAATCAGCTGACCGGACACGTCACAGCAACATCACGTGACCACTCTGAGGAAGAACGCTACTGAGCAGTCAAAACTGTCAGGTATGAACTCTTGGTCTGAAAAAAGAACCTAATAACATAAATTATCAGAAGACCAAATCTCACAGGACTAAAAGTACACCTTACCTTACCAGACACCTGATATTATGCCCTCATTTAATTTTGCAATTGATAACAGTCTGACTAGTTCTGACTATGATTACAACTATGAATACATCTACTAATATTTTTATTTATATTGCACTTTAGATTTCAATTAAATCTTTAAGTGTTACAGCAGGTAAAGAAGTCAGAGTTAAAAACAATTACAGAATTAAAACATGGTAATAAAATGTACTGGTAGCCCTAGTTGACTTTGCATAAAAATGGAACAAAACAACATTTACTCATTCTCAAAAATAAAGTTACATAAGCCTTAGTTTTACAAATCAACAACTAACACCCAAGTACTGTAAGGACATGAGCCTCATTTCTCACTCACTTCAGCAGACAGCAGAAGATAAGAGGACGCCTTCAGATAAACCAGCCCAGCCCTCCTTTCACTCTACACTATTTATCCTGTCACTGCCCTAGGGTGTGAACATGTGACCCTAATGAGAGAAGAGACAAGAGACCACAGCCGGACTATCCAAATACTCACTGTTATTCCTGTACGAGCTGTCGTGTCTCCTCCTGTTCTACTCTGACCCCTCTCCGTTGAGTTTTCAGACATTTGTAACACTCTTTCACCTCTTTGTCTGATCTCTTGTAATCCCTGCTATTAACACATTTTAATTTATGAAACTGATGGCTTCTATTGTCTAGGGTGTTTTAAAGTATCGAAGATGAGTCTAGTATCGAAACTAGATATTCAATTGAGCAAATATCGGTACTAAAAAGTCATACACGCAGGACAGAAATGCAAACATGAACCTTTCCTGAATAGTTTTAGAATGATTTTGAGTTGTGAAAAAGTTGTTATATTATCTAAAGAAAGAGTGTTTTTTATTATCACTGCAAGTTTTCTGTGTGTAATACATTTATAGTTAATACTGTTTGTTTTATACAATGATCCTGCTATATTGAGGGGTTTTCTGAATGAAATGTATTTCCCTGAGCTATTTTAACACAGACATTTAAATGCACTTCTACTTGAATTATTATACGTTAGTACACTCTGCAGTGATATCACGCTGGGGATGTTGTAAACATTCTTCCATTAGAGATACATGTAGCAGTTACCATGGTGGCACAATGCACACATGAGCAAACACTGACAAAAAAGTTTTATGATTATCTGAAAACTCAGGAAAAACACAAAATGGATTTAAACTATACTTTTTTAGGAGTCTGAGATAAATACGAGTGTTCATGGTCCTGTTTAGGTGTTTGGTTTTCAATAAAAAGCTGAGAGTGACTAAATGTAAAACTGTGACTGTTTAATTCTGAAATCAGCTCACTTGTTGTAGTTCCAACTAAATCAGATCCTTCTGCTCAGATTGTGTTAACATAAAGTTCAGATTAAGTCTAACTTGAATAACAGAACTTCTAACAGACTAGTGTTTCCAGTTAGCTTCACACCCCCTGGGAATATCATCATCAGCTGCAAAGTATCAATACTCTCACATAATAGTTTAGTTATTTACTCATTATTTGAAAGTAGTGCATAAGTACTACTGATTACTTGTGGTAGTGGTGACGACCATGTTCAAGGTTTGAAATTTGATTAGTAAGTAAGTTTTTATTTATATAGCTCTTTTCACAGACATATGTCGCAAAGACGCTTTACAGAGCATTATTCATTCACTCCACACCCGGTGGTGGTAAACTACTATAGATACCCGCAACCACCACCATCATTCACCCACACACCACTTTCATACTAGGCAATGTAGGTGAAGTGCCTTGCCTAAGGATATAACGACAGTATTTGTGACTGGCGCCCCACTGTAGCTGTTGCTTCTAGTGTCTTTTCTGATACTGCACTTTTTCTAAACCTTTCAAAGGCGAGTGTGTTTCTATGTTTCTGCAGTAACCAAAACAATTCTAAAATACTTGTACTAATTAAATAAAAAACTAGAAAAGCACTCAGAGAGCGCAGACCTCCGCCAAGGACTACCCCCATTTTTTATATAAATTGCGGTAAAATCAGTCTTCTGGATCAGATCCGGATCAGCCTTTGGAATATGAAAGAGGATCCCATTGTCCATCCCTGAGTCAAATTTCATGGGGTTTGGTCAATAATTAACCGAGATATTGAGAAACAAAAGTTTTGGCCCCATTTACCACAATGTTAACTAAAATTTCAAAGTGATCCAGAATCCAGGATTTCTTCCAGATCACCCCCAAAATGAAATCAGTTCTTCCTTTTCACATTTCCAACAAATCCTGAAAATTTCATCAAAATCGGTCCATAACTTTTTGAGTTATGTTGCTAAAAGACAAACAAACAAACAAACAAACAGACAAACGCCGGCAAAAACATAACCTCCTTGGCGGAGGTAAATAAGAAAGCCATCAACTGACCAAAAGCACAATCAGGGTCTACCTTTGAAGTCTCGGTAATCAGTGATCCACCTTGTGATGTCATGAAGAGATTGGCAATTCCAGGCTGAAATTATCCAAATGAATCAAGTGAAGCTAAAACACAATGGAGAACTTCCTGTGTTACCACATGACATCACAAGGTGGATCAGAGTGTTTTGATTACTTGTGGTTGCGGTGGCGACTTTGGTCAAGATTTACAGTATATTTAATTTCCTGCTGCTTCTAGTGCATTTTCTTACACTGCTACAACTTTACTACTAAACCTTTCAGTAACTATAAAAAACAAGTGTGTTTCTGTGTTTCTATAGTCAACAAAACTATTCCAAAATGCTTGCAATAATTAAAAAAAACAAACAAAAAAAAGGAGGAAGCAATCAACTGACCAAAAGCACAATCAGAGCTACCTTTGAAGTCTTGATGATCAGTGATATCACGTTTCCGATAACTGTTTAAAGGACATATTAGTAACATTTGGGACTAGGGCTGGGACTCAAAGTGCTTTGATCAAACAGGACCTGAGGGGGAGATAAAGGGAGTATGTGCATGGACAGAAGAGGGACAGCAGACACAAACTCATCTGAAACAAGAGTAGTGTTAGCTCAAAATATTATTACTTGAGAAGAAGCTGAGAGGAGAGACAATAAATCAGAACCAGTAAATGACTGTAATGACATAAACTGCTTTAGAAAAGAGGTCCTGTATTATTCAAAATTGACGCCTGTGAGCTTTTAGTCACGTTGGAATGCTCTTAGTTGTGTTTTGTTTCGTTCACACATGTTTGAGTAACCCTCCATTTCTGCGCAGTCCACATCTCCAAAGCTTAATTAATATATGTGATGGACAGCTTAAATTGGACTTCTACACACTGTAAATCACTTGAATATCTTTAAGTTGTTGCCCTTTCTAAAAATATTTTGCTTTGTCTTTTGTTCTGTTGAGATGGACTCTGAAACATTCCAGACAAAGCCATAATACCTCCAGAGAGACAAGAAGGAGGCAGATCCTCTACCAGAAAAGTTGCACCATTAATTAGGATTAAGTAGTTTTTAGAGTACTTTTTCACGTACTATGAATGTTGCAGTGATAAAACTTTGAAATATTACTTAAAGGTTCTATATTACACAAAACTGACTCTTGGGAGCCTTAAGCTATTACAGTATTTTTTTTATAGTATAAGTTGCTCCAGATTATAAGTCGCACCAGCCAAAAAATACGTAATGAAAAAGAAAAAAAACATATATAAGTCACACTGGACTATAACTTTTTGGGGGAAATTTATTTGATAAAATCAGAGACCAGGAACCGACATCTTGAAAGGCAAATTATAGTAATAACAATAGAACAGCGAACAACAGGCTGTTAACGTAACATATTAAGAGTTCTTCAGATAACTATAGCATAAACAACAGAACAGAACAAGTTTACCAAACTCTCCATCTCACTCCAAATCACTAAATCCATTGAATTCTTCATCCTCAGTGTCACTTCTGAGCCACTCCGTGACCTCCGGAGGTAAAAGAAGCACTGCTTCCTCTTCTGTGTAGCTGTCGTCAGACCCGGCATCAGTTCCAATTAGAATTATTCCGGCCTTTCTGAATCCCGACAGGATTGTTTCGATTTTCACTGAAGTCCAGGCTTTGTCCATCCATCCAGTGACTTCCAGGAAAGTTTCATAGCGCACCCTCCTGGTGTCACAAGTTTCTCGCTCCACTCCAACCTTTCTTTCTGCTGCTTGATTATCGTTTTCAGCTGCAGATTTCGCTACTTGCAGCTTGTAATCTGCAAAATACGGTTTTCTTTTTGGCAGCATTTGTGTTCAGTCTTCTCAGTTGTCTTAATAAGTTTGTTTAAATATTACATTTTCAGTGGTACAGAAGTAATGGTGTGATCGTCTAACATGATACAGACATGACAGTGACTAGGTAATAGGAGTAATAGGAAGAGCAGATAGTGGCACACAAGCCTAGAGTTCCCGCTTGCAGCTGTCAGTGTGAAAATTTTATGTTGCACAGGAGTATAAGTCGCAGGACCACCCAAACCATGAAAAAAGTGTGACTTATAGTCTGATAGTCCTGATACCTCCTCAAAAACATACCTTGGTTTGTGTTTTTTTTCCAGGGCTGAAATTACCCAAAAAATTCTATTGAAGATGTATGGAGTTTAAAAACACAGTGGAGCACTTTCTGTATTACATGACTTAAAGTTCACAAGAGTCAATTTTGTGTAATATAGGACCTTTAAGGACCTGAATGTGACTTATTAATACCACCACAAACATATAGATGCATATAGATTTTAGTATTACCTTTTGCTGGTTGGGAAGTATCTGGAGCAGGTCTGTCCGTCCCAGGAGCAGTATGGGTCACGGGCCAAGCAGCACTCAGCACAGTCGTCGCCATATAACTCACATCTCTGTAAGGACAGCTGCACCACGCCACGCTCACTGGACACGTACAGCTGTTGCTAAAGGGCACAAGGGACAACAGACTGTATAAAACTGAAACATGTAGAATGATTTATACACTATTCAAAGATTTATTGAAAAGTACCGGTACAGATGGTAGGTTTAAGTCTAGTAAAGTTTCAAAAAATCTAATATTAAGTAAGTATAAGTAGTTACAGGATAGTATTTGAAAGTTAGTAGTCGCTTAGCTGCATGACATAAACAAAATAACACAAAAGGTAAGATAAAATGAACAACTTACTCTTTTGGTTGACAGTTCCATATTCAGGATTGGTGTAGGGCTCTGAAATAGTAAGAATAGAAGAATTATATTTTATCATTTATAACAATATCACTTACTAACTATTTCTGATACAATAATGTGTACAGTGTTTCTCTTTAAATGTTAACTTGATGTGTTATGTAAGAAAACTCCACAAAGACCAATAAACTTAAGAGTTACAGTGGGGGTGTTTTACTTCTACGGGATACTAATTACTAACATAGCATATTTAGATAACCATGTTATCTTTTATTATTTTGAAACTGCAAAATTCTAAGGAAAAAATGTATTAACATTCAGATTTTTGATGCTCTGAGTCACTTCCCCTTCAGAGCAGTATCCCATTACAGTCATTCCTATAATTAAACTTCTGCACATGACATCAGATTTGTGAAGTTGTGGTGTAATGTTTAGTATCATGTTTTTGTATATTTATGGAAAATTGCTGTGCAGGAGCATGGATGAAGTAGGCTTGTCGGCTGAGTACTGCACAAAATCTCAACCGTGAAGTGGGTTTGAAAAGAGCTTAAGAGAAACTGCTAAACTACTCAAAAAAAACATGCATGGATGATATCTAAAACCTCTTCAGGCATGTTTTTGAAGAGAGAACAACGCTATAACACGGCAGAAAGCTCCAAAAAGTTGATTTTGCATAATAATACCCTCTCTGGAACATTAAAAAAACAGATTATGTTGTCTGAATGTGCAGTAGAGGTTGTGTAATCACCACAGTCTAGTAATCCAATAGAGCTAGACAAACAATAGTCACAATTTTCCAGTTTCAGTAATTAGTATGCGTCATTTCACAAGGATCCAGTGAACGTGTATCAGAAAAAGTACAGAACAATAGTATATCTTCATCACAGAGTTTCTTATCTTCATTACAACACAATGTAATTTAACAGTACAATTAGGATATACTGTTAGTTTTGGCTGGTTGCTAAGCGCAGGTTGGCAGTGGGAATGAACTTCCTGCTTCCACCTGTATAATCAGTAAACAGAATGTAGCCTATTTCCTGTTTGTGAGTTCAGTGTTTTTCTTCCTTTCACCTGTGACCCTTTAAAAACCCTTTGGCCCATATTTGTGTTGATTTACATCCTCTTCCTGTATTTCAAATGTACAGTCTACTGCTTACAGACTGGACATTTCCTACCTGATTTTGTTTAGCGCTGTGCAAAAAATATAAAAATATCAATATTCCTGATACTGTATCAACATCGTGGGCTGATGTATCGATATATCGGAATATTTTTTGGTATATGTTTGTGAGGGAACTAGGGTTGTCAACAGTATAAAATGTCAGATACTCACTTGAAGTATCGATACTAAAAAAAAGTCACGTACACAGGCCTGAAATGAACCTTTCCTCAATAGCTTTAGGCCACACAGACTAGTATACGCCCATGGACAACTATGGAACCAACCTGGACGACTGAGGGACTACATAGATATGACTAAAAAGAAGGTAAATAAAATAAATTACATAAAAGAAATAAAAGAAAGTACTATGACTTAATGCTGAAACTCACATTCTATTGTCTAAAGAAAGTGTATTTTATTACCTCCGCCAAGGAGGTTATGTTTTTGCCGGCGTTTGTCTGTTTGTTTGTTTGTCTGTTAGCAACATAACTCAAAAAGTTATGGACTGATTTTGATGAAATTTTCAGGATTTGTTGGAAATGTGAAAAGGAAGAACTGATTTCATTTTGGGGGTGATCTGGAAGAAATCCTGGATTCTGGATTACTTTGAAATTTTAGTTAACATTGTGGTAAATGGGGCCAAAAATTTTGTTTCTCAATATCTCGGTTAATTATTGACCAAACCCCATGAAATTTGACTGAGGGATGGACAATGGGATCCTCTTTCATATTCCAAAGGCTGATCCGGATCTGATCCAGAAGACTGATTTTATCGCAATTTATATAAAAAATGGGGGTAGTCCTTGGCGGAGGTCTGCGCTCTCTGAGTGCTTTTCTAGTTATCATTGTGGTATTGGTATTACTGTATTTTTGGGACAATAAAATGCACCAGATTATAAGGCGCAATATCAGTAATGTTGAATTCTCTCGTCTATTTTCATACATAAGGCAAACCGGATTATAAGGCGCATTAAGCAAAACAAAGGGACGACACTTGAGACTGACCCCTTAGCCCAGACATCCACAGTCCATCGACAGATCAAGGCGTAACTTAACTTTAAGTTATTTTTTATTTCCTACGAGGAGGACTCAAATATACATTGAGTATTAATGGGTTTAATGCAGCTTTGTGCACATTTGTTTACGTTTTACAGAAAATGAAACTCAAAACCACATGGCTCATTTGCATAAACTATAAGCGCTGAAAAAAACAGAGCTCATTATTTGTGCTGCTGATTCGGACTGCTTCTGTTGGACTAAAAGGATACGATTCAGTGAAATATGTGCGTTCTTTCTGTGACAGAGGATGTGCTGCCGTTGGTGAGTCAGTTCTGTGCTTCTGTCACATTGGAGATGGTTCATGTGAAACTTTTCAGAGATTATAAGTCTGCAAGTCATACGCGTAGGCCATATATGAATGGTCATATATTTTCTGTAGCATTTCATTGATGTCATAAATGCTGACGCAGAGCTATACTTCGCCCTTTACTCCACAAGGCTTCTGATTAAAGTAGCTGTAATGCTCTGACATTCCATCAAGCGGTGCAGCTTCATAGTTTACCGTACTAAAACATTTTGACATATTTTTCAGAGCCTTGTACCATATCGAATCGGTTCGAGGTCAGTAAGCGCAACCAGAATTAATATATAAGGCGCACCGTCGATTTTTGAGAAAATTTTGGAGTTTTATAGTCCAAAAAATACAGTAATATAGATAAACAGCATGCATATAAGTATCATGACAACACCAGAGGGAACCTGCTATTCCCAAGTCAAGTAATTACGGTAGACTTCAATGTTTTTTTCCCCTCATTCATATTTTTTTCCCTTTTGCCCAAGGACACAATGGCACTCTCACCTCAAATATAGTGAGCTCCTCCAGGATGATCTCCTCAGTCTCCCAGTTGTCTTTGACCACAGACACGGCCTTCACCACTTTACCGTCATCTGGACAAATATAAGACACAGTTATTACATTTATGAATCTATTAGAAGAGTTTTAAGGAGGACAGGAGGACACACATAAATACACACTGGACCTACTGTACCAGTTAAACGACAGGACACATACCATTCAATTTTTATTGGGGAAGAATACAGCTTTTCCACACAGAACTCTTCCAGAAGATATTTGGCTGAAGATATTTGGCTTGTATCGTGCCTCTACCGACTGACTTTATTTGATCGTATACTGGTAAATTGTTGGATAAGAAGTGAATTTCAATATTTATCTGGAAAAAAGATTAAAGTGATAGTATGCAACTTCCTGGAGGTGGAAAGTCAACTTCATGATTCCAGTGAAATTGAAAGTTCCAAATTTGTTCATACTGTGGAATATTATAGTCAAAGGAACAACATTTCCATGGAAACAAGCAGGAGGCCAAGCGGGAGTCTGTTTTGTAGATAAAAGTCTGTTCAGAGTAAGGACACTTGTTTTTCAGTGCAATAAGAACATACATAATGAAAAAAAAAAAAAAAAAAAAAAAAAAGGTGTTCTGGGCATGTCCCACCGGGAGGAGGCCCCGGGGAAGACCCAGGACACGCTAGAGGGACTATGTCTCTCAGCTGGCCTGGGAACGCCTCGGGGTCCCCCTAGAGGAGCTGGAGGACGTGTCTGGGGTGAAGGAAGTCTGGGAGTCCCTGCTTAGACTGCTGCCCCCACGACCTGGCCCCGGACAAGCGGAAGAAAAAGGTTGGATAGATAATGAAAAAAATCTTTTTAAAATCTATTATTTGGCAAAGAAAAGTGACATATTATGGCTTTAAAGTAGCTGAAGCGCAATTATGCTGATGCAGCTAAATGTAAAAAAGTCTCTCTCTCTAGTAAGTATAACTATATATAGGCTCATTTCCATCCATTGTCTCATATTCACCGTCACACACTCTCATTCATAGACCAGCATACATGGACCCCCCAACAAGGTGGGTGAAGTGTCTTGCTCAAGGGCACTGTGGTCTTACAAGGATTTAACCACTTCGTCACTGCTGCCAGTTCCCTGCCCTTTCCTATCCCACAGCAACCAGTTTTAACTTTGAATTCTCAAAACAGCATTTTTTATTATAACTTTTTTATTGTATTTTAAAAGTGCATTGTGTAACTTTTCTCCATGGAGATGTTATTGCTTTGTCTGGAATGTTTCACAGTATGGCAAACCAGACCAAGTTACAGGTCAGATCTGTGGAGAGGCGACCCCGTTCAGAGTCAGAATGTTGTTGCTCTAGGTATTTTTGAGTGATAAATCCACCTGTAATTTAATAAATGTAAGATAACGCTGTTTAATGTCATACTGTGGAACATTCCAGAGCAATGACATATCCATAAAAACAAGCAGATGTCAGACCCTGAAACAAAAAGTTACATAATGCACTTAAAAATTGAATTGGATTTTAACCCTCTCAGGCTCAAATTAATTTTTAGTATCAGGAAAAATCTGATATTTGGGGAAAATTATAATATGGGGTAGTAATATACAATTCTGACTTTTTTATCCTTTGTTAACAAAAAAAAGTATTTTGCACTTCTGGCAGGCCGTTTGCGTGTAGCCATTCTTGCACAGTCTGCATTGCCCACATTTATCAGCATGGATGGGAGAAAAGGCTCCTGAGTAAAAAAAGCTCATATAATATGGATGTGGAGTAAGTAGGTACTTGGAATTTAGCTGTTGCAAATCTGCAACGCCTGCCTGGAGAGGGTTAAGATTCTTGACTACACTGAAAAAACCCCAACAATATCTATGTAATTTAAATGACTTAAATTAAGAACATTTGACTGTATTTGAGTAAATTCAACTTGACAAGTAAAATTATCTACCAATGGAATAAGTGTGTTTTTCTTAATTCAAGAAATATTCGATTCTGTTTCTTATTTAAAGTGCAAAAAGTTGTTGTTTTTCTTATTGTAAGTGGAGCAAGATGTATTTTCATATTTTAGGCACAAAAAGTCTTGTTCCACTGGCAGACAATTTTACTTGTGAAGTGAAATTTACTGAAATCATGATAAAACTTTCTTAATTCAAGTCATCTGAACTTGACTAGATTTTGTTTTTTGCAGTGTACCACAAGTTCATATGTGTAACTACTCGGGGGACTTGACCTATGTGAAATCTTTTGACTGGTACTGACCACGTTGTACTCTATTCACACTCTACCACTTGCTAATTGCACAATATTATTTTGTTTGCCAATGCTGTATTTTTACATTTTGTTTTGTAATGTAATAATAAATGAGACTAGAAAAGATGATGAAACCTTTGTAGGAGTAGTATCGAAAGAGACGTACTGCAGGAGATGTTTGTGGTGAGTAATAGGGCATAGTTCTGAGTCTGTTTATGGAAAAACACCACTGGCCAAGACATGGATAAAACTTTAATAAGAGCTGATCACATCCAATATTAGACAGTGAGGCATTGTGTTGAGAAGCTGATTGTAATAATAAAACTTTGAGGGCACTTTTCATTTTATCACACATTATCAAGTATAGTGCTTTTCCAGTCCAGTCCAAGTTTATGTGTAAAACAGATTTTATAAAAAATATAGTTACCAGAGTGATGAGCAATAGCAAAACGAAATGAAAAAAACTTCAGTCAGCAAAGTTAAAGGTCCTATATTACGCAAACTTGACTCTTGTGAGCTTTAAGCCATGTTTGAATGTGGTTACCTCTTCAAAAACATCCCCAGAGCTGTATTTTGTTTCATTCACACATGTTTTAATGATTGTTTATTATTAGACTGTCTACATCTCCAAAGCTCAAAATACTCTCATATAAAAACTTACTGTGTTAAAGTAAAAAGTGGTCAAATAATTCAAGGCACTCTGTTCTGCTTTTTACTTTATCACAGTAAGTTTTTACAATACAAGCTTGGTCTTCACTCTATGTTAGCTTTTGAGCCTAGTCCTTGGGAAGCACCTGTTGTGGACTTCTACCATGGATCTATAATAAAAACTGGATAAGGCATTCTCCCTCTGTCCCAGCTCAAGATTGACGAGTGGCCGCTTCATTGGTAATGCAGCTCCCGGTAGCCTGATTCATCAGCTGCTTTCACTTCATGGAAACCGTCTGACCTTGCAGCATTAGAATTTGCTCGCTCGAAGGTAGGTGGGTACTGTTTTTATTTAACCGATCGCTGCTATTTGGTTGTGACATATGTAATGTGCCTCTAACAGGGCTAAATGGTATATTAAAAACCCCAAATCTCATAAGAAGAAGGGCAATAACGTCTTTCCCCTTGATAAAATTCACCAAACATTCTCTTTGTTCCGGCTTTAAATCCTCGATCTCAGGAATTGTTGGCAATACAGAATGTATGGCTCTTCGCTGACTGGCTGGTGCCCGAACTCGAACTTCCTTGCAAACCGTCTAGTGTATTCTGATTCCTGACCTAGTCGCTGAAGAGAAATGAAATTGAGCAGAGGTACTCAGTGGCACCAGCCTAGCTAGCTCCCGGGAGCTTGGGCCCAGAAAGAAGTCTCCCATAGAAGCACAGGTCAGATTTTGTAGGGATTCTTTTCTATTTTCACAACATAAATGTTCTAAAATTTTTAAATCCTCAAAGCGCCGAAAAGTTAGCTTTTTAAGTCTTGGCCTAGCGCCGCTCTGAACCCACTCTAGCTCCGCTTTAGCAGCTCTCGCTCTGACTGTCCAAACGCTCCACTTCGTGCACGTACAGATGTCACAAAGGGTGGGAGGAGCTCACCCGTACTGAGGAAGTAAATGTGGAAGAGAACATTTTTTTGGGCCCATGCATCATTTGAGTACAGGCCAGTGAAAACAATACGCCGCCATCTTAGATTCATCTTCCAGATTTTATTATAGCTCTATGACTTCTACAAAGATACCCTGAAGCTCTCACTTCCTCTCTGTTTTCACAAAATGCTCTGTTCCACCTTGTGATGTCATGAAGCAGTGGTTTTCAAGTTAACAGCTACCTTTTACCTTTAGTTCAACAGAGATTGGCAAGTGCAGGACTGAAATAATCCTAGTGAAGGCGTATGGAGTTTAAAAACATGGTGGGGCACTTCCTGTATCACCACATGACATCACAAAGTGGAACAGGGTGTTTTCAGTTTGAGAGGAGAGCCTAAATTTGCAGGATTTATGTGAATTAAACAAAACAAAACTCCAGGCATGTTTGTGATGAGGAAACCATTATAACAGATAAAAAAGTTGCATAATACGGGCCTTTTAATATATACCAAGTAAGTATTTGGAGTACAGTACACTGTTGTCATGGTAACTCGAGTATTGCAGTATATACAGTTGGTCACCTTGGACATTGACATTATAGTTCTGTTGCATATGTTAACAAAGCATGTCATTGTACTGTGTAACATTTCACAACAATAAAACTCTTCCTGGTTTGAACAGAAGAGTCTCTGTGGAGCCTGTGATCCCGATCCACAGTAGAACTATAAAAATACCCTCTCTTATTCTCATATGAACACTTCTCCATAAAAAGTCAGATCCAGTTTGAGTTTACTGCCAGAGGGACAGAGGCCACATTCTGCTGTCGTCATAGAAAAAGCCCGAACCAGGAAGTGAATCTGTAAATGAGAATAACTCCGGGATTTACGATATTGAGCTGGAGCTACTGCCCAAACAGCTGTTCCAGAAACCAAGGCAGTTATTATTTTATGTGCTGTATAAATCAGTATGAGCTCTACAGACATACGCCTAATGTCTAGAGGCCTTGTTTGGCATTGCAGTGTGCATAGTGTATAGATTTTTATTATGCTACACAGGGTTTGTTTATGTACATTTGTGTTTCCAGACAACTTTGTCAAACAAGTAAAATAGACAAAGAACAACTCATGTTTAAAGTGCAGCTAAAACCTCTAATGAAACAGGATGTGTTGTATAAATATTAGGGAGTAATGATGGGGCCACTGTGTTTTAAGTCACATTCACAACATTTACATAGTTTTACTTAAGCTAATTGAGTGTGCAAAAATCAAATTAAAATGATACGAAACACCATCAAATTGTTGTTAACATGTAAAAGATTCATTTTACACTTATTAGCTCTTTTTACCCTAAATTTGTCACTGTGTTATTGCAAATTTTCACCCGCAAATGCCACAAGGAACCACGGTAGACCTTTAAAATGTTCGTATTAACAGAAAATGTTACTTGACTTAAGTATCCTCAAAGTCATGTATAAAGCAAAGTGCAATGTATTACCTGTAAATATTCAAAGACTGTTTGAGACAAGAGCCACTACAATTTAAAAGGAACCTACAAGATTAAAAACCCAGATTCAGAAACCAAGGTCATGGAGCGAAGCATCCCTGTGAAAGGAGTTAACATATGGAATAGTTTTGACAAAGATATAAAAAGAATCAAGTAGAATGATGGCATTTAAAAAACACATAAAGTCCAGTGTAATGTGTATGTATGAAAAAGTTGTTGTGCATAATAGTGAAGATTTCTGCCTGAACTGAAATGTACTGTTTTGAAATGTTTAAAAGTGATTATCAGTGTTGATGTTTTATCTTGAAAAAAGAAAAGGGGGGCAGATAACATAAGATGACTCTTCTTTCTGCTCCTTTTCATTCAATTCTTGTATGTTTGATGTTGTGACACTGTTGATTTCTTTTTATACTTTATGAATGAAATGAATAAAAAATGCACAAAATCGTGTCAGTCATATGTTATTTGCTCCTGGCTACAATTGAACTGGACAGTAAACCATTAAACCTTGAGGCTGAGATAGAGCTACATGTAGCTGTATGGATTTCACACTAAAAGTGCAGTATGCAGTATGTTATAGAATGTATGGGAACAGAGCTTATCAGCATTTATATAAGAATTCTTTATCTTGTCTCGTGGGAAGTTTAGGCACTCAGCCTGACATTTTTTATTTGCCAAAGTGTGAAACAGTAATTCTTTATATGGGACACGTCACTAACAATACTAAAATACTGTTAATCAAATTTTCTGTCCATTAAGTACTTGTGATATAATCTTGTTTCTTGGTGGATGCTGCCAGAGAAAGGATCTTTACATTATACAGTGTAGCTGACCATTTGGCATTTTGATTTATTATACTTAGCCTGAAACTTTTCAGCTTGCATCCTCACAAGATACTGCATATTACACATTATACAGTTTAAATCGAATGGAAGGGTTAGAATTAAACAATAAATAAAAAAACAAAACAAGTAGTGTTTATCTGAAAAGCCAGAGCCATTATTCCATCTTCACTGGCACTATGTATCTCCAGGTACAGACATATTATGTAAGCTTCTTATGGCAGAAATGAGGCTAGTATGTACCATATTTTTCGGACGATAAGTTGCACTTTTTTTCATGGTTTGGGTGGTCTTGCGACTTGTACGCTTGTGAGACTAATATGTTAACATTTTCACCCTGACAGCCGCGAGAAGGCGCACTAGGCCTGTGTGCTCCTGTACCGCTGTCACTTCACACTTTACTGCACATGCAGTAAGAGCTGCAGAAAAAAGAGAAAGAGCCACTGTCCTGTCTGTATCATGTCAGTCGATCGCACCATTATTTCTGTATCACTGACAATTTAAAATTTAAATAAACATAAAGACAACTGAAACCATCCTGTCAGGATTCAGAAAGGCGGGAATAATTCTAACTGGAACTGATGCTGAGTCTGACAACAGCTACACAGAAGAGGAAATTTACCTCCAGAAGTCGCGGAGTTGCTCAGAAGTGACACAGAGGATGAAGAATTCAATGGATTTAGTGATTTGGAGTGAGATGGAGCGTTTGTTAAACTTGTTCTCTTCTGTTGTTTTTGCTGTTGTTATTACTATAACTTGCCTTTCAGGATGAAATGTTGGTTCCTGGTCTCTGATTTTATAAAATTAATTTCCCCAAAAAGTGCGACTTATAGTCCCATGTGACTAATATATGTTTTTTTTTTCTTCTTCATTACGCATTTTTTGGCTGGTGTGACTTATACTCCGGATTGTTGGCATCTAAGTATAATGCATTATTATACTCAGAGAATCAGAAAGTGTGCTGTTCAGATGCTAGTTGTTAGCTTAACCGTGACTGCAAAACTCTGCTCTCGCCTCTGAAAGTTGTGAAACGTGCGTATAACCTCATCACAGTGAATCATTAGGATGCTCAGAATGCATAAAGTAAGTGAGGAATAACTTTGAACCACTACAAACAGTTTAAAATGAACTAGTTTTGTTTTTCACATCTGGTACTGTGTCTTTAAACAACTACACAGAGGTTGGAGATACATCATTCCAAGGGAGTAACGTTGTGTTTTTGGAGCCTAAAGTTTTAAGCTCTTTACCGATAAGAATAGCTTTCCTGACTGACACAGTGGGCTGTAAATTCATCCTACAGCAATAAGTGAAAGCCCATTCTGGAGAGCAGCGGTGCAGTTCTCAGCAGGTAGACTATGGCGTTGATGAGGAGATGAGAGATGGTACAGAGGAATCCACTTAAAGAAGATTTATGACCCCACGTGACCCCTGTGGCCCCTCGCCCTGTCACCACATGTTGAATAACCTTCCCATCTATCACCAGACACTAGGCACTGTCAGACCGAGCAGAGCCGAGAAGGATCTGTGTCTGCTACACTAAACAGGTCTTTGCAGATGAAGGCGCCAAAACAAATGGACTACACAAGTATATTGAGAATTTGGTCCAAGAAGATGTATAAATGTAGCCAGGCTGGCGCCACCTAGTGCCTCCACTTAATTTCATTTCTCTCCAGCGACTACGTCAGGAATCAGAATACACTAGACGGTTTGCAAGAACCCTGAAAGTTTTAGACCGTGCACCGGCCAATCAGAGAAGAGCTGTGAAGCCATGACGTCAAACTCAAGCGCCTGTCTGGGTCCCTTTTTGTGGTACAGCACAACAGTAAACAAAGCGGTCGAGATGGATGTAGACAAAGCCATATATTCTGTGTTGGCAACCATTCCCGAGATCGAGGATTTAAAGTCAGAACAAAGAGAATGTTTGTTGAATTTTATCAAGGGGAAAGACGTCATTGCCCTTCTTCCCATGGGATTTGGCGCATTAAATACGTCATGTCAAATGGCAGCGATTGGTTAAATAAAAAAGTACCCGGGCTGTAAAAATGAATTTATATGTTTTTAAGGCTGAAGTTTATAAATAATGAAGTAAGTAAACCTCTGCGGTAGGGCTTCTTACTTTTGTGTACCAGCACTTACAGTATGGTAAGTAAAAAAAATAAGCACAATGTTTATTAAATAAAATTTTTGTTTGAACTATTCATTTGTGGTGACAAAGTTTTTGTTCTGAACCAGGTTTTGGGAACCATTTCTGGAACAAACCTAATGTAAAAAATGTATTTCAAAGTTTAAAATGTATTTATTTGAAATTTAAAGTATTGATATTTTTGCATGGGAATCAGTAAATTTTTATACCTTGTCAGTATTGAAATATTCATATTTTGGTATAGATTCGCCCATAACTAATATACAGATGGGAAACTAAAGTAAAGATGAGAAATGGATTCTAGAGGACACTTGTATACAAAAATGTTAGTGTAGTTAGCTCCTCCCTTCAGGAAGATATAAGGCAATGCCCATCAGCAATCTGGCCAGAATTGAAGAAGTGGCTTGGATAAGCGGCGAAACTCTAAAACGTTTGCCCATTTGGCATAACTGAATTTTTATTTTGCTTTATTCCAACAAAATACCTGTCCCCAGATGCAGGACGTCATAGGGCCCATCCTCAGCGTCCACTCTGTCCACTACGATCTTCTTCAGCAGGTTGGGAGCGTTGACGCGGGTCAGGATGGGTCTGCCCCCGAGCGGCATCACGGGCTCCCACATGAGCTGGTGCTGCCTCATGAAGCTCACCACCTCGTCTGGGAAGTCTTTGGTCGACTTATACAGAGCGTCGTAAGTCTCACTGGGACACTAAAAGATAAAAATGATAAAGCATAGAGTTGTTTATATTATTTCAACAGGAATATCCATATTTTACACAGATTATCATATGTATTATGCTGTATTATAATGGACAAAACCATTCCTAACATGTTCTAGTAGTTTTTAATTATATTATTTGAACCAGGATATTCTTTTGTCAATATTTTAGAGTAAGCAAGGTTTTTTCAGGGACTTCTTCCTTAAAAAGTACAAAGTTTGTGAGACCACTGACTGAAGTATCTGACACTTGGGCATAATTTTAATTGAGAAAGTAGGGCTGTGCCAAAAATCAAAAGGTTGATAGATCGTAAGGCATCCTCATTTTAATTGACAGGTCTATAAGAACGTGTGGACAAGGATTTACACTCTTGTTTAGGAAAAAGCTGCCTGAGCCACAGCGTGTCTCTTTATGTCTCCTCACATGTTTACAAGTTTGGACATAAATCTGTATAAAAGTCCAATTTCTCTCTCCCTCTGTGTGTGTCTGTGTTTGTGTGTGCGATGCCGTCTGATTGCTCTGCCTTCTCTCCCTGCCTCTGTCTGATACAGCTGCAGCTCCTCACCTTTTCTCTGCTCTTTTTCTCCTCTGGTGCTTCTTATCATTATAATCCAAGTTACGGAAAGTAAAGAACTATTTTCCCACCGTTTATGAGTGAAAGTTAAGACCTCATTTAGGGGTTTAATACAAAGAGGTTTAATACATTGTACAATCTAATTTCAAACTTTAAATGTGAATTTCCCCGAATTATTGGTCCAGTCAACACAAAATAAAAGCTGTAGTTATCCTGATACCCTGCTCTATGTGCCTGAAGTCCACATATTTGCTTCTGAATAGAATTGAGATCCAGCCATTTCAAATTGTCTCAGATCAGCATGGTTCCTTTTAGTGGAGACGTCCACAGCTAGTTCTCGGTCAGCAAAATGATGTGGTTTGGAGCAGAGTTTTTGAAAGAATAAATTGAATGTTTTCGTGTTTGTCTCATTATACCATGGCGTGAAAACAAAACTGAAATACATTTGTATATATTTCAATTAAATAAAGCTTAATCTGAGGATACAAAACTATATATTTGTTGTTTTTCGCCCAGTCCTACTTTATTCAGTATTAGCCAAAATGCATTGTTTTGGTAATAGTTCTTAAAGGCGCACTGTTTCGGTTTTTGGGGTCCGTCATCTTCTGGTTTCTATGGAAATGTCATTGCCCTAAATCTACCCTATAAGTATTTTTTTTAGTACTACTACCAGTATACAAAAAAAAAAAAAACTTTTTTAAATTTGTACTTTATTTAAAGGGCCCATTAGACGCTATTTTCAGATGTTGTTTCCTCATCACAAACACGGAGTGGTGTTTTGTTTCATTTCACACGCTTTAACACATAAATCCTGCGTATTTAGGCTGCATTCTTCTCTCATACATTTACTTCACTAGAATTATTTAGATAATTTCAGAGCGGAAATTGCTAATATCTATTGAACAAAAGGTTAAAGGCAGCTGATAACTACTGCTTCATGACATCACAAGGTGGAAGACCAGACTAATAATTTTATGTAAAGATGTTCTGGGTAACATCTCTAGTGGAGAGCCTGTCACCATGGAAATATTATTGCTTTACCTAGAATGTTCCACAGTGTACGTGAAACCGATCTATCATGAGGGACACAAGCAGGTCACAACACTACACTAAATTACAATTCAGATCTGTGGAGAGTCGCCCCTACTCACACAAGGAATTACTCTATTTATGAGCAATAAAAACATGTGTAATGAATAAATGCTAGTACATGTTTAATGTCATACCATGGAACATTCCAGGCAAAGCAATGGGGTCATGCAAGTAGCATATTATTAAACCCCACAAATGTAATAATCCCCACAAACATAATCAATTTCAAATATATTAAAGACCATTATTATTACCACTAAACAATATTTACATGTTTTATTTGCAGAAAGTTTATGAATAAACAGACTGAGCAAATATTATTTGAATATCAATGATTTATTTTGAATGTCTTGGTAAATACAGTAAATAAATCAACAATCAATAAATCAGTAATTAAATCAATAAAACTATCAGTAAATAAATCAATAAATCTGTAAATAAAAGGAATATTTTCCTGCAATAGGCAAGTTTAGTTTTGCCAAATCAAGAAAAACGCATAGCAAAATCCCAAAAAATGTTAATTGACTAAACTAACTAAAGTGTCATGTTAGTGCCCCCTAGAGGCTGAACTGCGACTCGCACGACTAAAGATAATCCTCATCCTGGACCTTGAACACCACTTCCTGGATGAGGCAGCGACATTTCTCCAGAAGGTCCTGACCGCTGAAAGCATGCGGTGGACACCAGAGCGAGGAGAGGAGTTGGAGCTCTCTTCCTCCTCACCGATGTCACTCACCACCTCCTCTGGACTGTTCCAGGGACGTGACACATCCTCCGCTTGGCTCTCAGGGCCTTCAGGACTCTCATGGAGATCTGAAGACTGTGCTTCCCCGTCTCCACAGTGACTCTCTAAAACCTCAGAGTTAGAACTGGGGAGAGGTGCATCGCTTTTCTGGCTCTCAGGGTCTTCAGTGATCTCTGATGCCAAAATGCACTCAATCCGGTGGTCAATTTCTACCCAGCAGTTCTCCTCCTGGACCCCCTCTGGATGGTCCTTCTCCTGGACCTCTTCTGGCCGTGCCATTTGTTTGCTAATTGGTGATGGCTCATTGCAGATGTTGCCATCTTCATCGACCTCCACACACTCATAGTCCCTGGATATGTACCCTGTGTACTGTGAGCAGGATCTATTTTGTGTTGAAGGCATCTCCTGGACGTCCTCATTGATGTTCTTTGTCGTTTGGTGTGGGACCTCTTCAGTGGTCGGACACTGATGGTCTCTATGTGGACGCACGTCTAGGGCGTCCTGCTTTTTTCCGACGCGTCTTTGGGCGTCAGTGCAGTGCATGCAATGCCAGAAGTTGAAAATGCTGAACTTTTGGTGGTGGACGTGCCACGTCAACCAATCAGGGATGACTATCCAGTGACATAGTGACGTTATTATCCAGAAGAAGGAAGAGGAAAGAGTAAGCCCCGGGAACCAGGGCCAGGAGCCACAAACATTAGCAAAATATAAATATATACATGCTGCAACCGCCGAGCTGATCACCAGGACTACACCCGGACTGAACCAGGACTAGACCAGGATTGAACCAGGACTGAACCAGGACCGAACCAGGACCAGACCAGGACTGGACCAGGACGTAACCAGGACTTAATCCAGGACTGGACCAGGACTAAAGCAGGACTAAACCAGTGTCATTAGCAGAGTATAAATATATTCATGTCGCGGCTGCCGAGCCAATCGCCTTCGCTGATGGTTTTATGTAAAAAATACACTAAAGTCACTCTCTCAACCTGGTCTGCCATCGTTCCGTGAAAAGATCAGGAAAATGGCACATGTTTCCAGGGAAATGGACGCCTTGGACACGCGTCAAGTATTTTTCTCCCGTTCGTCCAAGACATCCAAAATGTGCGTTGGGGGCATTTAAACTCAAATGCAAACGTGTCGAAATAGAGGCGTCCAGGGCGTTTTTTGATGTTGAGATCTGAACGTACCTTAAGGGGAGTTTACTTTATTTCTAACTGAGTAAAAATAAAATTCCAACTTTATGTAACTCTTGTGATCTTTGTTAGTATTTTGTAATGCGTGGCCTACTGTGTCCATGTCATTTCCTTTCTTCTAGATTATAGAGGAACTAAGATTATATTTTTACTTTCACAATGACAGCCAGTTTATATTTTTCAATTTCTATTTCTTTTCCATAAACTAAAGAAAATGTTAAAAGGTTAGGCCAAATGCTTTTCTCCGTGAAGATTAAGGCTGGGTGTCATTAAGAAGTGGCCGATACAATACATACCTCGACACATAGTGCACTCTCGATACAGTGCACTCTCAGTTCAATACGATATATTTGCAATTCAGTAAAAATAATGTCTAAACCATGGCTGTGATTCTAAAAGTTTTTATTAAACCGCTTCTTATGCAAAGTTCATATGAAAGATGCACATTTTAATCATCAAAACAACACACATCAAATGTGTCGCATAAAAGAGTTTCCTACAACAAAACTGTAGTGCCTTAACAACATAACTGAGTAAAATATACCAAAAAATACTCTTGGCGATATATCAATACAGCAGCCCACGATATCGATACTGTATCATCACATTAAACGATACGATATATCGATATTTCAATATTTCTGCACACCCCTAGTGGAGGTCAGAGTGAAGTTACAGGTCAGATCTGTGGAGAGGCAACCCTGCTCACAGTCTGGATGCCTGTTTTTCTTGATATTTTTGAGCTATAAAACCATCTGTATTTGAATGAGTATAAAGTAGAGCTGTTTAAAGCCATACTGTGGAACATTCCAGGCAGAGTAATGACATATCCATAGAAAAAAGCAGGTGACCAAAAACTTACACAGTGCAGCGTTAAGTGAAAGGGCAAGTGTGACAAAGCCTGTTACAAAGTGGAACAGTTCTATCACTAGACCTTCGGAAGAACTGAAGTCACCATCCCCGGTCTGGTAGCGATTACACATCTGTACTGCAGTGACACAGCCCACTGCTTCATTTAGCCCTGCGTCTCTATGGACCCAAACTTTTCCCCCTTTAAACACACTCACATGCACTTATGCTAACACTGGGGAGGTCGACCTACTCTACCAGCAACCCCATGACACTAAACCTGTCCAGAGAGCAGCCAGTCCCAGCGGGAGGGTCCAATAACACTCCCAAACGCACCACAGTGTCCCGGAGGAGATCAGGGTTACCGCTAAAAATCACTGAAGATTAACTCTCTCTAGGCTACATCAGCTTGTTCCCATTAGCTCAGTCTTACCAGAAAGCCACACAATACATGCAAACAATAATAAATGAGCTGTCAGGGTAATGTGTTTTAGACGTAAAGTTAGAGACCGCACATGTGTCATTATTATTATACATGTATTTACTGAGATGTGACTTAAAGGTGTACTGTGTAACTTTTTTGGTGTAGGGTCAGCCACCTGCTTTAAAGGTGCACTATGTAATTTTTTGGTTGGGAGCCTAGAATGTTCCACAGCATGATATTAAACTGTTTTACCTTCATACATATTAAATTAAAGGTGGTTTTATAGCTCAAAAATACCAAGAAAAACAGCAATTCTGACAGCGAATGGGGTTGTCTCTCCACAAACCTTACCTATAACTTGGTCTGTTTTAGTTTCCATGAAGACAGAATGGTTTAATGCCATTAGGGGTGTGCAAAAATATTGAAATATTGATATATCATGTAGTTTAATGCGATGATACAGTATCGATATCACGGGCTGCTGTATCGTTATATCGCCAAGAGTATTTCTGGGTATAGTAGTTTTACTAAACTTTTTCGTTACAGCGCTACAGTTTTGTTGCTTGTTTAGTGGAAGGAAACTTTTCACATATGACATTTTCACTGTTTTGATGAGTAAAATGTTTGTGTTTCATATTAACTTTTCACAAGAAGTGGTTTAACAAAAGACTTTAAGTATCACAGCCATGATTTAGCCTTTATTTTTTTATTGAACTGTATCAAATCGATTTGAGAAATACTGTACTGAATCGTATCAATCGTAAGCTCACTGTATAGAGATATGTATCATATGGCCTATGTAACAAGGTACGTATCGTACCGTGGCCTATGTATCGAGGAATGTATCGTATTGTGGCCTATGTATCGAGGAATGTATCATATTGACAACTTCTGAATGATACCCAGCCCTAAATGCCATACAGTGAAACATTCCAGACAAAGCAATAACATCTCCATGATGAAAAGCATTTGAAGAACCCTCCACTAGAAAAGTTACACAATGCACCTTTAATGTTCCACAGTATGGTATTAATTATCTTTATGAGGACAGGTGACACCATGCCAAGTTCTCCAAGCATTTCCAAAATGCCTAATAGAATAAAAATGACAGTTAAATACATTGCTACATTGTGGAATATTCCAGGCAACAGGCCATGTTCATGGACACAAAGCAGATGGTGCACTCCCAACCAGAAAGGTTACACAGTGTACCTTTAAGCTATTTGAGAATCATGAAAATAGAAACACAAACATCTCAAGAGCTTAGGTCACAATTAGGAATGTATCACATTTCACACACACTTAACACCCAGCTTTAATTGACCTTCACAGCAGACCAGTGCAGCTCCCAGGCCACATACAGCCCTTTGGATGACTCTGACTGGCATTTTACCCTAATTTGGAATTACAAAATAAACATATTTTATAATTTTACCTTAAGCATGCACTAAAGCTGTATTCCTTTTATTTCAGAGGTGTTTTTTTTTATTACATTTTTCTCAGTGGCCTCATGTGGCCCCATGGAAAAATCATTGCCCACCCCTGTTTTAGTAGCCTGATTCATCAGCCGGTTTCATTTTGTAGAATCCGTCTGACCTCACAGTGTTAGAATTTGTTCGCTGGACAGAAGGCGGGTACCTTTTATCATTTAACCATTCGCTGCTATTTGGTTGTGACGTATGTAATGCGCCACTAACGGGGATAACTGGCATATTAAGCTTTTCCCAAATCCCGTAGGAAGAAGGGCAATAATGTCTTTCCCCTTGATAAAATTCACCAAACATTCTCTTTATTCCGGCTTTAAATCCTTGATCTTGGGAATCGTTGCCAACACAGAATATATGGCTCTTCGCTAATTGGCAGGTGCCCGAACTCGCACTTTTGGGGTTTTTGCAAACCGTCTAGTGTATTCTGATTCCTGACCTAGTCGCTGGAGAGAAATGAAATTCAGCGGAGGCACTATGTGGCACCATTCTGGCTACTGTTCTAGAGGATATACCCTAAATAGCTGGTACAAGAGTTTCTTCATTCATTTCAGCTTGGTCATATTAGATGTAGCTTAAAGGATATATATTGCGCAAAACTGACTCTTGTGAGCTTTAAGCCATGTTATAATGCCGTTACCGCATCACAAACATACCTGGACTTGTTTTTTATTCACACATGTTTGAGTAATCTTGCATTTTTAGGCTGTCTACATCCTTAAAGCTCAAAATGCTCTGTTCAACCTTGTGATTTCATGTAGTGGTAGTTTTCAACAACTTCTTTGACCTCTAGTTCAGTGGAGATTGGCAATTCCAGGTCTGAAATTATCCAAATGATTCTAGTGAAGGTGTATAGAGTTTGAAAACACAGTGGAGCCCTTCCTGTATTACCACAAGACATACGTGTTTTCTGCTTGAGAGAAGAACTCAGCTTAAATATGCAGGATTTGTGCGTCAAATGTGTGAATGAAACAAAACACAATATGAGGTAAGGTAAGGAGATTTGGTAAGGAGGTTTGTGATGAGGAAACAACATTATAACAGAAGAGAAAATACTGTAATATAGGCCCTTTAAAATCTACCCTACATTTATCATCACTGATAAAGTCTTGTCAGCATAACAATGAACAGATTTATGAACTGCATTCTGCTTATCACCTTTTACCCCCTGTGTGCGTTATCAGCCAGCAAAGCATTAATATGTGAAAAATATTGTGCAAACGAAGTCAAATTTATGAAACCAAAATATCCTACATGTAACCCCCTCGTATAAAAGTGTCTAATAATTTATGACCTGTAAAGCAGATAAGATAAGGTTTAATCCACAACACGCACTGGTATTCTGTAATAAAGAAATGTACTGAGTGAGAAATTTGGGGGAGTTCAAAGATACTATATATCAGTCATTTTGGAATAGATACAATTTATGTTCAAGTTGCAGTAGGTGGAATAGAAGTATTGTTTTGGTAGTAGTTAACAGAAGTGCTTTTTTGGCAGTACTTAAAGTGGTATTTTTTGATAGTACTTAATAACTGTACTTTTTTCATCGTATTTGAATTTGTTATTATCTTTTTGTGTGCACTGGTTTTAAAGGTTATATCAGAACAAAGTTTTAAAAAGTTTAAAGTTTGTAGGACCTTACTTCAACAAAATCTTATCTACTTATCTACTTACTTACTTATCTAAGTTACATTATATAATTGTAGTATTTTATTATTTTTCTTAAGGTTGAAAATTTGCTACTGTTGTCACAGTACTAACATTATGAACTAGATTTCGATGCTAATTTGATATGACAATTATATTAAAGATGCATTGTCTAACTTTTCTGGTGGATGGTCCGTCACGTACTTTTCTCCATGGAGATGTTATTGTTTTGTCTGGAATGTTTTACAGTATGGCATTAAAACCTTTCTCTCTTAATGAAAACCAAACCAGACCAGTCATAATGCCTGTTTTTCTAGGTATTTTTGAGCTATAAAACCACCTAAATATAAGGTAGAGTTGTTTAGTGTCATACTGTGGAGCATTTCAGACAGTGCATCTCCATGACCTCTACAGATTCTCCAAAGGAATGAGCAGGTGACAGATCCTCCACCAGAAAAGTTACACAATGCATCTTTAAAAAATATTCTAAAAATATAGGGTTAAGGTGTCCTTTTTTCAATCCTGATACTTCAAATCAGTATCTACAATCTACAATCAGTATTGCTACTTTGATAACCCTAATTCACACAACACTTTGTACAGAGAGTTTGTGAATCAAATTTTAATGTATTTTTTGTCTGTCATTCTTACTACACTATAATCTACTACATAATAATACATGTACTATAAGTAGGGATGTAACGATATCCAAATCTCTCAGTACAATATTATCACGATATGCATCTCAAGGTACGATGTTTATTGCGATATTTTGGAAAGGCAGATATAATTGTAGATAAGACACTTTTTTACTTTTAAAATACCTTGACAAGATTTTGGTGTGAATTATTTGTCATAATCCCAAGAATTCAATTAAAAAACATATCTCTTCATGTTGTCTGCACTAAAATGAATCATGGGATATGTAGTTGCCGATGCTCATAAGCTGTAAAACACTGCATTTAAGCAAAGGAACTTGTAATTCGATATATTGTGGCAGCACACGATATCATTGTGAGACTTTTGACGATACGATATCATAATATTTTGGTTATTGTTAAACCCCACTATAAGCATTAGTGTATTCCATAAAGGACATTGTTACTCACAGTGCCTGGTCGGGGATAGGGGATGCGTCCCTTGTACTCCACCCAGCGATAGTCAGGCCCCTCTTTGTGAGCGAACGGTCCGTTAAAAGCAGCTCGGATCGACGCCATGGAGTAGAAACATACCGCAGAGCCACGAAAGATCGAGCTGTGGGACCAAGACAATAGATTTCATGGCTCATATTACACATAGTCATCTTATCCATGTCATAATGTTGTCTACTCATCAAAAACATAGCTGGAGTTGTGTTTTGTTTCACACATGTTTAACACACAAACTGTGCATATTTAAGATGAGTTCTTCTCTCAAGCAGGAAACACTCTGTTTCATCTCGTGTCTCTTTACACCTTCACTAGAATAATTTGGATAATTTCAGACCTGGAATTGCCAGTCTTTACTGAATTAAAGGTAAAAGGTAGCCTCTTCATGATATCACAAGGTGGAGCAGAGCATTTAGAGTTTTGGAGATACAGATAGACTAATAATAAAAAGGCCATGTGAATGAAGCAAAACACAACTCCACGTATGGTTTTGAGGTGATAAGAACATTTTAACATGGCTTACAGCTCACAAGAGTCAGTTTTGCATAATGTGGAACCTTTAACAGTGAGTGAGCGCTCCTCTCCCCAGATCTGACCTGTAACTTGGCATAGTGGCACCTGCTTGTTTCCATGGTAATATGTATTTATGTTAATTTTTTATGTTTATTTATTAAAAACGGGACAGTGCACATTATTCAGCATGTGTTAGTACAGTGTGTAAATGTGCTAGAGTTAGTCGTGCAGGCTCATTTTCCTCTGTAGTCTTGGCAAGACATAAAACACGACAGAGGCACAATAACATTCAGTCCATCACACATGACTTAGATTATGTTTATATGATGACAGTCTGAACAGAAGATGCAAAAGTGGCATCACTTTTTATTCTGAGTTTAGATGAGCATTTTCAGGAGGAAATCTAAGTACATACAGTGACGCAAAAGTGTGTGGAATTGGATTGGGTATGTTTGTACTTAAAGCAACAAGGGCATCTTTGGAGATACAGAAGTTTTCACGCCATGCATTTTCATCAGCTACTCCTTCTACAAAGTTGTCCCACCATCAACAGGTTCTTCAGGTCTTGTCCATAGCCGTCTGGCTCGCCTGCGACAAACTGGTGCATCCAAAATTGGACAGAGATAACTGCAGATCCTTCTCTGTTCACTAATAGTATCTCTGCAGATTCTGTACATTTGTTGGGATGCCGCCTGTAAGTTTATTAGAACAGTTAGAGCAGCTTGAAGGTTTGACATATGGAAATGATCCAACATGTTTGTTTCTTTGTACTGTATGTATGTGATGTAAACACGTATGTGACATGAGCAGATCTGAACAGAGTTTTGCGTCTTGGGCAGTGTAGATGGAAACGCTACAGCGGAGCGTATTCAACTTTTCCACTCTGGAGGGTGGTTTCAGATTTTTGCGTTTTTAAGCCCCAAAAAAACCATCACCATCTAAACGAAAGGCACTGCCGATAAAATCTGCTGTTTTTACCCGCAAGCGTTCTCGTGTAAACAAACCGTAAGACGTTAAGGTCGAAGTGGTGATAGACCTGTCAAGTCTTCCTGAAACAGCTGGTAACATTTCCATGGACACAAGCAGGTGGCAGCCAAAAGAAAATACATTGTGTACCTTTAATGACAGGTAAATTTGAAGAAAAATATAAACTACCAAGAAAGGGAGGGTTCTTTAGGTTAGATTTATGGCAATGGAATTGGCTTTTGGAATGTCAGAATGTCAATGATAGACTTTGGGGGGGTCAAACTTTGACCCCAACACTCGCCCACATTTGACCTCTGAACTCCCACACGGTCACGTATCCACAAAGCTTCCTGTTCTGCATTCAATAAGCCACTGGGGTTTAAGATTAAAGTTGAAACCAAAATCTTATGTTATAGATTAAGGAATGAGTGATTGAACTGTTGAATGAAAATACTGCAGTTTAAGTTTGCACTGTATTCCCTTTACACTTTCAAACACGAAACGCTCCAAGAATACTTAAACATTTCAGTAAAAAAATTTTAGATTTAAAAATGACTTTAAGAAAAATATACTCAACTCTACTTACTTACTTACTGATAAAAATATATTAGATTTTATTGTTGAAAATTCTAATTTGCAAGACATTCTCATTAGTACACCAATTTAAATAATTAATAAATAAAGCTGTAAAACTCTTCATACCTGGATGTGCTGAAGACTCCATAGATGGTGGGGTTCTGCGGGTCCTTGGTCTCCAAAACAAATATGTCCTCTACAAAAATACAATAATAACACATTAAAGATACACTATGTAGCTTTTTGGTTAGGGTTTCTAGGGATATGTCATTGCTCTACCTGGAATGTTCCGCAGTGTGACTTTAAAGAACTCTACTTTACATTTATTCAATTACAGGTGGTTTTATAGCTCAAAAATACTTAGAAAAACTGGTATTCTAACTGTGAGCGGGGTCGCCTCTCCCCAGATCTGACCTGTAACTTGGTCTGGTTTGGTCTGTATGAAGATAGAAAAGTTTAATACCATACTGTGAAACATTCCAGACAAAGCAATTACATCTCCATGAAGAAAAGCGTTTGACAGACCCTCCACCAGAAAAGTTATAGTTTTACTTGTTGGTCATTATTCACTTTACTGTTATTATTATTCACATTACTATTATTATACAGATACAGTTGAAAATACTACAGTACATAAAAAAATAAGTATTTATTCAGGTGAAGTGGGTGTGGGAGACATGGGAGGACAGTAGAGGAAGGAAAGGAGGAGATTTGAGCTCATCGAAAGGGCCTTTTATTTTAAAAGTCAAAGGTTGCACAAATGAAGGAAGTAAGGGTGGACACATCTAGGCTGTTCCCAGAGTTCTTGCATAGTACAATACTTATCAAACTTAGTATTATCTCAGAAAATATTTGCTTCTCCAAGTCCTATTTAAACAAACTAAACTAAATTACCCCAAATCGTGACTAAACTACATCTGGAATATCCATGAATTTCAGCCACTGGGGGATAATAATGCTAGAGAAATCATCACCATGGTAACCTACAGTAAACAACCTCCATTTCCAGCAGCTGTGCAGACAACTTCTGACTGTGATAAAGAAGATAGGAGATGGGTTTAGAGGGTTTTACCCAGTTCATCAAACATTGTGTCCACTCCAGAGGGTCCTGGGATGGAGCAGAGCAGCCGAGCTTTCACGAAGGTGGTCCAGCGGTTTATCAGGCTCCTCTTACCACCAACATCATTCTGGAAGAGACAGAAATACATGTTCACAGAGGATATTGTCTGCATTTAGTATTCTTTTACATTTTGTCTCACAGAGTAGGTCTCATAGCATGAAATAATTTTTCAAGATTTTAAGGGAATGTATAGAAATAAACTGTGTCTATGTCCATAAGATGATGGTGGTTTGTATTTTTGTTTTGTCTGTAAAAATCTGTATGATTGGCTGAGGAGGGAGCCACAGACAACATAAATGCAGCAGGGTCTTGACTCAAAGGGGTATTTATCTTATGCCTATTCTATCATTTCTGCCCATTGAGCTTTCTTTTACTTTTTCTTAAAAGAGAATTTTTGATCTTGTCTTTTCTTTTCTTTGATCTCAGATGCAATTTTTTCTGCTGTTTTTGCAAATTTTTGCCAAATCTTTGGCAGCCAGAGTCACTCGCAATGGCTTTAGTTCTTCTGTAGTTTCTGGTTCAGATTCTTGTTATTTCAATTTGCTCATTGTTATTAAGAGTGCGTTCACACTGGTTTGGTCCTTGTTCTGATCCAGCTTTAGTTTTAGTAAATCTGTTGTTTTTGTGGTGTGTGCAAGAGTGAAAGTATGCTTTTTGTAATTTTCCTTTGGTATCAGTTAGGTTAATCTAAGTCTACAAGTTAGCTGAATTTGATTAAAAGGACTATCTGAATATCAAATGATGTACGGTACTTGGACAAACTAAATGGTGGATTTTGGGACATGCCTTGAGCAAACAGCTTGCTAAAACAGTTGTTTATTGTTAGTATTTATGAGATAATTCATTTATAAGATAATTTAGCCTAATATTTTGTTCCTGTACCTTGCAGACGCGAGCGACGCGGCTGTAGACCCTCTTGTCCCACTGCCCCGCCTCCACGGCTCTCTCTTTGAAGAAGAAGTAAACTTTATCATCGTCCGAACTGTGAGTATCAGGGACGGAGAAGGAGTCCACAAACTCAGGCTCTGGAAGCACAAACACATATTTAACATCAAGTCCTATGTCAAAGCAAACTTATGTGAGTACTTCAAAGGACAAGTGCTAAAGAGGACATAAGCAACTCTGGGTTATTAAGGACAAAGTGTACAAACGTACATTTGTTATTGTGGATGTTTTACTCAACTTCCAATCACCGTGTATTTTTAAAAGACTAATGTTGCCACAAAAGATTTTGAAACTCAATGTCAATAGTAAAGAAAAAAAAAAGCTTAATCCTCGATACTGATTTTATTTATTTACAAGTATTGATAGTTTCAATTTTATTATATTTACAGTGGCCTTTTATACAGTTTAGTATGACTATTCAGAAAAGGTAACATTCTGATATCAGATTCTATTTATTACTTCACTAGAGATTTGTATCTGTTTTTTCAGTACTAGTTTTAATATCAGTTTCTATCTGTGTATACATTGTTTTTGAATTATAGTCTGAAATGGTGAAGTGAAAAAGACTAAACGAGGATTGAAAAAAAGAAGATCACACCACAGGTTCAGAATCAGTTACCCTTGTACATAATTTGTTTTACATGTTTAGTTCTTCTTACCATTGAGCCAGTTGTGATCGTAGGCCTCTGTGCGTATATAATGCTGGCTGCTGCCTTTAAGGGAAGTGCGAAAAATAGCTGCATTTGCTCCCATGAAATCCACCGAGGTACCTGCATACAGCTCCCCATCTGCAGAAAAAAGACAAATATCCACAAATCAAATATAATGTACTGGGAATTCTGAAATACTTCTAGTTTCTAAGTGTCCATAATTTAAATTTAGAAATCCCCACAGAAAAGGGCTATTATAATCACAAGAAGATATACACTGCCCGCTTCTCCTCCACCTGTAATGAGTCTCAACGCAACACTTAAAATTCTAACACCTAAAGTAGTTTGACGGCACTTAGAAAGCAATAAAATAAATTACAGAGACTAGTATTAACCCCACCCAGCTAAGGTTACGAAAATGAGGTAGTGTAATGTACATTTTCATTGTTAAATTCTCCCAAAGTGTTATAGTTATAGTAATAATTTTCTATAACGCATATGGTTCATGTTTCAAAATCAATCAGTCTTGATTTATAAAGCCTTTTACAGCACAAAAGGTGACCAAAGTGCTTTCCAGTAAAAATGTGAATGTGTACAATATGCAAACTTAAAGATGCATTGCTCAACTTTCTTTGTAGAGGATCTGTCACTTGCTTGTTTCCATGGAGATGTCACTTCTTTGTCTGGATTGCCTTGGATCTGTCTATTTATTCATTAGGTGTTTCTATTGCTCAAAAAAAAAAAAAAAAAAATCTCACTGTGAACAGGGTTGCCTCTACACAGATCTGACCTGTAATATAGATTATAGTTGTCTCCCTTGAGATACATAAATTTAATCTGTATTGTGGAACATTCTAGGAAAAGCAATAACGTCTCCATGAAGACAAGCAGGTGATGGACCCTCTACCTGAAAAGTGCACCTTTAAAGAACTGTGTATAAGAATCTGATTTTAAATTCTATAACCATGACCAAACACTTTTACCGATAACAATTGTAATGCTGATTCAGTCTTAATTACAAAAACATTGAACATGGGGGGTAATCCACGAAGACATCTTAAGCAAAATCTGTCTCATTTGGCCAATCCAGACTTATTGTAGCCTCAGTTTTGTTGAGTTGCCACGGTAACAAACACCCGGAAACAAACCTGGTCAGGACCAGGCTAACTCTCAAGATTATCTCAAGATTATTTTAGGAGGGGGGAGTTGTGTCTTTCCTCTCGCTCCTCAGATCAGAATGACCAGAAACGTTCCGTGGCCCAAGTCAAACTCTGCGGGTGCGCTCTGTGGCTCCTCTTTCGTTTTGTCAAATAATAAAAAACATACAAATTTTGGCCCATTTTCCATGATGTTGTTGCTTCATTGTTCTGGCCATTACAAACTCACCGCGAGCACGCACTCAGACGATTAGCTTTGGTTAGATTCAGATCAGGATTTCAGGATAAGCCACCCAGGATGGCCAAGTTGTTTATATAATAATTTGATGTCTTGGTTATAAATGATATTATCCAATCGGAAAGCAGAATAAGCCTCACGAGTCTCTCTTTTGGGTTTCAATGCTGAAATCCAGTTGGTTTAAACCTAAAGTGCCTCTCTCTCATCTGAATCTTCACTACTTAAACCCCAGCACCTGCAGTCAACCATTAAACAGTGTTAGTGAAGCCTCTGCAGCTCAATGAGTGAATTCTGGAGGTTCTGATCTTTCACATGAGGCCTGTCCATATACTGAGAATGAGAAAACCTTGTATGTGTCCTCTATCTGCAGTTTTAACCCAGATTCAGTTTTTCTTTTCTTTTTTTTAACTGTAAGACTGCAGTCTATATACCACTTCCTTAAACTAATTGAAACTTCTCTTACAGTACTTAACAGATTAAAAACTACCTAACTTATTACAAAAACATCAAAATGCTTCTGTAATTAGCAATTAATGGTATGAACTGTTGTTGTTGCCCTATATTATTAAAACAATGATGTCAGCAATGGCTACAGTACTATTTACACAATTTATTTTACAACCTTCACCAACAGTCAAACAGTGAATCAGAATTTTGGAGCATTAACAGTAGTAACAGCGTTAAATACAGGCTATAAACATCTCCAAACCTGGCATGTGGTTTTAAAAATCACATGTAAATACAAACATCATGGATAGTAAGGGGGCCATGTTGTTTTGGCGTAAGAGTTTTATATGAACCACATGGGGCAAATAAAGCATAATTAAAGTGATTAGAGTTGAGTCAGTTTTATGCTGGGAAAGTACACAAACTAGAGCTGAGAAAGACCTATGGAAGAGCAGGAGTTTCCTTCAGTTACACAATTAAAATGGAAAATAAATCACACTCACAGAAGAGTTCATTTGAAAGTATAATTATTATGACATATGGTGGGTATTACAGATTGGCACACACGAGGCGCAACAATAGGGCAATTCCCAGCTCCACTGACAGACTCAGCAGAAATATGACATATATCTTCTTAAAATATAAGAATTTTATGAGTGCGTAAATTTGCATTGTTGTACCAATTCCTTGTTGACAGTTATTTATGAATAGCTCTATCTATCACTAGGGATGCACCGATATGATACTGGTAATGGATATCAGCACCGATATTGAAAATTTAGATGGATTAGATATGAGCCCATGATATCAGTTCAGTTGATATCACACTTTGGTCTATAAATTGGTGTAATAAAACAATTTACTGAACAGTGTACATCCCAAACCCCTCGTCATATTGAACTTGTGTTTTTCAAAGCTGTTCGAGTGACTTTAAATGATAAAAAGAATTACAAAACACATTTGGATAAGTTTTTTACCAAAAGTCGTGTGTGTTTAAATCATATTTCCTCTGTCCTGGTATTGTGATATTGTATTGTCAAACTTCTCACAATAATATCATGGACCCTCACAATATATCGAATTACAAGTTTCTTCACTTAAATTAAGACTCATGGTGCAGCAATAGCTAAAAAAAAGACAGGAAACTACATAAACCATGATCCTCTGCTCAATTTCAGTGTAGACTAAAAGAAGAAATAACAGTTATAAGCACTTTTAAGTCTTCGTTCTTTGGATTAAGTCTTGTCAAGGCATTTTAAGAGGAAAAAGTAGTAGTAGGAAAATTAACAGTTTTATTAGCCTCCACAAAATATCGCAATAAATATCGTACTGTGAGGTGTATATCGTGAGATTTGGATATCGTTACATCCCTAATCGTGAGCCTTACCACCATATCATGAGCTTTCCCACAATATTGCAATAAGTATCGCACCATGAGGTTCATACATACATGATATCGTATCATGAGTATGTATCCGTTGCACCCCTAATCTCGGGTATTGGCAGATACATAAAGTATCGACATCAGTATCGGTACAGGAAAAACTGGATCGGTGAATTTCTATCACCTACTTCATCAGAGGTTATAAAACACCCAACGATGGAAGTATGGGCAGACTTTAATGGGCAATATCACTACAGCTGTGTGTGTGTGAGTGTTCAAGGTCTTTTGCTGTCGATTATTGTACTGTTTCCATTTTTCACCATTGGCTTCCAACACCAAACCAGATGCAAAGTGACATTTTTTTAATCAGATGTTCTGAGGAAGAGGAGGAGGAACTAACCAACTAACTTCTTATAGTGTCAACATTTTATCCTTAAAGAAGTACTGAAGAAAATGTAAAGCTTTCATTCAACTGTCAAAAGAGGATATTTGGTGTTACAACAGTGTACAAGCCTACAACCCCATTGTACTGTCAATTAAAGTTAGTTTTGATTTCAACTTGATATTACATTTAGTCAGAAAAGGCTGTATCTTCCATTCAATCTATAAAAAGTCCAGCACGGCCACTAAAAACCATTGTTTACATGAGGTCTGAGTCTCATTTAAACAACATTGGCACCAACAGAACAGAAGGAGAAGGCATGCAGTCTAAGTTATGGTATGTTTGTGCGTAATGTTATTGTGGGGCGAGAGAAGACAGGCTTGGTGCTGCTCTGTTTTCTCTGTTAAAGGCATCCACTTGAACTAGTCCAATGATATTTACTGTTGGACACACACATACGGTTGGTCAGCACTATATATCTGCTTTACTGTCAGAAGAAGGAAGGGAACTAGACATTACAAGCACAATATTAAAGTACCAACAATATTTTAAACGGCCCATATTATGCTATTTTCTGATCTGTTATAATGTTGTTTCCTCATCCTTTTATTTACGCATTCACAACTGCATATTTAGGCCAAATTCTCCTCTTAAACAGAAAACACTCCACTCCAGCTTGTGATTTCATGTGGTAATACAAGAAGTTCTCCATTGTTCTTTTAAACTCCACACACCTTAATTGCATTTCTTCATTTGGATGACTTTCAGCCCTAGAATTGCCGATCTCTGGTGAACTGAAGGTAAAAGGTCGCTCTTAACTTGAAAATTACAGCTTCATGAGGTTCACAAGGTGGAACAGAGCATTTGGAGCCTTGGAGATGCAGACAGACTAAAAATAAAGGTTTACTCAAACATGTGTGAATGGAGCAAACAACTCCAGGTAAGGTTTTAATAAGGTTACAGCATTCTAACACGGCTTAAAGCTTAATTTTGCAACCTTTAAAGACCAACAATGTAAGTACGTGATTCTCAACCTCGGTCAATGTCTTACAATAAAATTAAACATGATGTTTGGGAAGCCTATTTCTTAGTGGTTTGGGGTCGTTATAGTCAATTGTTATTATGGGGATCGTTGGAATGTTTATAATTATAGGTCTTGTGGTTATGAGCGACCACATAGCTGATTGGGCCCAGAAACTTTCAAACTTTTAGTATAGTTTTTTTTTTTGAGAAGTCAATGGAAAAAGAAATGGAAAATGTACTTCCTAAACTTCAATAATAGTTGTAGCGTGGACCTTGTACAAATCATAATGTATTACCCAGTTGACTGATATTAGGGTGAGAGTGACACAGTGGGTTTAGCATTCATCCACTGACCAGATGGTTGGTGGTTTGAACTTTGGGATGCACTAATCCAGCTTTTTCAGTTCCAATACTACAGTTTTAACTATCTGCCAATACCCAATTCGATACCCAGGCATTTATTTCGTTAAAAAAGTCAAAACTGATGTTATGACCAAATGTGTTATATAGCTGTTATTTATTTCTAGTAATCACAGAACAAATTTACCCTGCGTTCGATTATCCTTCCGAATCGGTCTTCCGAGGAAGTTGCCTAGCGACACGTGTGACACGCCCCTTTTCCTGGGACGCCACGACTCAGATCTTGGTGGCGAAAAAAGTAGACCGAGCAAGAATTCTGAGTCAAAATCCAAGATGGCTACGCTACATAAATATGAAGTGTTTTTATTGTGTTTGGACTCTTTGGTGGTTTAAATGACAATTCCAGTCTCTTGTATCACTGCAATACCTAACCACATCCGTATCACTGTCTATGGGTTTGGTAGTCGGTGTTGTGGTGACGCCAATATTGAACAAATACTTGATTTAAAGGGCCTAAGGTTGTAACGGAAGGGAAATCATAACATAAAATGAAGTGCAAGTTCCAAAAATTTAATTGATTAAAGTGGCGTTTTCATAAAATGAGGGAATAGTCATAATCATAATTCACGTAGTCCGACTCGCAAAACATAATAATACACTTCAAGCTCGGACGTGACGTCAAATCCGAGGTCCAAGTGCAAATCGGAAGATAATCGAATGCAGGGTTATATAAATAAAAGTTATTAATATTATATTATTATATTAATATTATAGTAATATTATGAGAATTTCTGGCCTGACTACAACCAATAAATAGTCTTATTATATCAACCGGTATGTCCAATCAGGATATTGACTGAACCGATACTTGGAAGTCGATATCTGATCCAGCAAATTGTTCAGTTTTGCCACAGATATCCTCTGCTAAAAAAACTACCAAATGACCATGTGTGTGAATGGTTCCATGTGGCAGCCCCAGATTAGAAAATGAGTAACTGTACTGCACAAAGTTTACAAGCAAATCTTATCCCAACATCTAAATACATTATGTGATTGTATGTGTAATTTTATGATCTAGTTTAGTCAATGAAGTTTTATGGGGCCACTGCTGACGTCCTGGTATGAAATAACTCTACAGGACCACACACAGTCTTCAGTACAGCGCTGTGATCTGAAGACAGAAGCTGCATTGTACAGAGTCGCACATTAATGTCACCAGAATATGAATGTGAGCATTACATCATGACAGGAAATAGATATGGGAAGTCTTATCTTTGACCTTTTTCTGTTTTATGAGGAGTGAGATTTGGGATCTACCAATTAGGAAGGGACACTTTGCTTATATTTTTCACTACCAATAATGTATATACTTAAATTCATGTAAAAAGTAACACCTCCAGACCACAGCTGCACTGTCCCTCTTTAACTGTATGCTTTAAACTGTCTGTTTTAACTGTGTTTTTTAATAGTATTTATCTTTGTTTATGTTTTGTATTTATTGGTGTAAGGCAACCTCGAGTGTCCAGAAAGGCGCCTAATAAATAAAATTTAATATTATTTTTATTATTAAGTGTTAATGTAAGTGTTAATGTTTATTTTGTGTGTGTCATTGTGATGGAGAATGTCTGGCCTGGACTTCTTTCATTCTCATTGTGGTTTATTTTGTGCAACCATAAATGATAAACTTTTGTGCCTTTGTTGACTATTAGTTTGTACGACCATAAACGAAAAAAACAAAAAAAAAAAACAAAAACAAAACTGGCATCTTTAAAATCTTTCTTTCTTGGAACTGTGGATTTGTGTCATAGGGTTTGGCACTTTTAGTTCAACTTGGACCCTTTCTGTCATGATCCACAGTAGCTGTGGTCTGTTTTGTTTTTGTTTTGTAGTGCTGCAAAATGACCCAATAAAAAAAGAAAAAAAAAAGGAGAGGCCTGGTTATCATAATAAAGTAATATGAATATGAAAATGTTTGAAAACAGTGTTGTTGTTTTTTTGTTGTTTTTTAAGGACCCTTATTGCGCTACTTTGTGATCTACGTTATATGTTCTGTTTCATTCACAAATATTATTAACACATAAACCCTACATATTTAGGCTGTGTTCTTCTCTCAGACAGAAAACTCCCTGTTCCACTTTGTGATGTCATGTGGTAATACAGGAAGTGCTCCACCGTGTTTTTATACTCCACACATCTTCACTAGAATGATTTGGATATTTTCAGCCCTGGAATTTCAAATCTCTACTGAGCAAAAGGCAAAAGGCAGTAGTTAACTTGAAAACCACCACCACATGAACTCAAAAGTTGGAACAGAGAATTTTGAGCTTTGGAAACGTAGAGAGATTAATAATAAAAGATTACTCGAACATGTGTGAATGCCTGAACCAAATCCTAAACCTCAAGTAAAACCAAAACTAAACCAGGATTACACTAAGACTACTGTATATCCAATTGAGACTCGCATTTTCTTGGTATTTCAGAAATTCTATGTGGCTCTGAAAGCGAAAAGTTGAAGTTTAGATCATGACAACACAATACATTAGCCAGTGTATCTTACAGTCAGTATCTGTGCGGCCATTACAACATGACAGGAAAGAGATATGTGGAGTCTCCTCTTTGGCCTTTTCTGTTTTATGAGGAGTGAGATTTGGGACAGTTACCAGTTAGACGCGCTGCAAACGGCTCCTTGGGGCTGAAGGGACACTTTCCTTGGCCTGACTCCTCCGAATGAGACAGCATGAACAAAGCCTGCTGGAGATAGGAGATAATAGAAAATACATTACGCACTATTATAAGCTATTAACATGACGGATAAATAAGAGTTCAAAGGGGTGAAAAGGAAGCATTTAGAAATGTCAGGGGAGTTAAAAATATAACCAAGTTCAGCCAAGTGTCCAGTGAGGTCAGGTTTTGGAGCATCTAAAGAGAAAGTGACCAAACATGGAGAGAGAGAAAGGCCACATGCAAAAGTTGTGTGGACTTAGTTTGGCTCACTAAGACTGTACATTTCAGTCTAGATTTAACAAACATTTTGGTACATGAACAATAGGCGACAACAGACGATATTTAGCTTTTGAAATCCACAGCAAAGGCCACAAGTTTATCTTAAATTGAAGTAAAGCCCGCAAATTAACGTCTCACTTTTGTAAGAATAATAACAAAATGTATTAAATTGTGTTGAAACATAATTTAACATGTAAACATACAGCTTTATTTTTAGCCTAATTGCTCTTCTGTTTCCATTTTCTTCATGAGTCTGTTCAAACTGAGAATGACAAAAATAAAGAAATGGGGTAGGACATCGGGCAGAAACAAGATCCAAGCTTCATAATTAAGGAATTATTCAAACAGAAGAAGAAATCATGAAACAAATTGTTGCAGTTTTGTCATTTTTTACACATTATAGAAGGTTTATGAAGCGTGAACCAAAGCGATATAATGTAATTTGAATAAAGAATAACATTTTACTGAATGTAGATACTGCATTTGTATGACAAGTAGACTTAAAACAATTATTTGACAAAATCTTGACAAAAACTAAACCGATTTTTATCAAACGGCTAAAACAATATTATGAAAACATTAGATTTTGGCTTTGGACTGCCAAGTGTAGTTCAGTGATTTATGGTCCATTAAGGCTGTATGGACAGTCCAGTGTGAAGGTCTGAACTTAATGTAGCATTTCATTCTGTTTACATAAAATTTTACATAGTACATAAAGAGGTATGGTGTAAATCAGAAGTCCCCAACCCCCGGGGCCAGGTCTACACCAGGTCTAAACCAGGACTAAAACAACCAAAAAAAAAAATCAGCAAAATACTGTCAGATATAAAATCGGTCAGTGGCGCAAAAAAAGTTTGGGGACCAATGGTGTAGATGGTTTTACCTCATTGTTGTGTCCCAGGTGAAGATAGTTGCATTTGGGGTGGTAGGCTCCGGTCCCACATGCGTAAATGTGGGTCTTATTGTACGGCTGAAGCAAACGCACAAAGTTGGCACACTCCGTCTGACAAAAGAAATACAGACAAAGAATTAAAGTGACCATATTACCCTCTTTTCTGATCTTAAGATGTTGTTTCCTCATCAAAAACATACCCTGGAGTTTTGTTTTGTTTCATTCACACATGTTGAACACACAAAGCCTGCATATTTAGGCTAAGTTCCACGTACGAAAAACACTCCACCTTGTGATGTCATGTGGTAATACAGGAAGTGCTCCAGCGTGTTTATAAACTCCAAACACCTTCACTAGAATCATTTGGATGATTTCAGTCCTGCAATTGCCAATCTCTTCTAAACCAAAGCTAGCTGTTAACTTGAAAACCACTGCTTCATGACATCACAAGGTGGAACAGAGCATCTGGAGACATAATGAATTACTCAAACATGTGTGAATGAAACAAAACACAACTCTGGGTATGTTTGTGATGAGGAAACAACATTATAACATAGAACAGAAAATAGTGTAATACCGACCCCTTTAAGTGTCCAAAATAGTGGTGAACTTTTGTATTATTATGTAACTTAACTTAAAATATGTGTCATCATTAGGGCTGGGTATCATTCAGAAGATGCCGATATGATACATACTTCGATACATAGGCCATGATACAATACGTATCTCAATACAGTGATCTTACAATTTGATAAGATTCAATACGATATATCTGAAATCGATTCGATAACATTCAATCAAAAATAAAGGTTAAATCATGGCTGTGATACTAAAAGTCATTGTTAAACCACTTCTTGTGCAAAGTGAATATGAAACACAAACATTTTAATCATCAAAACAGTAAAAATGTGAAATGTGTTGCATAAACAAATTTCCTTCCTCTAAACAAGCAACAAAACTGTAGCGCTGTAATTAAATAATTTAGTAAAATATACCAAAAAATACTCTTGGTGATATATCGATACAGCAGCCCACGATATCTCTACTGTATTATCATATTAAATGAAATGATATATCGACATTTTAATATTTTTGCACACCCTTAGTCATCATTAACATTCATATCCTAGCTGGAAGCATTGATAATCTGACATGTAGCTAGATTATTCCAATTACGCCAATATAGATTTACCTCCAGACTCTTCCCCGCCAGTCTGCAGTGCTCAACGTGCTCCTTCGCTGCCGGCCAGTAGATCTGAAAAATCCACAAGTTTGCGTATTTCAGCAGACATCAACATTTAATATTTACTTTTCTGTGATGAGCTAACATACAGTGTGTGTGGGCTGGTCCAGGCTGTCTGGTCTCAGCAGGTAGATGTAGTCTTTTCCTCCGACCAGCAGCCAGCCCTGGTCCTCGTCCAGCAGCAGGGCTTGGTAACCTCCGGCGACCCCTCCCTGCCAGAACACCGCACTTCTGTTTCTCAGCTCTGAAACACACAAAGGGGAAAATGTATAACGTGTGATAGCAGATTGTAAAGATGTCCTCTACAACTACCGAACTTGACACATGAGGCTTTATCATTTTGTTACAGGTGATTTTGACCAATTCTATAAGAAGGACTATACATTTTTAAACTCTTATTATTCTCTACTAATAATGTATATACTTTTTTTCTTATACACTTTTTTATACTTTATACATGTACTTTGTTCTGATATAAGTGCGTTTGGACAGCTGTTTGCCTTGTGCTGTTCTGACTGTACAGGTGTGAGTCCGTTTTGGTGGTTTTGATCTCTGTGGACAGGAATAATTTAAAACACTGGCTCTGAGTACATTTGGTGATTTGCACGAAATAAGCCCGAATAGAGCACATTTTACTGTAAAAACAGCAAGGGGTGTATTTTTCGTTGGTAATTTAATAGTTATTTTATCAGGGAATTTACAGGGTTCCCACTCTTTTTCACTGACAAAATTTCAAAACTTTTCCATGACTTTTTCATGACCTAAAGTGAATTTTCCATGACTTTACACCACCTACATGTGTAAAATTGATCATACTTTTAGATATGAAATGTTAACCCTTTACACTCACCTTATGGTTTGGTTTTATAGTTTTTTAACATTCAAAATACTGTCAGTGCATTTATTGTCGTCTCTTTTAAACTAAAAGCGCTTATGTTTAGAAATAATCATAATAGCCCAATGATAATTTAACAGAACGCTGTAGATATGTGAAAGAGATAACAAAATTCCATGACTTTTCCAAAACTTTCATTGAATTTACAAAATTCTATGACTTTTCCAGGCCTGGAAAATTACATTTTCAATTTCCATGACTTTTCCAGGATTTCCATTACTGTGGGAACCCTATTATTAGTTACTTTCATCAACCAGTAATGCAGTTACTTTTTTTTACTTGTTAATTACTTTTTTGAAGGATCTTGCACAACAATGTCTGGCCTGGTTATAATAATTCAAAGTATAAATAAACAAAAATGTGTAAATGTTTTTTTTAAGTAAATACAAGGAAGATTGTCTATATTATTAATTGAATTTCCATGGCTGTTTGTATCAAATAAATTAACTGTACCACTGCAATACATGGACAAAACTAAACCAAATTCTAAACCTAAAATGAAACTAAAACAAAACCAGGACTAGATCCATCTGGGACTTGCATTTCGCCCTTGGTATTTCAGAAATTCTTCATGTGGCCCTGAAAACTAAAAGGTGAAGTTAAGATCATGACAAAACAAAACATTAGCCAGTGTCTTAGAGTCTGTAGCTTTGACTGGGCCATAGTTTAACACTGGCTCAGACTCACACTCGGTTTGGTCTCTGGGGACATGGAGCTAAAGCAGGCAGAAAACGAGAAGAACAAACACAGCAAATTAACCCCGATCCAGCCCGTAGCCTTCTGCTGCACTAATCATGAGTCCCTCTGCTGCTCTAACCATGTTTATTCTGGGTCAGACTGGCCTCCCAGAGAGAATAAAGAGAGGAGCAACATGGTGATCCAGAAACAAGTGGCATTAGGCAATACGGATTAAGAATAATTCCATATTTCCAATTATTTAAGGTGCACTATAAATGTTCTAATAGGGGAGGAGATCTTCATTGAGATATTTTTGCTTTGCCTAAAATGTTCCACAGTATAGCCTTAAACATAATTTTTTTCAAGTACAGGTGTTATTGCAAAAAATAAAATAAAATCCTTAAAAATAGAAAGTTACATAGTGCACCTTTAAACATTTGAAGCTATGCATAAGAATCCTCAACATAATCAATCTAGATCAACTTCTTAGGCCAGTACATGATTTAGTAAATTAATCATATTTTAAATTAATAATTGCAAATAAATCTGTACTTGTAAGATGACGGATCAAAACATCAAAACGAGGTCTGACAGAGTGAAACGTGTTGATGCTTTTAGAAATTGGTTTTGGTTTATAATTCTTCATTGTTGTTGATGTTGTTTGTTTTTTTTAATATTGAAAGTGAGGTGAATGGATGAGATCAGCTTGTTCTATGATGATTTAATTTATATAAAGTACCGCAGTTGGATTATTGATACTTTTAAACACTTGTACCGCCATTACCTAAAGCAACACTGTCACCGGCATGTCACCCACACGATGACATAAAACATTAAATCCATACTTTGGAACATTTTCCATTGAGATCGTTAAGTTTGATGTCATGCTGTGGAATATTAAAGCCAAAGGAATATTTCAGTGGAGAGGTGACAGGTGCAGGCCTTCCTTCAGTTCAGGATTGTGTAAACACTATAAGATGCATGTTTTTCAATGCAATAAAAAACAATGTGCTTTTATTTTAGTCTTATTTTATAACTAAAAGGGGACTTTTAATCATTTTGTACTTTTGATTCATGTATAACCAGGGCTGTGTGACCTAATCTAATTCACCAAGGCTCCATACTTAAGGTAAATTTTCTAAATTTTCTACACCAGAGGTCTTCAACAAGGGGGTTGTGTAATCTTTGGTTAATTAGACTTTTTTTTTTTTTGAAGGATGAGGATGAACTTGTTTTCAGTAGGTTCTGTCTGTTTGTTCCTTCATCAAGTCTGTCTCTCTCTCTTCATTCCCTCGTCTCTCGCTCCCTGTCAAAATGCAAACACGTTGGCTCGGATTTTATCATTTCTTGTTAGGCTACATGTGTTACAGTTTCACTTTTACGCACAGCAGAACTTAAGCTCCGCACATACTACCGCGCATCAGGAAGGGGTCAGGCAACTTCATTCCCCAGGCGTATTAACCAGGCTCCACAGTACGCAGCTGGCCTCCTCTCTGTCCACGGAGCGACCGGGAGAGGAGGAGGAGTTGTGTCTTTCCTCTTGCTCCTCAGATCAGAATGACCGGAAAAGTTCAGTGTGGCTCCTTTCTCATTTAATCAAATAATTTTAAAAAGCCCCATTTTCCGTGAAGTCGTCACTCCATTGTTCCCCAAACCCAACTGCATGCCATTTATATAATAAGGGGTCCCTGCTCCAGCTCTCTGTCAGTTTGGGGGTCCCTGGAATGAAAAACGATGACAACCCCTGTTCTACACTTTAGGGACAATATATTAACAGTGAACCTTGTCTTACTATAATCATTTTATTTGAAATACAAAACTCAAGAAAAAAGTGGGCCATTTTGTTTATTTTATTTAGTGCTGCATCACCAATATCACTAGAGTAAAATGCTTCTCAGTCGTCACCATTTCTAAAACCAGCTGCTATTCATTACTTTATACACTCTTAAACAGTAGTAGTATGTGGTATTTTCCGTTAAAGTTGAAGTTTTTAAAGAAAACACAAAGAATGTTATCACAAGTCATTTAGGTCCGGTTACTTTTACACAAGCTGTTGATCACTGTCCATGACCTGTAGTTGTAACCGTTACCATGGGAACAAAATGCCAAATTAACCTTGAAATTCTCGACTTTTCCTTTGTCACACCCTGCCCTCTGCACATCAGTCAAGAGCGCAGCAAATTAACCGTGAAGTTCTTTAAGACCTCCATGCTTTTACAACAGTCTAATAGTGTCCACAAAACTAACTCACAATGGAGTCTTTGAACGCCCCACGCCACATTAGTCACACATCGACACCACAAAAAGACTATTAAAAATGAATTAATCAGCTCTTTGACAATTACAATTCTATCACCAGACTTGAACACACCGTGGTCAACTCGCCGAGAAGCAAAGAAGCACAACATAGGAAGCTACGGGTGAATGAGCGTTTTTGTTTAGTGGTTTTAATGAGGCCTTAAAAATGTCACCACTCCAATAAAAAGCACATAAATCACAATGATATATTATGGAACAGAACTTTAGTGGAAATATGTTATGTATGTATACGGTATCCTCTATACAAAATAATAAACACTGGCTGAAAACTGACAGTTAATTTGTCTCACCCCGACCAATGTAGGAAAATAATTATGTAAAATGGACATTTATCACCAATATCACTAGAGCACAAAGCATGAATGAAATCAAAAGACAAATAAAGGGAAAAACCTGATATAAGCTGACTTAAAGTTTTAATTCAGCAACTAACAAACACTCAATGACTGATGCTTCTGCTACAATACATTTTGGCATCAAACTTCAAAAATGTTCTTTTACTGGCAGATGTGTCAATTGTTCATAGAGATGCATTAGCAAAATCTATTTTAAGGATAAATTATGTAACTTTTTGGTTGGGGGTCAGTCACCTGCTTGTTTCTATGGATATGTCATGGGGCGACAGTAGCTCAGTTAGTAGAGCGTTTGTCCAGTGATCTGAAGGTTGGTGGTTCGAATCTCTCATTGGTTGATGTTGACTGGTGTGATCCAGCTCCCACAGAAGAATGCTGCTGTTGTGTCCTTGGGCAAGACATTTAACCCACCTTGCCCCCAGTGTCTGTGTACACTGGCATGTGAATGGGTGAGTGGTTGCCTGTTGTAAAGCCTTTTGAGTGCCTCGAAGGTGGGAAAGCGCTATATAAAAATGTTACCATTTACCATTTCTCTGCCTGAATTGTTCCACAGTATGACATTAAACAGCTCTACCTTAGATTTATTCAATTACAGGTGGTTTTATGGCTCAAAAATACCTACAAAACTTATACTTGACAAAGCAATAACATCTCCATGGAGAAAAGTATTTGATGGACCTTCCACCAGAAAAGTTACGCAATGCACCTTTAAAGGTTGTACAGAGGATTTTTTAAGGGAAGAGAAATACAGCGACAGTCCTTGTGCATGCGTGACACCACCTCCCTTCTCCACAGCTCCCTCAGTAGAAACACCTCCTCCCACCTCCTTACTCTAGCGTGTTCAGAATTACTGTTGAAGTGACCTGTCTAGAAATAATTTAGCGACTGACACGTCTTCAGACTTTAGACCCTTCATTTGCTTCAGTCGCGCCATCGCTGGAAGGAATCTCCAAGAATCACCTGAGTTTGGTTTTGCTCCTTTGCACTTCTTCTCTTCTT